TTACCTAGTTCCTCCTATAATTTTTCTCATCCCCTTGCTCCTCCGGCGAGAATCTTAGCCGGTGCTACCAGTAAAATAGAACTCTTCTCCCAATTAACTATGCGCCGAAGCGGTGGGCCCTTTCCAGATATTATAGGATACAAGGGGAGAGGATGTGATCGGGACAATCCTAGAAGACCTTTGGGGTTGATCAAGTCCCTTAGACTCTTCCCTAACACCGAACACACCAAAGTGGATTAAAGCGCTTTATTCACGAACTAGGAAATGTGGACAATAATATAATCGCTAGCTAGCACATAATAAATAATAATTTAATATACAACTGAACCCTGTATAACTGTGATTAAATCGTTTAAATAAACATTAAAGGGGAGGGACAAAAGCTAGTAAATTGGTTGAAATAATGTGAACGGAAATATGATTGAACAAAGTCCTTCGGGTAAAGTCTCTCCAAGCTCAATATTTCCTGGGAAAGGACATAAGAGTCCTACATTAATTAGTTGATCGGGCACTCATCCATGTCTATCCGGCCAGTGAAAACATTATCAGATAATGAGAATGTTTTCTCACATTCCTGGTAAATTATGATGGAGATTTTACCGGGTAAAACCGGACCAGATTAGTCCAGTAGACCCCGATTATGCCCAAAAGGCCTTTTTCCTAGCCTCCATAGCAGCAAAAAATTTTTTTACCGAAGATTCAGTTAGCCCTTTCGGGAGAAAAATAAACACGGGGACTCAAACGTCCCCTTTTGGAAGGATTCGATGAGTTGATCGTTTTTGGCCGATTCGATGAGTTGAGGATTCGATGAGTTAAGGATTCGATGAGTTGAGTGTTTTTGGCCGATTCGATGAGTTAAGGAATTTTAGCCGATTCGATGAGTTGAGCGTTTTTGGCCGATTCGATGAGTTAAGGATTCGATGAGTTGAGCGGGCACGTTCCTCTCATTTTAAAGTTCCTCTCAAAATTAATTTAAAAATAAACATTTGGCAAAATGTTTTTTCTTTTTTTCTCTAATTTAATTTTTAATCTGATAACAAAATTGTACATGACAAATTGGTACAACGGACAAAAAACGACAAAATGGTACAGAAGAAAAAATATGTTATGCCGATCCATTTGTCCCTTTTATCCTTTGTACCATTATGTCGTGTACCATTTTTGAGACTAATTTCCTCTTCTGTTTTCTTTTTCTCTCTAATTTAATTATCTCTCGTCCAATTTTATTTAAAATTAAAACGATTAAAAATTAATTATTTTTACACTATTTTTTAAGTTTATTTTTTTATTAATGTTGGCTTTGCTTTTTTTAGATTTTATTTAAATTTTATTTCTCTTATTTGTTTAGGTGTCGATACAAACTATTTTTTGTTTTTTCCTTCTCTCGAATAAAACGACAAAATGGTACATTAGAAAAGCGAACTTGAGATTACTCGAATGTCATTTGTCCCTTTTTACCCATTGTACCATTATGTCGTGTACCATTTTGTATAAATAATCTTCATCTTTTTTGAGGAGACTTTCCCTCCCAATTAGGGAACGACATATCAACGTTTTCTTAAGAAAAAAAAGTTGATTTAATAATATCAACAATTATTCGCGAACAACTTTTTTTTAAATACATAACGCCAGAACAACGTTAATATCAACGTTTTGCGCCAAACAACTGCGAATCAACGTTTTTGTATCTTTTTTTCTCTGCTCTGCCATTATATTTCTCTTCTTTTTTTCTGTTAATTTTCGTTCGTGTAGTCTCTCCTTTGGAATTTAAAAGAATTTTACGAGTAGGAATTTTTTTATTAAAATTGAAAAAATATATAAAACAACAAAATTTTATCCATCTTTAAATAATGATTGTAATGAAGTGGAATTTTGTTTGAAGTTTCTTTCCAAAATTTTAGCAAATCTAGCTTATGTCCTCCCAAATTCTTACATCCAGTTTCATACTGTTCCATCTCAAAATCTAGTCCTTTCTCGGCCAAATCATCGTTTTTAATTTCTGTTTGTAACTTTTTGAATAATCACGACGAAGTTTTGGTTTACAAATAATTTGTACATCCCATGCAGCCTTGAAAAAAATATTACTTATACTTATTAATTTAAATACTAGGGTTGTTGGCAACCGATTATCAACCGGTATCCCCGGTTTTCGGTTTTTAAAATCGCCAACGACCCTATTAAATACCTTAAAAAATTCTTCATGAAATACAGACCTGAGTAATTTAGTACTTCGACATTCTCTTGTTCTCTCAAGAATCCAATCAAACCATACTTGTAAATCATATTCAGAATCCACTTTTGGCTAAAGCTGCTCTGACTAAATCATCTCCTCTTACTTCTCCTCTCCAAGCATTTTCCAATTTGATCATTTCTATCATTAATCTGTTCATTGTACATTTATTTTCGGCCTAAAATTTAAATTTTCTAAATTTCAATATTATTTTTTACCTCAAGTATTTTCAAAGGTGCTTCCAACATTGAAACAGTTTGAATATAAGCTTCAAAAAGATTTTGCTTGGAAAAAATTCGTTCCATTCTCTCTGTGTGATTTCCAGAATATTTGTTAACAATTTCTTTAAACGATTCTTTATCTTACATTAGATCCCTCATCAGTAATAAAAACGATTTTTGACATGTCAAGCCCAAGATAGGTAAGATTTTTGTTGACTAAATCAGATATATTTTTTCTGATTTTGGAAATGTCTCCAGGAATTGGAAGACACGAAAGTACAAACATTCATTCCATGATCGTCTACTCTTCGGACTTCCTAGATTAATCCTTTAAGGAAATCGGATTTTCGACGTTTCGATGACGGTGTCACAGGTTCTTCGAGATCGCCGCTTTCGAATGCGACTCTTAATTCATTTTCAAATTCATCCATCTAGTAAGAATATATGTGGAAAAATCCCTAAAAATTACAGAAAAAAGACTGAACATTTATAAAAATGGAAAATTGCAAATTCCAAAGGAGAGACTACACGAACGAAAATTAACAGAAAAAAAGAAGAGAAATATAATGGCAGAGCAGAGAAAAAAAGATACAAAAACGTTGATTCGCAGTTGTTTGGCGCAAAACGTTGATATTAACGTTGTTCTGGCGTTATGTATTTAAAAAAAAGTTGTTCGCGAATAATTGTTGATATTCGCCGCGAATCAACGAAAACGTTGATTTGTCGTTCACTACTCCCAATTAGGGAACGACATATCAACGTTTTCTTAAGAAAAAAAAGTTGATTTAATAATATCAACAATTATTCGCGAACAACTTTTTTTTAAATACATAACGCCAGAACAACGTTAATATCAACGTTTTGCGCCAAACAACTGCGAATCAACGTTTTTGTATCTTTTTTTCTCTGCTCTGCCATTATATTTCTCTTCTTTTTTTCTGTTAATTTTCGTTCGTGTAGTCTCTCCTTTGGAATTTAAAAGAATTTTACGAGTAGGAATTTTTTTATTAAAATTGAAAAAATATATAAAACAACAAAATTTTATCCATCTTTAAATAATGATTGTAATGAAGTGGAATTTTGTTTGAAGTTTCTTTCCAAAATTTTAGCAAATCTAGCTTATGTCCTCCCAAATTCTTACATCCAGTTTCATACTGTTCCATCTCAAAATCTAGTCCTTTCTCGGCCAAATCATCGTTTTTAATTTCTGTTTGTAACTTTTTGAATAATCACGACGAAGTTTTGGTTTACAAATAATTTGTACATCCCATGCAGCCTTGAAAAAAATATTACTTATACTTTTTAATTTAAATACTAGGGTTGTTGGCAACCGATTATCAACCGGTATCCCCGGTTTTCGGTTTTTAAAATTTTCTAAAAACGGTTAATTTTTGGCAAAAAATTTAAAAAATTCCGGTTTTAAAACCGGTCGCCAACGACCCAATTAAATACCTTAAAAAATTCTTCATGAAATACAGACCTGAGTAATTTAGTACTTCGACATTCTCTTGTTCTCTCAAGAATCCAATCAAACCATACTTGTAAATCATATTCAGAATCCACTTTTGGCTAAAGCTGCTCTGACTAAATCATCTCCTCTTACTTCTCCTCTCCAAGCATTTTCCAATTTGATCATTTCTATCATTAATCTGTTCATTGTACATTTATTTTCGGCCTAAAATTTAAATTTTCTAAATTTCAATATTATTTTTTACCTCAAGTATTTTCAAAGGTGCTTCCAACATTGAAACAGTTTGAATATAAGCTTCAAAAAGATTTTGCTTGGAAAAAATTCGTTCCATTCTCTCTGTGTGATTTCCAGAATATTTGTTAACAATTTCTTTAAACGATTCTTTATCTTACATTAGATCCCTCATCAGTAATAAAAACGATTTTTGACATGTCAAGCCCAAGATAGGTAAGATTTTTGTTGACTAAATCAGATATATTTTTTCTGATTTTGGAAATGTCTCCAGGAATTGGAAGACACGAAAGTACAAACATTCATTCCATGATCGCCTACTCTTCGGACTTCCTAGATTAATCCCTTAAGGAAATCGGATTTTCGACGTTTCGATGACGGTGTCACAGGTTCTTCGAGATCGCCGCTTTCGAATGCGACTCTTAATTCATTTTCAAATTCATCCATCTAGTAAGAATATATGTGGAAAAATCCCTAAAAATTACAGAAAAAAGACTGAACATTTATAAAAATGGAAAATTGCAAATTCCAAAGGAGAGACTACACGAACGAAAATTAACAGAAAAAAAGAAGAGAAATATAATGGCAGAGCAGAGAAAAAAAGATACAAAAACGTTGATTCGCAGTTGTTTGGCGCAAAACGTTGATATTAACGTTGTTCTGGCGTTATGTATTTAAAAAAAAGTTGTTCGCGAATAATTGTTGATATTCGCCGCGAATCAACGAAAACGTTGATTTGTCGTTCACTACTCCCAATCCAGTCATTTTTCATTTAATTTTTAAATTAAAATTTTTTTCTGCAGATTTATTTAATTAAATACAACTTGCCTAGCAATAAAATAAATAAATGGATAAAGAATCTTCATCTACTTCAAAATCCCCAGTCAATTCCCCCACAAAATCGGAAGATATATGGCTTCAACCTCACCAACCTTTAAAACAAGACAATCATTCAGAACACAACAGAATGCTTATTGACTTTGAAATAAGCGTTATTGGAGAGGAGGACGAAGAAGCTGAAGAAGTTTTGAGTCCTGAATCGGCAGCAAAGTTAAATGAGAGCTGTTCGGATAAAAATGGGGATGATTCCAAAAAAGTGTTCAAGAAGGTCACGATTAATGTAGAGGTTTTTTAAAGTTTTTTTTGATAATCTAGTGCTATTTGTTGAGTTTACCTCCTTAAACCTTACCTTTTTTCTTCTCTTCGCATTTTTTAAGAAGAGAGGAGAAATGGGGAAAATAGGTAAAAGTTTGGTTTAACACCTCCCCCCCCCCCATTTTTCTGGCCCTTGGAAACGAGTTTTTGGTTTTTTTATTAAGAAATTTTTTTAATAACGTTGAACAGTTTTGACGGATACACCCCAAAAGGGCGCGGGCCATAAATGCGTAAAGCCATAACTCGCTAGAAAATGTCTGTCTCTTATCTACTTTGATACCAATTTCTTTAGCTCGATGAATGAATCGTTTATTACTAAATTTGGTAAGATTCGGAAATTTTGAACCAAGTTATGGCTTTGCGTCTGTATGGCCGTGCGCATTTTTGGGCTGTACTCGTCAAAACTTGTTGTGTATCCCGCCATATCCTTTGGTGTCCTTTTTTATGTAGCTTGTGTATTTACCCCCAATAAACATTAACGGCGCAAAGCCATCTAAACTTGAAGACGAGTTTTTGGTTTTTAATAAAGAAAATTTTTAAGGAAGTGGGAGAAAGGGAACGGAATAGAAGATGGAATAACGCAGAGCCGACAATAAACTCACTCGTCACAGAAAAATATCGTGCAAAAATAGAGGCGGAAAAGGAAACTCCAAAGGATGAGAGACTCCCAAGGGTGAGAAAACCTATTTATGTAGACCATTTCATAATGGTAAGTCGTCGTGAAGATAAGGAGGCTCTTAAGTTTCTTTGTAATTCTTCACCTTCAAGTCCTGATGGTGCTTCTTCGAGTCAACCTGGATTTTTGAAAAAGGTTTGATTATTTTTTTAAATTTATTTGGTTTGTTTCATTTTATTTTTTTCTCATTGGGTCCTCATAGGAAAAATATTTGAAAATTTTCTGATCTTTCAAATTTTTATTAAAGCCAATTTGTGTCGTAATCGAAACCTTAACTTTTTCAACCCGGTTCGAAAATATTTTGAAAGCCATTCTTCTCAATCCTGGACACCCCATGATTGTTATTTTATCTTTTCCATCATAACATTTTCAAAGCCGATAATGCCGAGTTTTATGTCCCTCTCCTATTTTCATAATGTACGTAATAGGGAAATAGTGGAATTAAGGAATGAAGGGAGTCTGACAATAATGGGGGGGAAGGGGGATGCGAAGCTCGGCTTTTTCAAAGCCTTACATCTCAATCATTTTAAGGGTTCAGCTCTCATTGCCAAACTCAGCAGATATCGCCCACCGGTATTGGACATAAACGTTCTTGATGGCGATCCTCCACGACCACCACAACCTTCTTCAAGTTGTTTTGATTTGTTGCAAACTCCTCAAAAATCTTTTCAAATAGATGACATTTTGTTAAAACATTTTGACGAGAATGTGGCAATTGAAGACCAAAATAACTCGGAAAAACCAGAAAATGCACAAATTGTGACTTCAAAAACGGATTTTACAAATACAGGGGATGAGGTCAAAAGTGAATTTGGACCTGCTTTGGATCTTATTTTTTGGCGCAAATTTGTGGAAACTGATGACCCTTGTTGGAGGTTCTTTTTTTAATGTTTTTGATGTCTTATCTTTTGCGGATCTAAAATTTTTTTTATTTTTAGAGCAGTTGTGTCAAAAGCTGTTTCGTTTCTTTCAAGTGCCAAAACATCAGAAATGAACAAACTTTACAGAGAATTCCTTAAATTAATTGAACAACTTTCATATGGTTTAAATTCCTACAAACAAATTATAACTTATGCTGATCAGCTTGCACAGGATGTTTTAATTAATAAAAATGTTGAAAGACTTGAACAGGTTTTTTAATTTTTGTTTTTGGGCAGTTTCTGTATACGAGGCTGGGTCCGTTTTTTAGCTTGGCGACGCGTTGAGGTAAAGATATCAGGGCGTAGGAGGGGACTAAAGACCCCCCCCCCTCCCCCACGAAATGGAGGTAAAGAGAAAAATATTGAGATGAATATGATTGAAAGAGTGAAATTTTTTCGCTTACAACCTCCAAAATTCAAAAAATTCAAAAAATTTTTGGTTTTAAGTGTCCGCATTTTTTCTCTTTTTTAATCAATTTTTTATTCCTTAATTTTCAGTTCAATCTACACTTTCCATCATTATTATTAACTATTTTTAATGCTAGAGAGGCTTGCCAAGTCAATAGCTTGTATGCATTGTATGACCTTGTTGACCAAAAATTGTTGAATATTGAAGGTTTTTTTGGGTTTTTCTTTTTAATTTTTTTCAATTTTTAAAATTGTAGCTATTCAAACTATCATCATTGGCCTTTTTGACTTTCTGTCAGTATCTGAAGAAATTGTTAAACAATATCATAGCACTGAACTTAATGAGGTTTGGGAATTTTTCAGGGTTTTTGGGAGTTTTAAGTTATAGGACATTTTTGCCCAAAATTTTTCATATGATTCAATATTCTAGCCGTAAAATAAAGTAAACAAGGGTAAGTTGTATTTCTGCTATCAGTATTTTTGCTATTCATTAGACCTCGAAAAATTTTTTTTGAGCAATCCCTCTTTTTTATTAGCTTTTTATATTTTTAAAATACTCAAATAAAAAGTTATTTATTATTTTTAAGGATGGTAGCAATGATGAAGAAGTTGCTCTTTCACTTCAATGCCCAATATATTTAAATTATAATTGGAATAGTGTACTTTTTGAAATTATTTTAAATAAATTTTTTGTTAATTTTCAGGCTCATTCTCTTATTTTTCGACTTTTCTATTGTGTTTTTTGCAAATTGGAAGACAATAAAAATTTTCTTCCTCAAGAGTGGATACGTGAAACGTTTTTACCTAAACTTTGTTTTTATTTTGGAGATTCTATTTTGTTACAGAAAACGGTTTTTCTTTTTATTTTTTTAGGCCAGAAAATTTATTTTTGACTAGAAAAATATTTTAAAATTAAATGGACATTTTTCCCCAAGAAATTTTGAGAGAATTTTGAAATTCTTTTGGAATTTGGATATAATGGCTAGGGCATCACGCATATACCAGCATAGGGCCAATGAAAGGTGGGGCAAAGAAAAAAATAAATGGGCATTTTATCCCAGGAAATTTTGTGAATTTTTATGAAATTTTGTGGACAAAATGTCCACTTTTGGATTTTTTAAGGAGTTTGGGATTTTACACTAGTCAAGGAAATTTTTGATTAAAAATTTTTTAGCTGTACAAATGGACATTTCGTCCCAAAAAATTTCACATTGGATATTTTGTCTCTAATAAATTTAAAGAAAATTTTGGAATTTTTTTATGAAATATTTGGGACAAAATGTCCACTTTTAGAATTCTTTTTTGCTTTTCTTTGGATAAAATCATCTCTTTTCCTAATTTTAATTTTTCAGTCAAAATGTCGCGTTGATTTTGTCACCTTACTTGCTCCAGCAGCTAAATTGCTTGGAACTGAATCTTCAGAAGAATTATTACTTCCGGCATTTCAACGTTATATGAGTGATTCTTCTGATGTTCAAAATGCTCTTTTATCTCAATTATTTACTTTTTGCAAGGTTTTTTGGGGAATTTTTTAATTTTAGAGAGTAGATGGTTTGGATCCGCACAACATAAGTAAGGCGAACGTCAAACAGGTTGAATTCGAAGGAGTTGATAGAACTGACATGAATCGAACGAATGACGCTGAAAAGAAATTACTCTTGTAACCCAACTATGGAATAAAGATGGGCAGTTTGAGGAAACCCTATGCTAAACCGCGATAAACTCCTAGAAAATTGTAGGCCGTAGACTCAGTGGCCGTAGATCCAGAAATCAGTAGGGTAACCTGTTCGTACATTGAAATATCACAATAGTTCGTCCCGATATGCTCACATGCCATATAAATTCAAAAATTTTTTATCCGGTTTTTAATTTTTGAGGTACTTTCTCCAAAAAGCCGTGAAATTGTTTTACGCGATTTAAGTCAACTTTTTTCTATTGACATGGATGCTCGTTGTTGGCGTCAACGTGCTGTGTTTGCCAAGTTTGCTATTAAATTTATTTCATTTTTTTCTTTGTTTTTTAGTCAATTAGATTTACTTGTTGGTATACTTCCTATGGAGCTTGTAAATAAATATTTGTGTGCATATGCTTTGACTTTTTCTGCTGGTATATTTTTTGGGGGTTAATAGAGGGTATTTCCACTTATTTTTTAATATTAACTGATTTTCTTTGTCAGTTCAATCCGCAATTAATAAATTCCAGACTGAATAGATCCCATGATTTTTTGGTTTTAGATTTCTAAAAATAGAAGCTTGAGTTGTAGAGAGCTTTCGAGATCTAAAATCGAATAGCTGATTTTGGAATTCTTTCCTGATTGCGGACAACGCTGCCTCTTCATTTTTATGATTTTCATCCTCTAACTTATTCTCTCATGTTTTTTTTCAGTCACTTCAGAATCCTAAACATACCTAGTTTTTTACATGAATTTTCTGAACTCGGGAAATAATTGCTAATTGTCTGAAATTAATTAAATCATTCTCTCTCTTCTTCAAATCTTACTTTCAAATTTTTTACTTTTTCAGACAAAATATCCCAAGTACGAACAAATGGAATTAAAATGCTTTCAAATGTCCTAAGTACTTTTATTCAAGTTGAATGGAGGGATCAGAAAGATTTATGGAGAAGACGTACAGAACATATGTCTGATGCTATTCCAGTTACTGTAAGGGAAGGAAAATTTTTTTTCGAATTTTAGAAAAAAAATTTTCAGTCTTCTGATGCTTCTATGCTTACTGATGAAGAACCAATAAATCTTCCATTGACTTTTGAATTATTAGCAGAAATTAGATCAGGATTTTGGCGTACACGAAGTTGGAGGCGTAGACAAAGGTTTTTTTTGAATAGAAAATTCCTTTCAAAGAAAATTTCTTCCTTTCAAGTTTTGCCAATCTTCTTTACCTCCTTCTTCGTCATTGTTTACTTACCCCTCTTCAATTTTATTATTTATTTTTTCATGATTTTATGTGTTTATCTGATGACGGTTTTTTTAAATTTGTTTAAATTAATTTCTAAATAATTTTTAGATGTAGCCAATGTTCGCCAATATTTTTGTCTTATTGCTCAATTAAACCGTTTTGAAGAATATGTTGGTTCAAGTGTAATTAAACGACTTGAACAAATGTTAGTAGATGATAATGATTTGGAAGTTAGGCATTTATCAAAGGTTTTTTTTAATTTTTAAGGGGGCTAGGGTTTTTAAGGTAGTTAAACTAAAGGGACTTTTGGGGGGTTTAAATTATTTCTAAGGAAATTGGAGTTATTTTTAAGTAGAAGTGAGTAAAAGGGTTGGAGTTTTTAAGGGATTAGGTGGGTGGGGAGTTGAAGTGACTTTGGCATTTTAAAAGGATTGATGAAGATAACTTCTGCGGTTAAGATAAAAAGATTTTTGGTATTTAAATTAAATAAAAACAAAATTTTTTTGTCTTCCCCAGAAAAGTAGTCTCCCTTTTTCCAATTTTTCAATGTGTGGCAAAACAGCAGGAAATTTAACTAACCAAAATCCCTCTTTCCTTTTAGAAAAAAAAAGAATTTTTTTGTAAAAGATTTTTTTGGCGAAAAAAACCATTTTATGAGGAAGACTGGAAAATCTTGATATTTTTTAATTAATTTTTTTTCAGATAGCATTAGGCAAGTTAGATCCATTACTTGAAGGTTTGGATATTACTAGACGCGCTAGAGGACTAGTTACTTAAATAAAATTTTGTTTAAAGAAGTTTGGAGTAATAATTTTTATTTATTGCCTTTTATGGTTTGTTATTAAAGAAAAGTTTAATTTAAATAAAATGGAATCTCTCTATTACGTCACTCCTCGGGTTGGATTTTTTCAAGCGAATTTTTTGCCGGCGTAAGAAGGGAAGTGAGGTGGAGGGGATGTAAAATCGGGCCAAAAACATTCTCTCACCTTTCACAAACACTGTTGTGAGAGAGTGAGGGGAATTTAGAGATGATGACTCCATTAAATAATCTCCTAATTTTGTTGCCGTAGGAAGGATAGAAGGGAAGTAGTGTGAGGGGACGTAAAATCAGGAAAAAAATATTTTAGGGACCAGGCTGGACGTGATTGTTGAAGGGAGTGACGTTAAAGAGAGAGTTTATTCTGTATATTATTAATGTGCCATTCCTATCTATCAAGCATTTTTTCGTTTATTTTTTACTTACAAAAAAAATTTGACCATGCAATAATTACGAGTATATATGCCTTTTTTGAGCTGAGATTTATTTTTGTTTTTTGAAATGTGTATAATTTATTATTATTTTTTTGTTGAATAAAATAAAAATGTGGGTAATTTTAAATTAATTTATTAAAGGATTAATTTTACTTTATAAATTTTTTAAACTTTTTTTATGTAAAAAAGCCCCTTAAAAATGGAACGTTTAACCTTTAAAGATTTTTATAAAATAATTTTCCAGATAAGGGATTCGAACCCTCTACCATTGTACTAGAAAATCTAAGCATTTTCCCGCTAAACTAAAAATGACTTCCTTTTTGCGGCTGGTTGTTAGGGGGATTTGTCAGTGCTGTTAATAAGAAATAAGTAATAGAAAGTTAACGTCATCAAAAAATTTCAATGAATGATTAAGAAATAAAATATTTATTTACACGTTTAACTAATGAAATAAGAAAAATAATAGGAGGGAGAAAGAGAAGACTTTCCTTCTAATAAACGAACGGACTATTTTCCCCCTAACTTTTGGGGCATTAGGGAAAAAATTTTCTTAAACTTCAAAAAATTTTTTATTTTCAGAAAAACAATTAATAACGTCTTCTACAAACCAAAAACAACAACCTTTAGACGACGAATTTCTTAAAAATTTAATTAACGACGAGAAAGTACCTGCCTATGCTAGGGCTATAATTGAATTATTGGCTAATGATCTTTCTCTTTTGACAACAGAAAAATTAGCTATTTTAAAAGCTATTGGAAAGGATCGTTACAAACAATTGGTTGGAAGGGGAGGTGAGGGTTGAGATTTTGTTGATTTTTTTTTGAAAATTAAGTTAGGTTTTTTGAAAGGAAAATTTTTGAAAGTTTTTTGATGATTTTTGTGACAAAAAGTTAAAATTTGGCCTTCTGACCATTTTTAAATACCGACCAGTTTTGGTGTTTTGATTTTCTTCTTTTCTTTCTTTTCATAATCTCTAAATAAAATTTTCGGTCAAAATGCCCAAACCCTCAAATTGTGACATTTTGTCCTGTTATTTTTTAACAAAATATCATCCTTTTATTCATTTTTTCTAGTTAAAATGCTCGAAGAAGATAGTGGTTGGATGCCCGATATGTTAACCATTCTTTGCATTTTTCTCTTTGTTTTTGTAATACTTTATGCTTTGCGTCAATGGATTAAAGGAGCACAATTTACTGAGAAAATTAGTGCTAGAGGACGAGTTGCTATTATAACAGGTTTTTTATTGAGGGGATTTTTTGTAAATTTTGTGGTTAATTTAAGGTGCAAATTCTGGTATTGGAATGCAATTAGTTAGGGAACTTAATTTGCGTTATGTTAAGGTAAAGGTTTTTATTGTTATGTTTTGACTTTTGATTTTTTAAAGGTTTATTTGGCTTGTAGACGTGTATCAAGTGGAAATGAAGCAGCTAGGGAATTATTTTCTCGGGTATTTTCTAAAATTAGTTTTGGGCTGTGAAAATTTTGTGACAGAATGTTCATTTTCCATTTTAGTGGATTTTGAGACAAAATGTCATCTTTTTTGATTTTATGAGATTTTTTTCTATTTTTCGGGACAAAATGTCCATTTTAACAAATAAAGACTGAATCCGGTCTCTTTTTTCCTCCTCCTAATAAATTAATTTATTTTAACTAGTATGGCTGTGATATGACTCGAATGATTGTTCGTCATCTTGATTTGGCAGACTTTAGTTCTGTTCATCGCTTTGTAGAAGAATTTAATAAAGGTTTATATTTCTTAAAAATTAATTTATTTTTTAATTTTAGACGAGGAAAAGTTGGATATATTAATTAATAATGCTGGAATTATGTTTTATCCAAAATACCAAAAAACGGTTGATGGACATGAATTGACTTGGCAAAGCAATCATTTGGGTATTTTTCTTTGGGGTTTTTTTGATTTTAAAATTTTATTTTTTGAAGTTTTTTGGCACCAAATTTTATAAAAATGAAAAAAATTATTTTCTAAAATAAAATTAGTTACCTCAAGCTGGTTCGAATCTTTATGCTAATCTCGTTCTTCAATTAATTTACCAACACGTTTTCACTTAACCAACGAATTCTTAAGGCAAAAATAACCTTTAAGAAAGTGGAATTTTTTCTGAATAATGAGTCTTATAATTTTTATTTAAAAAAATTTTTCTCTACAAAATTTCCATTTTTTATTTCAAAATTAATTTCAAAATCTTTTATTAAGATCAAAAAAAATTTTTTTCTTTTCTCAGGTCACTTCCTTCTAACCGAATTATTACTTCCCAAACTTGAACGCTCTGAAGAAGGAGGCCGCATTATTAATTTAAGCAGCGCCTTACATTTGTTTGCAGACAGTGTTGACCCAGAAATTGTTGATTCTCCCCAACACTTTGGACGATGGAATAATAAAACTTATGCTCGTTCTAAATTGGCTAATGTATTTATTTTTATTTAAATTAATGACTGATTTTTAAATTTTCCTTTTATTCTACCGTCACCTCATCATGCTGTCACGTATCCCCTTATAAACGTCACTACATGAAAATTTTTGAGCTTTCAATTTTTTAATTAAGAGTTTCGTAAAATTGGATTTTTGATCCATTTTAGATTTGTCCTCAAAAAATTGCGGACAAAATATCTGTCAGCAAAAAAATTGAGAAATTTTTTCTATTGAAACTAACAAAACTATATAGGTAGTCATGCCAGCCTAGTTGATTCTTCAATAATTTTATCCACATATTATAAAAATTAATTTTTAGATAATGCATTGTGTTGAATTAACCCGTCGGATTCGTTCATTTAACAGCGCTTCAAAAGTAACGGCTAATGCTTGCCATCCTGGAAGTGTTGATACTTCTCTATTTAGAGCTGAATTTTATCAAAAATATCTAAAAACTATAGTTTCTCCGATTATTTGGTTTCTTTTGGTTAGTTGGAATTTTTTATAAAAAATATGTCGGCAAATTTTTGCGTACATATTTTTGTCCGCAAAAAATTTTTGCGGACAGAATATCAGTCCTAAAAATATTTTTTCGATAAAAATATGTCCGCAAAAAATTTGCAGACGTACTTTACAGCATTTTTGATTATTTTTTGTTTTTTTAATTATAAAAAAATTCAGAAAACGTCACAAGATGGCGCCCAAACTCCTCTCTACTTGGCATTAAGTAAAAAAGTTGCTGGTGTTTCTGGAAAATATTTTAGGTTTTTTAAATTTATTAAAAGAAATTTTTTTCGTAAATTAAATTTTTTAAGTGAATGCAAAGAATCCAAAAAAGTCCATCCAATGGTTTCTGATCCCACAGCTTGTGAAATCCTCTACAATAACAGTTTGGAACAGTGTTTATTGGATCGATCAAGTATTGCTTTGGATTGATTTGAGAGGAAAATTTTTTTAAGACGACAGGAAAAAGAGTATATTTTGATAACTTTTTGACTTTTTTTAAAATTTTTGTAAACAAAATATGTATTGCAGTTAGACCTCACTTTTAGATAAATCCCAAAATTAGGTAAAATGGTTGGGTTCTTCACATTACAAGTTACGATTTTTTCATCCCTAGAAGAGTTGTCTAAAAGTGAAGTTCAACATTTTAACTTTTACGTTTTGCCTTTCTAATAGAGTAAAATTTCTTTATTTTTTCGCCAAATTTTTTAATTTTTGTGGATAAATTTAATTAGTCATAAACTTAGCTTTGAAATACTTATAGTTAGTAAATCAACTCTCTATTTTTATTTAAAAAATATTTTTCTAGTATTTTTAAAACTTTTGGTGAAAATAAAATTGAAGGAGCAAATGGACATACAATCCACAGCAAGGCTGCCTACTTTGCTTTCTGTTCAACACGATTGTAGACAAGGAACTGTTAGAGCAGTTAGATTTAATGGTTTAATTTAAAATTTAAATAATAGGCGATTTAATGGTTTTTGTTGGATTTGCAGAGTCCGCACATTTTTGCGGACATCTGCAAATTTAATTTTCTTTTAATAATTCTATTTTTTAAAGTCGATGGAAATTATTGCATGACAGCTGGATCAGACAAATCAGTAAAGCTTTGGAATCCGTATAAACGCATCCATTTGAATACCTATAGGTTTGGAATTTTAATGTTAAAATATTTTAGTTAAAATTTTGTTGGGTGACTTATAAGACTGAAATTGGTCAAATTGGTCAGATTTCGCAATGGTCACTTTGATACCATTTTGTACATATTTTAGAAAATTTTTGTTTTTTTCTTACCAATTTTCTTCATCTTTTAATTAATATTTTTAAATTAGATCAGGAAATGAAGTTCTCGATTGTTGTGGTTCTTCAGATAATTCACTCATTTTGGCAGGAGGTCGAGACAAACAACCAACCATTTTTGATGTTGAAACAGGAAAAACTTTGAAAAGGTGGAGAGGGCATGGAGGAACAGTTAATGCTGTAAGGGGAAGATTTTTTGGAGAAAAATTAGAATAAATATTGAAATTTAGGTAGCTTTTAATGAAGATGCTTCTGTGGCTATTTCTGCTGGTCAAGACGGATTTGTTTGTTTACATGGTATATTTGACTTTTAATAATGATTGTGAGAATGGTTTGGAGCGATAGACGGCTTGGAAAATTTTAAAAATGTTTAATTTTTTTTCTGTTGTCTTTTGATTAATTGATATCCAGAGTGGGAGTAAGGAAAAAGTCGGGGTTTTCTATCATTAAGCGAGGGTAAAGTTTAAAACAAGGCAGGTGTTCACTCACCACATATACAGATGCCCGACTATTGTGAGCTATCAGGCCTGCTTTTGGCTTCTCTTTTAATCCCTTTGGCTTCCTTTTTTCTAAATAAATTCATGTTATAATCCCTACTTGATTTAAAATGGTATTCGTTTGATAAAAATTTTTTATTCTTTAGATGTTCGTTCTCGAGGACCGCCCTTTCAAGTAAATATATTAGAAAACCTCCAGTATTTCTTTAAAAAATTTCCAAAAGGTTTTGGATGAGGCTAGAGATGGTGTTCTTTGTCTAGATGTTAATGCTTACGAAATAGCTACAGGTTCAGCTGATGGAAATGTTAGGAGGTTTTATTTTTTATAAAGTTTTTTCCATTTATTCTTCCAAAAGTCCGTAAATTTTATCTGCAACATAAAATTTTATCTGTATATACTTTCAAGATAGTGATTATTTTGGAAACATAAAATATATCCCCTCCCCCATGGAGAATTCCACATTTTCAAAGAAATTTTTTACATGAGTTCTGTTAGTATTTCAAGGGATTTCGACGGACTTGCAGATAAAACTTGTGGACTTTGGTAGAATAAAGGAAATTTTTTTAATATGTAGATATGATATTCGTGAAGGCCGACTTTTTGTTGATTTTGTCAAGGATCCAGTGACTTCAGTTAATTTAACTGCTGACAATGTATTTTTTTTAATTTTATATTAAGGGAAAAGAAATTTTCGTTTCCGGGAGGTAAACTCCTCAAATAAATATTTTTGTTGAAAATCGCAACTTTTATCCGCAAACTATATGCGGACTTTTTTTTTTAATTTTCCCTTTTAAAAAATTCTCAATGAAATTTTATCTTCTTTCAGCAATGTTTATTAGTTGCCACAATGGGTAGCGGTGTTATTCGTTTATTTGAAAAATGTAATGGACAGTTACTTGCTAGGTTTATTTTTTGGAAAATAAAAATAGAATTTAAAAAATTATTTTAAAGTTACAAAGGACATCATAACAGGGATTTTCGGATTGAAGCTGGAATTCTGGCCTCTAATAATGAAGTTTTGACAGGTTAAATTTTTTTTTCTCTTCTCTGTTTTTTGAGGGTTTACTTGGCAAATAGGTTATTTAATGGGAAATGGAATTTTTGTTATTTTTCTTAATCTAGTTGATTTGAATTGTTAGGGTGGTTGTTTAAAGGTATTATAATAGGAGGTTAGGATTTGCTGACATGAGAGCAGGCTAGTATCAGGGATGTGTGGTTTACTCGATATGTGAAATCCTGACTTTTTCATCCCGAGACGATCCTTAGAAAATTATTTAAAACCCCGATCCGAACCCCAAAACAATTTTTTTCAACCAGTTCCATCCCTCGCCAGTATGGTAAACTGGGCTGCTGAAAACCAAATTTAGGTAGATAAGAGTTTCCAGATTTTCTCCTCTTGGGTAAGGATTTAAAAAGTTTTAGGAATCGTTTGAGAATCATTCAAGAGTTGGGTTAGAATTTTACTGACTGGGAGTACCCAAAAGCCCTTTAGAATTTCTAACTTTGTCAAATTTATTAAAAAGAATCAGACTAAAAATTTAGAAGAAATTATTTACAATATTTTAATTTTTAGGTTCTGAAGACGGAAAAGTTTATATTTGGGATTTGGTCGAAAGTACTTTGATAGGTTTTTTGGTTAATTTATTTTATATTTTCCCTGTTCTTTTTAGCCAAATTAGAACATCCAGCAGGTTTCAAATATGTAAGAGAATTTTATTTTTCTCAAAAAAAAATTTTTAAAAATCATTTTTGAAGGTCCCCTCACTTTCAACACACCCAAAAGACCCTTGTATTCTTACTGCTTCTCGTGAAAAGATTTTTCTTTGGCAGTGTCCAGAATAGAGGTTGGAGAGGGTCAAAAATTAAAAAGTTATTTTAACTTTAAAATTTTATTTACGCCTTTATCCGATGATTATACATAATTTTTGGAAGTAAAGGAATTTATTGAGTCTCCATTATTTTAAGATAATTTAATATTATTCCAAAAACGTTGTTTTCAGTTTTTAGGAGTTTACCTTTAGATCTACACTCTAAAGATATATTGACCCTGAAGACCTACAAATTTTGAAAGGGAATATCGAAGGATTGTGAGGATATAAATGGATTTTGTGTGATTGAAAGTGATAGAATCACCCAGAGTAGAGATCTTCTGGGTCAATAGGGCTTCAAAGTGTATGTTTAAAAGGGATGACGCATTGTGTATTTAAATTTTTCCCCCGTTTATTCAGACTACCCCCCCCCCCCTCCCAAAAAACATTTCAGATGTTTCTTTTCTCTTCAATCATTTTTACAACATTCCCCCAAAACATTATTTGAATTTATTTTCTTTATATTTACCGATTAACCTTTTCCTTAACCTATAAACTATCACATATTTTTAACCTTTCTTTACTTCCCGCCTTTATCACACTCATTTATAAATAGCTTCTTTACTCATTTTTTGCCTTACTTTGAAGTTTGTCTAGGTAAAAGTCAGTTTTGTATTAACGCATTTTTTCTCATTTTTCATCTCCCTAGAAAACGACTAGGATAGTATGAGTTAAATTTTAGTTATTTCGAATCCAGGGCCCGAATATGAGTTCGAAGAAACTATCAGTTTAGATTCAACTTTTAACTTCTAACTTCAAAATTGTAGTCGAATTCGGGCCCGTGATTCGAAACAAGTGGAATTCTCCTATTCGGACTTGGCACACTTAATCGTATCATTACTTGTACTTGGTACGAATATAGGAGTGGTACGAATAGAGGTACGAGCAAAATTGAAATTTCTAAGCTTCATGCAAACCTCTAAAATATCGAAAAATCGCATTTCTTTGAGTTAGTTTAATTAGATTTTTATTAATTTTAGAGAGAGAGTTCAATCAAATTAAATATAAGGTCTGAGAAATTATAGAAAGTGAAAGAAATGACATCGAATTCAGAGGAGGTTAAAAAATTGGAGGTGATTTGTTTAAAAGAGAATTCCAATTAAAATTCCAATTTTAGCCAATTTTCACCACCAATCCAGATGAATTGAAGGGAGAGATTATTAATGTTAGCTTGAAAAAAGGTGTGAAGTTTGGTTTTCATCTTATTGGAATGACTGGGACTTTAGTGCAAGATAAATTTACTCAAGTATTTAAATCTTATATTATATTTAAATATTAAATTTTAGGTTGATGAAGTTGATTCTGAAAGTCCTGCAGATATAAATGGAATTTTACCCGGAGATATTATTGTTTATATAAATCAAAAGGTTTTGGCCTTATATGGAAAGAGGTGCACCTTAATATTTATCCTTATTTCTTTGCAGTAGTTGAAAAGGGTCAATTTTGAGCTGAGCCTTATTTCTGGGCTTGGGACCAGTGGTCTTGGTGAGTACTTAACACTTTCTAGTTTACTGCAAGGAAAGGAGGAGAAATATAAAAGCGTACCTCATTTCAGATCAGGCTTATTTTACTTATATTTGAAATTTATTTAAAGTGTATTCTCGGTGCAACGGTTGATGATGTTGATGGAATTTTTGCTTCCTTTTCTGTTGGTGACGTTGTGGATATTCAACTTTGTCGTGGATACGCAATGCAGAAGATCCCATATGTCTTAAATTTTAATCCTAGTCTATTTGACCTAGCTCGACGGACTTATTTAAATATCCAATTTACCCTTAAAGGGTAAACAAAGGTTTAGGGCCCCACTTTTCTTTTCCCCAAGTTTTTCCGGCTCTATCTTAGGACGTGCGTCCCATGAACTTTTATGCGTCCCATGAAGGTTTATGCGTCCCATGAAGGTTTATGCGTCCCATGGAGGTTTATGCGTCCCAAAAATAGTATATGCGTCCCATGAAAGTATATGCGTCCCAAAAATAGTATATGCGTCCCATGAAAGTATATGCGTCCCAAAAATAGTATATGCGTCCTATGAAAGCTGCTAAGGCCCAAGAATTTATATGCGTTCTAAAATTAATATAAGCGAAAGCGAATTTTGTAAACTTTTTTAAATTGTATTAATGAAATTTAAATATTTTATTATGTATCGCTGAAGGTTGTCTAAACCTGCTGAATGTTGTGTTGTTTAATCCACCTTTGCTGAAGGTTGTTTAAACCCCTATATGCTGCCCAGCCGTCGCTACTGATGGTTTTTCAGCATTTACATATCGTAAATGTTCAAATAATAATCCATCTGTATTAAAATCAATCAAGAAGGAGCCTTTGAAAAATATAAACCAAGGCCTCATTTTAAGTAAATTTGTAAAACGTAATTGTAAATTACCAGCAAAATTATTAGCTCCAAGTTCAAGGACTAATATTTAATTGTCATTAATAACATTAAAAAATGTTTTCGCAATTGTTTTACGTTATATTAATTTTGGGACGCATATATTTTGAAGGGACGCTTATACTATTTTTGGTGACGCATATGCTTTCATGGGACGCATAAACTTTCATTGGACGCATAAAAGTTCATGGGACGCATGTCCTAAGATAGAGCCGTTTTTCCTTTATATGAGCTCGGACTTTCTTCCTTTCCCAATTTCACTCTATCACTTTCTCAATCATTGGATTTTATTTTTAGTTTTTTGTATTATACGGATCGGATATTATTGGCAATCGGCAATGGACTTGTATGATAATTGACAAAGATAAGAAAGAAGAGTTTTTTGAAAAAATCAAGACGGGCTATTGTGATTATGAGAATTATGGAGAAATTTTATGTTCAGCATTGGTGAAGAAATTCCACAAAAAGTTATAAATAAAATCAGAGAGAAATATGGAGGTGAAGAAGGAAAAAAGTTGGTAAAATTCCGTCATATCACCCGGAAACCGATTCGGACAAATGATATGTCATTCGAAAGATCTCGTCGAGCTGAGTCGAACGACACAAAAATTAGCTTCGGGACTCGCCTATGGGCCGAGATATAGGCCCTCGAAAATCGTAAAACCATAGGGGGGAGTAAGCTCGATTTTGGGGTGAAAAATTCGAATATGCAAATAATAGCTCATTCGAAAGAGCTCGTCGAGCTGACTCGAATGACACCAAAATCAACGAAATCTGACTTGATTTGGCCGTTTATTTTAGCTCCTTACCTATGCCTCCATTTAAATTTTTGCTGCCACGGAGGAACCCAGGCATGCCCACCTCATTGATTATAGGAATAGGATTAAGTTACGAGCCCAGACCCAGAGCCCGTAGACTCCCCGCGAGGCGCGTGCCGCAAAACTCCGCGCGAAGCGCGGAGTTTTGCACAAGCGCCTCGCCGATGCCCCATAGGTTTACGTTGACCATTTTGAGCTTTTTATCTCGGCTCAAAATCAAGATCTCGAGCTGATTCTGGTGTCATTTGACTCAACTCGAGGAGCTCTTTCGAATGAGCTATCACTCAAAAAATCAAATTTTTCACCCCAAAATTGAGCTTACTGTCGCTGCAGAAAACAAATGGAGGGTGCGGCGCGACGGTATGAACCGCACAGCTGTCGGGAGGTTGAATTAGACTGAATAAAGTGAAGAGGAGCTGAGCTAGTCGGGAGGTAGCTGAGCTGGAATGTCCCGGGAATCCCTCAATCTTCAAAAATTGATCCTCTCTAGTGGGCGAAAGGATGGAACCAAAGTTCTTTAAATTGGCGAGCTAATTGAATTGTGGCTCTTAAATGGACGAGCGGAAGTGATCACGCGCTCTTTAGTGGACGAGCGGGATCTGACACGCCTTAGGACGGCGATTTAAAGGAATACCAAGCAAAAGAAAGAATAAACAAATAAAATATTTATTCAGGACCTTAAACTTGGGTAATTAAACCATAAAATGGTGATAAGTGAAAGAAAGACTTAAGTTTGGCCTAATTAGTTAAAAGGAATTTAAAATGGATTAAAGGCCAAAACCTAAGTTGGAAAAAACTATATAAAGCGCAGGTGGGAAAAGAATGTAAAAGTGAAGGAGAAATAAACACAGAGAATAAAGCTTAAAATAGCTAAAACTAAATGAATAAATAAAATGATTAAATAAGCATAGGAGAAATGATCAGAAATGGGGTTAGCACAAAAGGGTGTGGCTAACAAAAGAGATATGGGCAACTGGTACAAACGATTAAATAATTAGACGGTGCAAAAGATCACCAATAAAAAAATCAAAAATATTTAATCAATTATGGCAAACGTCGCTTCGGCGATACTGGGGCGCCGGCCAATAGCAGCGAGCATGCCATTCATCTGAATGCCCATTGTTGCGGTATAGCATATTGATTCTCCAATGCCTATTGAGTTCTCTGTGGGTTCTCCTTTTACTGGACTCAGGCAGTAGGTATTCTTCCCCTTGATTTTGGTTGCAAAGAGAGTCACATAGATCGGATAGGAGTTTTAAATAAAGCGGAGAAGATTGAAAAAATGGATTGGATCGCGGCGAACATGATTTTAACATGCGTGATAATCCAATAGATAAGAGTAGGAGGAATAGCAGTCCCAATCCTGATAAAGTTCCAGAATTGACGGGAGCATTCCGCTTTATTAAACAGTTGCCGGCGCAGCACAATTCTAAATTGGCGAATTCGCTGGGGCTGATTACTGTAACTCCGGTTCTAGTGCAGGAAATTTGACATTTTGGGCATGTCGTATTAATTTGGGGCAATCCATTGATGGACGCAAAACAGACGATTAATAATGCGACGTATAGTAGGGTAGACACGAGTGCTCTCGATTTGTTCCTCGTTATCATTCGATGTCTGGTGTTAGTCTTTGGTTCCCGCACGGAAGTTTCTTGAGTTCCTTCGGCAGCGGTGTCGACTTGAGGTGGGACAATAAACTCTTGTTCGGTTGGTTTTATTTCTAGATGGTACACGCTATTGACTGGACGCGTGACAATGTTGCCATTTTGCATTTTTATTTTTACACTCCTGGTTGCTCCAGGTTTCCCCCCTAGTTTGACAATACGTCCCATGGGCCATAGATTCTTTGGATTATAATTTTCTTCTACAATTAAAACTTCTTCAATCCTTGGGGCGGATTGGGTTCCTGGTCTCTTTCCTTTATGGGCGGTCTGAGTCCTGGACTGAAGTAGAATAATAGGACGAGCTAATGTTGGGCGCTCGATTCGTTGCATAAGTGGTTTGAGAGGAAGTAAACCATTTTAAGCGGCAGTTTCTAGTGGGTAGTGCTCAATCTCGTTTATGTTTTGCTGTTGCGCAATTTTTATGAAAAGGTGGCCATCGGTTAGAAAGTCGTTTGCGGAGAATGCGGTGTTTTCTCTTCTAGATGCTTGAGAAATAGAGAGAAGCTCGGAGCGGCGATTCTTTATAAGTAAAGAAGGTTCGCGGCCAGGTTTGATGAATTTAGATTTTAGAAAAAGAAGAACCCAAATGGTAGTTCTTATTTTATCCCATGAATTAAATCTCCCATTATCAATTAGGGTGTTGGGTATTTGAGACTCAGCGGTGGAGTCGGGATTGGTTAAGGTTCTGATTTCCTTGGTGCGGTTTGCTATAAAGACCGGTTGGTGGTCCACATCTTGAAGCCAGCTAAGGGCAATGGTTGAGTCACTCCAGACAAAAGTTTTGTCTATTTCCCGATGTAACTCCATTTGGACGAATTTGACTCCCGCTAAAATTCCTAATAGTTTCAACCGAGGTATTGTGAGTTTTGAGTTTGCTTTTAATCGGCGCAAACGATTTCTTGAGAAAACCAAGGCGGTTCGCTCCTTTGAAAGATGATGCCTATTGGCGGCAGCTAGGATGTACGGAACACTAATAGTCCCGAATGGAATTCCTTTGAATCGATAGACAGCTAAGTTGGACGGCGAGAGAGGTTGGTCCAAGTTTTTAAGCCATAAGAATTTACAGAATTCTCGATCAGATTCGATTGGTGAAATTTGATGACAGGCCTTTTCGATGTCGGCCAAAGCGGGGATATTGGTTTCCCGGAAGATGAGTAATTGGTTCATTAAATTGGCGAGTGAAACTGGTCCTCTAAAGAGTGATTGGTTGATTGAGGGAAGTCCTTTTCGATGAGCGATTGCATCGTATGATAGGCGGAATTTCCCTTTATTTAATACTGCATGGTGTGGAAGGATGTAGTCCTGTGCGTCTGGGTTGCACTGTTTAATTTCAATTACCCCCCGTTCAAGTTGGTCCTCTATTGCGTCATGGTATTCCTGGGCTATTATGGGCGCCCCTTCTATTCGGTTAGGTACTGAAGATAGGCATTCGGCAGCCATATCAAAATTAGAAGGTAATTCAGCTGGGGGTCCGGGAGTTCCTTTTGGTGATTTCCAAGGAAGTAACACTATGTATCTCCCGTCCGGGTCCTGATTGATGGACTGTTTGACTAATCTTTTGGCGATTTCGTCATCCTTATCTTCGGGGTTGGCGGTAATCCCCATAGACTCAAGGTTCCAAAATTGTTCTAATTTGTTACTCGGAGGCATTTCTTCTGGTGAGCTATGCACGGCAGAAAGAGAAATGCAGGTTAAAGAGGTAGGTGAAATATAGTGGGGTAATTCACCGCAGAGCATCGAACCAAAATGCGTTTTGATAATGTGCAGATTTCTTCCTATTTTCCTGGATCCGAGGAAGAATCTCCAGAACTCTCTAACTCCTAGTAGAATTTCTGGTTCCCTATTTTTGACGGGAATATTTTTGAGGTCTCGGTGGTTAGTAGGGATCCGAGTTCCATCCCATTGAATACACGGAAATGCAGGGACGATTTGCGGTATTGAGCAAAATACAGCTTCTTCCCATCTCCCATTGGGCTTATGGAGCCTAATCTTGTGTCCAGTTGAGCGAAATTTGACTTTATCGGCGCCAAATACGCGAACGGAGTGATTGGAGGTAGAAATCTTAGGTGGTCTTAAACGGTCGACCAAAGATTGAGAAATGTAGGAAGTTTGGGAGCCGGTGTCCCAGAGACCAACAGTAGTGTAAATTGGTCGATTATTCCCAGAGCTTAATTTTAGTTTGCAGGTCATCAGAAAGGTATGCGGTTTAGACCCGGTTGCGGTCATAGCCATTTCTGGGTTGGCGGGAACATTCTGGTTTGTTCCGGGTTGATTTTCAGAATTCGTTCGCGAATTTGTATAAACTTGCGGCGGTCGGTGAGTCAGACTATTAACCGGTGACAAGTTTTCATTCCCTCGAAAATAGTCATTTTTCTGCTTAGTTGGGTGACTAATTTTTCTTTTGTATTGCTCCCCTTTTTGGCGGGTGCAGATAATAAAGTGGTGCTTGCCGCTGCATTTTCTACATCTTTTGGTCGATGCGCATTGGCCTAGTTTATGTCCTTCGCGAAGACAATTTAAACACCTGCGTTGAGCCTGCAAGCGGATTTTGCGGCTTTCGGGTGTTGGGAATTTGTGGCAAATTGACGGGAGGTGATCCCCATTGCAAAGTGAACATTGGCCGGAATTTCTTTCAATGACTGTAAATGTGCGGGTAAAGTTGGCTGGCGGGGAACGTTCTGTCCGATGACTCTTTTGTTGGCGAGTCGATTCAATGTCTTCCCTTTGACTGGACGGGACTTTCAATCTCTTTGTGCACATTTCCACTTCTTCCCTTATGGCCACTTGCTCTAATAGGAAATTCCTAAGTTCCTTGTGTGTCCATTCCCCGGCTGGTGAACTTCGTTCCCTTTCTATTATCTTTTCAATAAGGGTGGATGGAAGTTTCGCCTTAATTGTGGTGACTAGTAGGGACGCGTCTTCTTTTGTGCTGAAATTACATTCCAATTGCCTACAAATTCTTTCAATAGTGTCGCAAAAGGTGCGAAGTGAGTCAGCGGTGTCCTTTGTTGGTGGTAATTGGAGAAGCTCTGATTGGAGAGTTTCTCTGAGGTTGCGGGTGTTACCATATCTCCCTTTTAAACAGTCAACTATAATCGGGTAATTTTCGGCAATTCTCGGGTATCCTTGGATGGTCGATTCCGCTGATCCCATGAGTGAATTGCATAAATGGTGGATTTTGAGCGCGTCTGGTATGTTAGGGTTGTGATGGATGGCCAACTCAAAACATTGCCAAAAACTGGTCCATTTTTCGGGTTCCCCAGAAAATTTCGGAATTTTCATAGGCGCGATTTTGAATGAGTCGTACGCCGGATTTCGCGGTAAATCCTGTTGGTAGGTCCGATGGGAAGTATGCGAGTGTCGGGATTGAATGGAAGCGCTCCGTGATCTGTTCATTGACTGGAGATTGCCGGAAGTGCTTTCCCGTTCGACTATTTCATCGATTGTGTCGATGAGGGCCTGGGCGTCCGCGACCCACTCAGTAAAGTGCCGGTAATCTTCTAGTAGGGGGTCATTTGGTCCCGGGCGTTGGAAGTTCTCATATATTCTTTCCTCCTCGGGTAGGTTATCCGGATCAATTTTTTTCATAAATTCTGCCCACTCCCGGTTTAAATTTTCTATCCTTACGGTATTACTTGCCAACTGCTTGCGAAGTTTGTGTAGTAGTTGGAGTTGCTGTTCTTCTAACACCTCTTGTTGGGCGGTGATGACGTTGGTAGCTTCGTTGATGTTGGTTTTGAGTTGTCTGATGGCTGGGACGATCATTCGGCGGATTGGTCCCGACGACATGTTGAATGAAATTATGTAGATTTGTTGAGTTGTGACGGTAGATAGATGAGTAGTGTAGACTGTAGAGTTGTGATGGTTGAGAAGTTCTGTAGTTGAAGATCTAATTGGGCGATCTGGTGAGTGTAGAACTGATGAGTCGAATTGAAGTGTCGACAGAAGAAGTAGTGTTGAGTTGGCTGGAAGTTGCCTGTCGGTTGAAAAACAGAAGAAAAAATTTAATTTAAATTAATTAGAAAATTTGATGAAGATAATGAAGAGAAGAGAAGGGTCCCGGGTCGTGGCACCAAAAAGTTTGTCGCTGCAGAAAACAAATGGAGGGTGCGGCGCGACGGTATGAACCGCACAGCTGTCGGGAGGTTGAATTAGACTGAATAAAGTGAAGAGGAGCTGAGCTAGTCGGGAGGTAGCTGAGCTGGAATGTCCCGGGAATCCCTCAATCTTCAAAAATTGATCCTCTCTAGTGGGCGAAAGGATGGAACCAAAGTTCTTTAAATTGGCGAGCTAATTGAATTGTGGCTCTTAAATGGACGAGCGGAAGTGATCACGCGCTCTTTAGTGGACGAGCGGGATCTGACACGCCTTAGGACGGCGATTTAAAGGAATACCAAGCAAAAGAAAGAATAAACAAATAAAATATTTATTCAGGACCTTAAACTTGGGTAATTAAACCATAAAATGGTGATAAGTGAAAGAAAGACTTAAGTTTGGCCTAATTAGTTAAAAGGAATTTAAAATGGATTAAAGGCCAAAACCTAAGTTGGAAAAAACTATATAAAGCGCAGGTGGGAAAAGAATGTAAAAGTGAAGGAGAAATAAACACAGAGAATAAAGCTTAAAATAGCTAAAACTAAATGAATAAATAAAATGATTAAATAAGCATAGGAGAAATGATCAGAAATGGGGTTAGCACAAAAGGGTGTGGCTAACAAAAGAGATATGGGCAACTGGTACAAACGATTAAATAATTAGACGGTGCAAAAGATCACCAATAAAAAAATCAAAAATATTTAATCAATTATGGCAAACGTCGCTTCGGCGATACTTACTCCCCCCTATGGTTTTTCGATTTTCGAGGGCCTATATCTCGGCCCATAGGCGAGTCCCGAAGCTAATTTTGGTGTCGTTCGACTCAGCTCGACGAGATCTTTCGAATGACATATCATTTGTTTGAATCGGTTTCCGGGTGATATGACGGAATTTTTCCAAAAAGTTTACTGAGAAGGAAATTGTGGTTGATAAACTCGTGGTAATTTGCTTGGAAAAATTTTAGCCTTCAATTTAATTTCTAGCAACTTCGCATCCCACTTTTATTTGAAGTGAAAAGAGAAGGAGAGATTTACAAAGTCTGCATAAAGAATTATAGAGGCTATTTCTCTTTCATCACTGGTGGTGGTCCAGCTTGGTATTATGTATTGGTTGATAAAGATAAGGAAGTAGCTTTTGTTGAAAAGACCAAGACGAGCAAAATTGTTGTCGAAGATTATGGAAAAGTTTTATATTCAGGATGGGGTGAAGATGCTCCAAAAGATATTAAAGACAAAATGTTTAAGGAATATGGGGTTGCGGATTATGTTGAGTGGTATATGATTTGATGTCAGAATGTACAAAGAGAGAGATTGCTCATTAACATTTATTTTTATGATCATACAACTATTTTTTTGAATAAATTTATATAAAAAGTTTTAACGGTGAGGTATGATTAGGTGCCCACAATCGGGGCGCATACAAGCTCATGTATGAACTTTCTTCCTCCTAACATAAGTGGGTTATTAAGGAGTAAGCAGCATTTAAAGCATTTAAATGTAGTTCAGAAGGTTGCAGATTTGATTCCTCCCCAAACTTTTGTTAAACTCTATAATTGGATGTCAAAGTGATCAAAGCTCTTGTACTAGAGTAGAGCAAATTTTCTTTTTCCCGGTTGTCCGAAATATCCAGAATTAAAGAAATAAAAAAAACTTATATACTCCCTACATCGAGATCTCAAAAATCCCAAAAATCAACGGAAAACCAGTGTAAATGTCTTAAAAAATATTTTTTAGGCCTTATGGCTGTAGTAAATTAAAAATTTTCATTTGATTGATATTAAGGAGTAGAAGAAATGAATGAAAGGAAAATGTGGGGAGAAGAAAAAAACGATATGTAGCACCCGATATAATGGTGTAATAAAAGAGAATTTTGTTTATTTTCTTGTGATTCATCGATCTCTCATTATTTATCTGTTTATTAAAATAAATATAAACAGAGTTTAATTGTTTTCTTTTTCACAATATATTTTATTATTTAAATATTTATTTATTTACACAATTATTTATATTTTATTAATTTTCAGATGTCTTCAAAATCTGAGGAGGTTAAAAAATTGGAGGTAATTTGCTTAAAGAGAATTTAAATTAAAATTTAATTTTTAGCCAATTTTCACTACAAATCCAGATGAATTGAAGGGAGAGATTATTAATGTTCGATTGAAAAAAGATCCCAAATTTGGCATTACTATTTCTGGCATGGATGGGACTCGTGCACGAAATGAATTTATTCAAGTATTTTGATTTTTTTATGTTTCACAGTCCAATTTCAATTCTTTTCCAAATTGAATCCTATTTAGACAAGAATTGAAACGACTAAATTTTAGATTACAGAAGTTGTTTCTGAAAGTCCTGCACATATCAACGGTATTCTACTTGAAGATATTATTGTTTCCATCAATAATAAGGTTGTTTTCCATTTGTTTTCTTCAACAAATTTTTTAAAGTCTGTTCTTGGTGCGACGTTGAAAGATGTTCATGGAATTTTGGGCAGTTTTTCTGTCGGTGACGTTGTGAATTTCCAACTTTGTCGTGGCTATGCATTGCAAGAGACATTGGAGAGTCGGGTAAAATTTTTTTTAATCTTATCTCCTATGGGGGTTCGATCTCAAATTTGGCCAATTTCAATCCCAGTTAAAGTTTTCATTTGATTTAGTACCTAATAATGGTAACAAGCCCAAGCTACCGCAGAACTATAACTATTTTCAAAATTATCAAATCCGGGACGCCCTGGTATAGTTAGATTCTGCTTGTCGAGTTAAATCACCCATTCAAGGGCGTCCACGATCCTACAATTTTGAATTTTGTTATTCATCTCATTACCTTTAAGTTGAATAAAGTTATGCCAGAAATAAGCTGCCCGATCACCTTTTTGTCACCATGTAGAAATATAAATTTTATTAATTTACAGTATAGCATTTTAGATTCAATTATTACATAGTGAGTATTGTGGCCGTCAAGCATGGCATTTTTTGTTACTTGATGAAGATATGAAAGAAGCGTTTTTTGAAAAATTAAAGACGGGTGCAATGTTTGCCGCAGATTATGGAAAAATTCTATATTCAGGATTCGGTAAAGATGCTCCACAAGACATAAAAGATATAATTAATGAGGAATATGGAACTAATTTTCAATCTAAAGTACAAAATATTCTTGTTGAAGAAGAAAAAAAGTTTTCTGAAAAGACGAACCAAATGTATATAAAAAATGAAAATAAGGAGTTTGAAGAGCAAAAACAATTGGTATTTTTTTACAATTAAAAAAAATTTTTTATTTTTTAAGTCGGACGTTGAAATATTTATTGCTAATATTGGCAAAGTTGTGGCTGGTCTCGTTGATTTATTTGTTCAAAAACCGGAACAGGATAGTCCCCATCTTGTAGCTGAACGGAATATTGTGTCCTCACTCGCTCTTATGGCTAAACATGCTGATTTGGAAGAAAAAATTAAAATTGGGGAGACTGGAGTAATTGAGGTTTTTATCTAATTTTTATAAAGGATAGTTTATTTTTAAGCAAAAAACATAAAATTTGAACTTTAATATTTTTAGATGAAGCACCAATAAATAAAACACTTTTCAACGAGGCTGGTGGCAAAGCTGTTTATGAAAAATATTTATCGCATCCACGCTTGGGTTCTCGTTATTTCAGAAATATTAGCAAAAATTTGGCAAATGTTGATAACATTTTTAGCGATAGGTTTGGATTTTTAACCAGTTTTTTAAAAATTTTTTAGTTTAATTTTGCTCTATTTTTAGTAAATTTTATTTTACGGGGGTATCTGGCTTCTTAAGCTCAAAAATTTTCGCCTGTGTTCGGAATGCCAAAGTAAAACCGAAATCTTGACTCAATTAGCCCTCTGGGATCAACCTTCTAGACAAAACCTTGCCAAATGTTTTTTATAGCCCCCCCCCATAAACTATAATTTTTCTTATATTTTAAATTATTTTAGTGACTGTATCACAAGTGAAAGTAACGAGGGGAAAACCGATTCCCATCATGTCGAATTTAAAAGGATTGAGGTATTTTTTGTGTTAATTATTAAAACGAGTGATAAATTAAATATTTGGACAAAATTTTTTCATTTTTCAAGAAAATCCCCGCTTCATTGAAAGAAGCTTCACAAGATTTGAGTGATTTTATTCATGTAGTACGAGGTACGGATTCTGACCGTTCAGCTTGGTATTATGTGTTGGTTGATAAAGATAAGGAAGAAGCTTTTCTTGAAAAATCGAGGACGGGCAGCATGGATGTTAAAGATTATGGAAAAGTTTTATATTCAGGTTGGGGTGAAGATCCTCCACAAAAAATAATCGATAAAGTTGTCAAAAAATATTTCAAGGTTTTTTATTTTAAATTATTTTTACTCATTCTTTTATGTTTTAATATTACGTAATTGATTTATAAATACTCGATTAACAGCGTTTTCCGCAATCGAAAAAATTTATGCAGAATCCGCAAGTCAAGAATTATTTTGCGGACAGTCTTGATTAATTCTAAATTTTGGAAACGAATAATTAAATAATTTCGGAATAATTGATCAATAAAAAATCATTCGAAAAAACCCCATATAAAGGAGAAAAATAATCATATGACAATTAATAACTTAATTTTTGCAGTTAGACGAGATTTGTGGAGATTGTGTTAGAGTGAGGAATTTACTTTTACAAGTTTTGGAAATGAATAATTCTGATCTTTTGACTCAACGAGCTATTGTAGCTACATTTGCCAATATGGCTATAAATGCGGAGGAAGAGGATAAAATTGGAATTGGAAAAAGTGGAGCAATTGAGGTTTTTAGTTTTAATTTTTTATGAGTTTAGATAATTAAAAATATTTTGTTTCAATTTTTAATCAAAAAATATAATTTTTGGGGTTTTCGATTATTTTAGCTCTTCAATGTTGATTAAAAATTTTTCAAGATTTTGAAAATATTTTTGAATGTATAGCAGGATATGATTTTTTGTAGACCCTTTGGCGGTTCTAAAAATTGAAACTGATCTGCTATAACTTTTCGATTTTGGTGTCAGGTCAAAAAAAATCGGCAATAGGTTATCGACCCTATTGCTGAAAGAAAAATAATTTTTGGGTTTTGCGTTCGTTGGATTAAAAAATTTTTGCGCCAAAAATTGATATTTGTTCCTGGGACACGTAATATGGGGATTTTCCCATTTTTTAGGCAATTTTTAAATTAATTGAAAATAAATTCAATATGGAAGAATATGATATTGTTGTGGAAGATGGATTGTTATTTTTGAATAAAATTACTGGTAAAAATTAATTTTTAAAAATTTTAATGTTAAAAATTAAAATTTTGACAAATGTAAAGAAGAAATTTGAAAATATTTTAAAAAAGCTGCGGAAAACTTTAACGAATTTTACTTTCCTAACTTTTTTTTCACACAGACACAGAACAGTCACGAGTATTTTTTCGTAGAAAATACCAATTATTTTCTACAATTTTCAAAATTTTTTGTTTTAAAATTAATGGATCCTTAGAATTTTTAGCTTATAAATGGATTAAAAACGACTAATTTTTAAATTAATTTCGGTTTATAATTTTTCCCTTTTTTTTACAAAATTTAATTTTTGACCTTGTTGCGATCCATAATTCTCTTTAAATAAAATCTAATTTTTTTTTCATACAGATGGCATTCGAGAAAATTGTGAAATTTTTGTTAAAACAAGTTTAAACTCTCTTCCTCGAATGATAAAAAAGCTAAGAGGTTTTTAATGTTTTTTATATTCTTTTAATTAAAAAAATATTTAAAGATCCAAAATATCTTTGTGTTATGAAGGAAGAAAGTTGGGAAGAAATGCTTGCCGAATTAACTGAAAAATTGGAAGAAAACGAGGATGTGGAAGAAGTAACGAATGTGATTCTTACAAGTATTGATAAATGGTTTAAATTTTAAAATATAAGAAATAAGTAGGGACATTAATGGCAGAAAGTCTAATTTTTTTAAATCCTTTTTTCCTATGGACCTCTCATTGATTATGAGGATTTTCTAATCTTCCCAACCAACGACCAAACAATTTCCAAAAATTATTTCATCATTTTTTAGGGGAAAAGGAATTCATCAGGTTAACAAGAAGCTCGTTTCGAAGGATAAAGAGGAGATTAAAAAGCCTGTTGCTAATGATAATGTTGAGGCTAATAAAACAAAAGAAGGTAAAAAATTGGAGGTGATTTGCTTAAAGAAAATTTTTAATTAAAATTTAATTCTTAGCCAATTTTCACTGCAAATCCAGCTGAATTGAAAGGAGAGATTATTAATGTTAGACTAAATAAAGCTGAATTATCTGGTATTTTTTATAATGGTATGGATGGGACTCGTGCACGTGATGAATTTATTCAGGTATTTAAATGTAGTGACTTTAAACTGTAAATAAAGTTTTAGGTCGAAAATGTTGTTCCTGATTTCAAGGATTTTCTGCCCGGATTTCCTACCCGGAGATATTCATTCGGAGGTATTGTTCCTCATATCAGTGGTTTTATACCTGGAGATATCATTGTTTATGTTAATCGAGAGGTTTTTCCGTTCTTTTATTTAAAAAAATAAATTCTTTAAGTGTATGCTCGGCGCAACTTTGAAAAATTATCTTAAACGTGTGAATTCTTTTTCTGATAGTGCTATTATCAATTTTCAACTGTGTCGTGGTTACGCAATGCAAAAGAAAAAAGTAAGTCTTTTTCCATTTAAAAATAAAATTGATACCTGATTCTTTTCTTACTCTTATTGTTTTACTGCTCTTAGTTTCTCTAATTTCTAACCTAATAGTTTTGACTCATCGGTTCTTGTTTTCATAGATCACGTATCTTAATAGATTCTCATATTTAATCCCAAAATCTAAATTTTATTTTTAGATTCAACTAATTCGTGGTAAGGATTATAGCGGTTATTTTTCATTCATCACTGGTGGTAGTCCAGCATGGTGTTATTTGTTATTTGATGAAGATAAGAAAGAAGTTCTGCTCGAAAAAGTCAAGCCAGGCACAATGGATATCAAAGAATTCAAAGAATATGGCGAAGTTTTATATTCAGGATTGGGCAAAGATCCTCCACAAGACATTATTGACAAATTGATTGAGGAATATGGGATTAAACATGTATATACCCTTTCGCAAACCATAGAAAACTTGTTTGATCCAATTATATCAATTACTTTACAGAAAATAAGAGTTGTTTTTTCAGAAACATTGAAGAATTTTGGCATGTCTGGCAATGCGTCAGTGACTATCGGTCAGTAAAGTATATGCGAAGATTGTGTGACACAAAGGGTAATTTGGAGGGATTAAGGAGCATATTTAAGTTTTGTGGGGATTGAGCTGATTTTGAGGAGATATCGAAGGATTAAGGTGGATATGTATCAGTTGATTTTGTTGGATTAAGGGTGTTATAAGGCGTATCAGAGATTAGAGTGATATCATAGCGTATATATGGTACGATTACATTCACACGATTAAAAGTAAGAGTGATTATAAGGTATATAGAGAATTTGAACGTATACAAGGAATTTGGATAGGGATAGGGTCTCATGGACTTGAACCTCATACATAGGGTTTGGACCTGGGGGTGCGCAAAAGAGATAATTTGAAAAATGCAATCTTTATCCTCTAATATAACTCTTAAGCCCCACAAATCCTCCGTTATCTTCTTAATTCTTACATATCCTTTACATCTTTACAGTGGAATATTCGAAAATTTAGTCCTCCCAGATCTCAATATATCTGACAATGCTCTTAATCCCACAAATCCTCAATATCCCTCTTAATCCCTTAAAATTACGCCGTATTTCTTTATTTATTCGATATACTTTACTGCCCGATTGTCCACTGACGCATTGACCGGGAGCTGAATTCTGGTGCTAAAAGTCAGAGAGAGACTATATGTATGTATTGCTCATTATTTATTCATTTTTATGATCACACATTTATAAAAATATCAGATTTTCTGAATAAAAATATAGACAAGTCTCTATTATGTTTTATCATTTAAATATCTTTCTAAGAAGATATTTTTAAAAATTATTTAGATTTAGACAGCTTTCCGAAACAGTATGTCATCCAGATTTGAAGATGAACAGAAAAAGAGGGATCTTGAAGAGATTAAACAAATGGATATAAAAGATGTGAATGGTGAGGAATTTGGTTGTAAAGAGCAAAAAAGATTGGTAATTTTTAAATTAAAAGGAAATTTTTTTAAATTTTCCAAGTCTAACGTTGAAGCAGGTTCAAGTAAACTAACGTTAAAACTCGTTGAATTATTGGTAGAAAAAATGGAAGATAATAGTGATGATTATTTGGATGAACGTGGTATTGTGTCATTTCTCGCTCTAATGGCTAAACATGCGGATGTGGAAAATAAAGTTAGGATGGGAGAAACTGGAGTAATTGAGGTGTTTATTTTAGGGTTTTTAAACAATTCTTTAACTGTTTTTGCAATGCAAACTTTTTTTGTGAAATGACCTGATAATTAATAAATATTTTTACAAATTTTAGGTAATTACAAAATTAGTTGACGATAAATTCATGGCGGGTGGTTGGTATGCCATAATTGAAGTTGGATGGTCATTTTTGTTTTCCGTTATGGGTAAATATTTTTATTAGAGTGATAGGGGAAGAGATTGAAATTGGGGATTATAAATCCTTTCCTCTGTTTTTTAGATGAAGCACCAATAAATAGAAAACTTTTCAACGAGGCTGGTGGTAAAGCAATTTATGAAAAATATTTATCACATCCACAAATTGGTTCTCGTTATTTCGAAAATATTCGCGAAAATTTGGCAAATATTGATAACAACATTTTCAGTGATAAGTTTGGATTTTTAATGAATTTTTAAAGCTTAAAATAAGGGGGTCAACCCTGAAGACATGCATATTTTGGAGAGATTGAAACTAAAGGCCTACAAATTTTGAAAGAGAATTTAAGGGGAATAAATACCCATATCTGTATGGATTTAATTACGCTGTATTTTAAAGCCTATGATCCGTCGTTGATGACGACTTGTGATTGTTACCTTAACTTTTGGTGAGTAGAGATCTATATTCCCTCCAATCCCATCAAATTTTCTGATATTCCCTTTTGATATTCCCTTTTCAAATGTTGTAGCTCTTCAGGTTCAACAGTTATTTAGGGTCTAAAGTGTTTAGGTCTTCAGGGGTGGACTCTAAATAAATTTTATTTAAGTGACCATAGTGACAGTGAGGACGAAGAAAATACTTTTCATCCTGTTAAATTTCAAAAAATTGACTTTTCACAATTTGATGTCAATATTGAAGATTATGTTAAAATGATTAATTTAATTTTGAAATTATTGGAAGCTAATAATTCTGATCTTTTAACTCAACGAGCTGTTGTATCTATGCTTGTTTTTATGACTGGCAAGATGGGGGAAGAGGAAAAAATTAAAATTGGGAAAACTGGAATAATTGAGGTGTTTTTGAAATTGTTAAATTTTATAAGGGGAATTGGGGCAATTTTTGACTCAAAATAATAATTTTTTGGTTTATCTATCTAAAAGTCTGGTTAAAATGAACTAAACATTCAATCCTCATTTTTAGGGTTGCCGTTTTCGAGTCGGGCCGACGGTCGAGGCATTTTTTTCGGGCTTGTTTTTATCGAGTCGGGCCGGTACGAGACTTTTTCGGGCCAAACATCGAGGCCTGACTCGATCTTTCGGTCCGAGTCGGTCCATTTTGGCAACTCTACTCATTTTAAGAGGATAAATCTGGTTTGGTCTTTCGACCTTGTTTAGCCTTTAGTATTTCGTTTCGTTTTTCGCTGCACGCCCCTGGCATATTAGGGAGGAGTATTGGCTGATGTAAGGAGGAGAAGCTTCAAACGATTATGCTCTCAATTTAAGCTACCCCTCATTATAAGGTAAACAATCAACTCGAAGGGATATCTAAAAATGTGATGGTCTATTTATAAAAATTTTATTTAATTTTTAGGCAATTTTTAAATTAATTGAAAATAAATTTAATTTGGAAGAATGTGATCTAGTTATGAGGGATAGTTTGCTATTTTTGAGGAAAATTACTGGTAAAAATTAAATTTATTAATTATTTAAAATTTAAATTTTGTCAGATGTAAGGAAGAAATTCTTCTTTTTCTTGGACGGCATTCGAGAAAATTGTCAAATTTTTGTTAAAACAAGTTTTGAAATTATTCCTCGAATGATTAAAAAATTAGACGGTTTTTGATGCTATTTTTATTAGAAAATTTTCAAAAATTTTTTTAAAGATTCACAATTTATTCATATTGTGACTGAAGAAGGTAATTTAGAAATGCTTGATGAATTGGGTTTAAAAATGAAAGAAAACAAAAATGTGGAAGAATTAACGGATATAATTCTATCAAATATTAATCAATGGTGTGTATTTTAGAATATAAAAATGGGTAATGAAAATATAGGAGAAAGTTTTGGGATAAGGCTAGTGTCATGAGGCTTTCTCTGTTTTAGTAAGAGTTTGGCAAAAGTTTAGCCACCTGGCAGGTTTGACCTATTCCCGATTTTATGCAATAAAAGGTAATAATCCTTTGGCACTTTTGCCTAACAGGAAACCCAAAAAAACATTTCAAACTAAAGAAAAATGACCATTTTCCAAGGAAGTAAGGGAAATTATTTATATGTAGATATCCTTTTGTAGATATCTTATTATGAGAAGTACTTTAAATTGGGTGTGTTGCTTAAAAACATTTCTCCCGCCATTAGGCAAACAAATTAAAAAAACACATTAATCTTAAGTTGATTACTTAATTTTGGGGTATTTTTCTAATTTTCTAAAAAATTTTTAGGGGAAAAGGAATTTATGAAGTTAACAAAGAGAAGCCTGCTTCAGACAAAAAGGAAGTTATAAAGCCAGTGGTTAATGATGAAATTAAAGAGATAAAGGAGGTTAAAAAATTGGAGGTAATAACGATTACTCGATAATGAATTTAGACTATAATTTAATTTTTAGCCAATTTTCACCACAAATCCAGCTGAACTAAAAGGAGAGATTATTAATGTTAGCCTAAAAAATGAGAAGCCTCTAGACATTCCATTCGGCATTACTTTGTCTGGAATGAATGGAACTCGTATACAGAATGAATTTATTCAAGTAATTTATTTGGGAGCTTTTTAAAAACAAAATTTGTAGATAAAAAGAGTTTTTGGAAGGCCTGAATATCTCAAGCGAGTTCTGCCTGGGGATATTATTGTTTATATAAATGAGGAGGTTACTGCTTGCCTTATAATTTTTTAAAAAATTTTTTAAAGTGTATTCTCGGTGCAAGGAGTGGCGATGTTTGTAAAATTTTGGTGTCTTTTTCTGTTGGTGAAATTGTGAATTTTCAACTTTGTCGTGGCTATGCATTCCAGAAGACTAAAGTGAAAAAATTTTTTTAATTTTAAAAATAAATTTTAAAATCTTCAACCATAACCCAATCGAAGAACAGACGAATAATCCTTTCGTATGGTTAAATTCGATTCGTAAATAACAAACCTACAGCAAAATCTGGACCCTATTAAGTTGAACTTTCAAAGGTTTTAAGGTTCGATCTGGCCGAGTTCGGGTTCGGGATTCGAAATAAACAGAATTCAAACTCATATTCGGACTCAGCACACTCACTTACTTACTAGCAAATCTCAAAAATACTGAAAAAGCCTTTTCTCTCATTTTTCCTAGGGACCAGTAAAAGCCGTGAAAACCCGTGAAGGCCAAAATTTCTTTTTACCAATTTTTCTTTTTTATTTTTAGATTCAACTAATTCGTGGTAAGGATTATAGCGGTTATTTTTCATTCATTACTGGTGGGAGTCTAGCTTGGTGTTATTTGTTGGTTGATAAAGATAAGAGAGAAGCTTTGCTTCAGAAACGGAAGACGGGCAATGTTGATATAAACCAAGTCAAAGAATATGGAGAAATTTTATATTCAGGATTGGGTAGAGATCCTCCAAAAGACATTAAAGACAAAATGGTTGAGGAATATGGGATTAACCCTGATTATAAGATTAACCAGTTTCCAACCTAAAAAACTCTTCCAATAAAGAGTTTTGATCTTTAGCCATACACTAAAGATCAAAATACATTAATTTAATATTGAATAAGGAGGAAGGTTGCTTTTTTCCCGAAACTAATTGATTTATGTGTTTTTTAAAAAAATAATTAGTTGATAAAAGGAACTAGTGAACGACAAATCAACGTTTTCGTTGATTCGCGGCGAATATCAACAATTATTCGCGAACAACTTTTTTTTAAATACATAACGCCAGAACAACGTTAATATCAACGTTTTGCGCCAAACAACTGCGAATCAACGTTTTTGTATCTTTTTTTCTCTGCTCTGCCATTATATTTCTCTTCTTTTTTTCTGTTAATTTTCGTTCGTGTAGTCTCTCCTTTGGAATTTGCAATTTTCCATTTTTATAAATGTTCAGTCTTTTTTCTGTAATTTTTAGGGATTTTTCCACATATATTCTTACTAGATGGATGAATTTGAAAATGAATTAAGAGTCGCATTCGAAAGCGGCGATCTCGAAGAACCTGTGACACCGTCATCGAAACGTCGAAAATCCGATTTCCTTAAAGGATTAATCTAGGAAGTCCGAAGAGTAGACGATCATGGAATGAATGTTTGTACTTTCGTGTCTTCCAATTCCTGGAGACATTTCCAAAATCAGAAAAAATATATCTGATTTAGTCAACAAAAATCTTACCTATCTTGGGCTTGACATGTCAAAAATCGTTTTTATTACTGATGAGGGATCTAATGTAAGATAAAGAATCGTTTAAAGAAATTGTTAACAAATATTCTGGAAATCACACAGAGAGAATGGAACGAATTTTTTCCAAGCAAAATCTTTTTGAAGCTTATATTCAAACTGTTTCAATGTTGGAAGCACCTTTGAAAATACTTGAGGTAAAAAATAATATTGAAATTTAGAAAATTTAAATTTTAGGCCGAAAATAAATGTACAATGAACAGATTAATGATAGAAATGATCAAATTGGAAAATGCTTGGAGAGGAGAAGTAAGAGGAGATGATTTAGTCAGAGCAGCTTTAGCCAAAAGTGGATTCTGAATATGATTTACAAGTATGGTTTGATTGGATTCTTGAGAGAACAAGAGAATGTCGAAGTACTAAATTACTCAGGTCTGTATTTCATGAAGAATTTTTTAAGGTATTTAATAGGGTCGTTGGCGATTTTAAAAACCGAAAACCGGGGATACCGGTTGATAATCGGTTGCCAACAACCCTAGTATTTAAATTAATAAGTATAAGTAATATTTTTTTCAAGGCTGCATGGGATGTACAAATTATTTGTAAACCAAAACTTCGTCGTGATTATTCAAAAAGTTACAAACAGAAATTAAAAACGATGATTTGGCCGAGAAAGGACTAGATTTTGAGATGGAACAGTATGAAACTGGATGTAAGAATTTGGGAGGACATAAGCTAGATTTGCTAAAATTTTGGAAAGAAACTTCAAACAAAATTCCACTTCATTACAATCATTATTTAAAGATGGATAAAATTTTGTTGTTTTATATATTTTTTCAATTTTAATAAAAAAATTCCTACTCGTAAAATTCTTTTAAATTCCAAAGGAGAGACTACACGAACGAAAATTAACAGAAAAAAAGAAGAGAAATATAATGGCAGAGCAGAGAAAAAAAGATACAAAAACGTTGATTCGCAGTTGTTTGGCGCAAAACGTTGATATTAACGTTGTTCTGGCGTTATGTATTTAAAAAAAAGTTGTTCGCGAATAATTGTTGATATTATTAAATCAACTTTTTTTTCTTAAGAAAACGTTGATATGTCGTTCCCTAAAAGGAACAGAGAGGAATAAACAAAATTGTGCAAAGAGCAAATCAAAGAGCAAAAAGCAATCTTTTTCAATATAAATTGTTCATTATATGTATGTAATTAATTTATTATTTTGTCTATTGACCCTGAAGACTTACAAAATGTGAAAGGGAATATCGAGGGATTAAGATGGATGATAATACCAAGCTCTATGATGGATATAAGTACCCAGTTCTGTATTTTAGAACCACTAATCTGGAAATCCATCGACACTGCAAATCCATCGACATTCCTTTTCAAAATTTGTGGGCCTTCAGGGCATTGAGGGCATTCTTCTTCGTCACAAGGAGAAGAATGCCCCCCCCCCTTCAGTGTCACATTGACTCTTTATGATTAAGAATACAAGATTTTTTGAATAAATATATATACATAAATTTTAATGTCTTTATTATGTTTTAACATTTAAATACTTTTTCAAAAATATTTTTTCAGAAATTATTTAGATTTAAAAACTTTCGAAAAATAATGTCATCTATACTTGAAGAGGTGAAAAGGCGTATGGTAATTTACAAATAAATTTCTTTTTAATCTTCAAATTTTTCAAGGCAAATATTGGTCCAAATTTTGAAACATTAGCGTCTTTTCTCATTCGGGATTTTGCTAGAAATATGGAAAAAGATGATGTTAATCCGTTATATAGACGTTGTAATGTATCTGTACTCGCTCTCGTAGTTAAACATTGTGATGTAGAAAGTAAAATTGAAATTGCAGGATTGGGAATTATTGAGGTGCTTTTTTAATTTTTAAGTAAAGTTATGTGCAGCTTTCCTGGGTTTTCGAGGATTTAAAAAGTTTTTTTGGGAGAAAATTTTTATAAGATCATTTGGAATGTATTCCAAAATATTTCAAACTTGCTAAAAGTTCGGAACGTTTTTTTCGGAACGGACGCAGTTTTTAAGAAAAGGGGCGTGGCTTATGGGGGGGGGGGGGACTACACAAGGACGAACACATTTGCATGTTTTGCACAACCCTGCCTAATAAATGTTCTTTATCTGTTATAATTCTGGCAATATTTTTACAACTTTTAAGGTATTTACAAAACTACTTAGCGATAAATTCATGGTTGATGGTTGGTATGATTTTAATGAAGTTGGATGGTCATTTTTGTTCTCCATTATTGGTAAACACGAAATTTTTATCATTTAATTTCGGATTTTTCGAATTCATATTTATAATGAGTACATGGTACAGTGCTGCACAAAAGTACTTATAACTAGAGCTCGGCATGAGACGGGACCCCGTACGGGATTTTACGGGATCCCGTCCCGGAATCCCGGGTTTTTAGCGAAAAACGGGATTTACGGGATTAATCCCGCGGGATCCCGTCCCGGTCGAATTTTGAAAAAACTTATAACCGCTCTACTTATAACCGCGCTTGAAAAAATTGTTTAATTTGGGATTGAGTTTGTCATATGTTATAAAATTTTGCTAAATGATAATAAGCGTGAAAAATTTATTTTTAGATGAAGCGCCAATAAATAAAACACGTTTCATTGAGGCGGCTGGTGGAAAAGCTGTTTATGAAAAATATTTATCACATCCAGATTTTGGTCCTCGTTATTTCAAAAATATTCGAAAAAATTTGGCAAATGTTGAAAATGGAATCTTTGGTGAAAAGTCTGTGTTTTTAATGAGTTTTTGGAAATATTTTATAAATTTAGTGACAGTGATGGAGAGGAGGAGAAGGAAAATAATTCTCATTGTGTTAAATTTCAAAAGATTGAATTCCCACATCCTGATGAGAGTGGAAATGATGGTGAAGAAGTCCAAAACGAAAATAACGAGAATATTACAATAACTAATTTTATTTTAAAACCTTTGGAAGTTAATAGCTCTGATCCTTTAACTCAAGAGGCTGTTGCATCTACGCTTGCTTGTTTGGTTTACAGGATGACAGAAGAAGAAAAAATCACAATGGGGAAAACTGGAGCGATTGAGGTTCTGAGAGAAATTAGATAAACCGTTTAAAGTTTGACTAAAAATTGCCTATACAATCAGTCCTCATTTCGGAAGTCTACATAATTAGGGTTGTAATTAGGGTTGTATGTCAGTTTTGCCTTTTTGGGTTTCGTCTTTCGCTTTTTAAAATCAGTTTCGGCACACTCCTGGCATATTAAGGGGAGGGATATTGACTAACATAGGTAAGGGGGAAAAGCCCATTTTCAAGAATTTCCAAAATTCATGTAGACATAAAGTTAGGACGGGGTGGTTGATGAGGTAGAGATATCTGTCTAACAATATTCTCGATTATAAGATCATGATTTTCCAACATAAAAGGATATCTAAAAATGAAATGAACTTGTCATATATTTTCATGTCACACCTATTTTGGTGTGTAGAAATTTGAGGTGTAGGAACCACCAAAAGTTCAGTCCGGTTTAATTCTGCTCTTGAAAGTTCTATCTGGGGTCAACGCTTATTTAGTCATAAAACTCATATCTTTTTGTTATATAAAATTCTGTTTTACCTCCTTTTTCTAGAAAATCTTTAAACTAATTGAAAGTAAAATCAGTAAGGAAGAATATGATCTTGCTATGGGAGATTGTTTGACATTTTTGTGGAATGTTACTGGTAGAAAAAAATTTCATTCTTTTAAAATAAATTTTTGTTTTCGTTAGCCGGCATTGAAGAAAATTGTAAAATTTTCCTCAAAAAATGTTTTGAGTTTCTTCCTCCAATAATTAAAAAGACAGAAGGTTTTTAATGTTTTTTATATTTAAAAATCATAAAAAATTAAAGATTGTCTTAATCTTACGGATAAGGGAGTTGACAAAATATTGCTTTTTATGTTGACTTTAAAATTGAATGAAAACAAAGATTTGGGGGAATTTACGAAAGAGATTCTTACAGATATTAGTAAACGGTTTGTATGTTAAAATTAGGGTTGTACCCCGTCCCCGAAAGTCGGGGAATTTGAGAGATTTTTCGAAAATTCCCCATGCCCCCCCCCCCGTCGGGAAAGAACCCTAGTTAAAATATATTTTAAAAATAAGTTTTGACCTCGAAGGCAGTGAATTTCTTAATAACCTTAGGTACTTTTGTGACATGAAGGGGCGCGCGGCCATACTGCGCAAAACCATAACTTGCTTCAAAATTTCCAATTCTTCCAAATTTAATTTTAATCAGATAATTAAAATATTCAAAATTTACTAAAAATTATTTTCTCAAATTTTTTAGGGGAAGAGTAATTTATCAACATAAAAAGATGAAACTTGCTTCAGATAAATATCATATCAAAAACCCAACGGTTAGTCAAGTTGTATTTAATTGATCATAACTTTGTCTAAACACTCGATTACTTAGTGGGTAAACCTCAAAAGCATCGAAATAGCCCCTCTTGCTTATTTTTTCTAAGGACCACTAACTCGTTTAAGGGCTCTCGTCCATACATAACGATTTGGTTCCGAATTTAAAAATTTAATTTATTTTTAGGTTTATCTTATTCTCTGCAAGGATAATAGCGGTTATCTTTCATCCACCGCTTTTGGTAGTCCAGCTTGGTGTTTTTTGTTGGTTGATAAAGATAAGAAAGGTTTGCTTGAAAAAGTCAGGCCGGGTACAATGGATATCAGAGAAGTTAAGGAATATGGGGAAATTTTATATTCAGGATTGGGTAGAGATATTCCACGTGACATAAGACGCAAAATGATGAAGGAATATGGGCTTTAACCCTTAATAAATCATAAAAACGATATAGGAACTAATCAGGGCTGTGAATTATGTGGAAATCCATTTTTTACATTGAGTTAGTGTCTGAAACTCACGAAAAACACTCCGAGAAGATTACTTTCAAAAATAAGGACTTTATTTCCATATTTTTTTATTTCTGGCATTCTGTCCATATTTCGAAAATTTTGAGAAATTGGTAATACCCTGGCTGGCCCCCCCCTTCTCTTTCTTATGTGAAAGAAAAAAAGTGAAAGAAAAAAATTTATTACCGAGAATTTTCACCCATTTTCTGATACATATTTTTTGGGGCTTTTCGTCCATATAATTCACAGTCCTGGTCAATAATTAAATTTTGAATGATTGCGAGACTTCATTAACAGCTTCCTCATTACATATTTTTATTAGCGACACATTTCACAATTTATTGCAAAAAATTCGGCAAGGAATCTCGCAATCCAAATTTGTTATTTATAAAAATCCTGCCTTCTAATAAATTATTGAATTTCGTAAAAAGCTTGAATATTATTTGAATATTAATGCCAATTATTTATTTATCCAACATATATTTTTATAAATATTACAAAAAAAATTTAAATTATTTTATTGTGGTTTTCCAATATATTTTATTATTTAAAAATTTATTAATTAATTAGATTCAGATTTAAATATAATTTTCTTAAAGTATGCCTTCTAAATCTGAAGAGGCTAAAAAACTGGAAGTAATTTGCTTAAATTAAATTTCAATTAAAATTTAATTTTTAGCCAATTTTCACCCCATATCCAGCTGAATTGAAGGGAGAGATTATTAATGTTAGGATAAAGAAAGATCCAACATTTGGTATTTTTATTTTTGGAATGAATGGGATTTGTGTAGAAAATGAATTTATTCAAGTATATTTATTTTATATATTTCGTGATTAAAAATTTAGGTTACAGAAGTTGTCCCAGAAAGTCCAGCACATATCTGTGGTGTTCTACCCGGAGATATTATTGTTTACATAAAGCAAGAGGTTCTCCTTTGCTTTGATTTTTAAAAAGATTTGTTACTTGTGTAGTTTACACCCCATAAGCCCCGCCTCTTTTTTCCTCTTTCTTTTCTTTAAAAATGATCGCAAACTCCAATAAAATAGCCATCCTGTAAAATTACCATTTGGGTCGGGGCTTGTGTTCATTTTCTAAAAAAAGGAAAAGGGGCGGGGTTTATGGGGTATTCTACACAGTATCAAAGATTATTTTAAAGTGTGTTCTCGGCACATGGAGGGAAGATGTCCTTACACTTTTGGATTCTTTTTCTGTTGGTGACATTGTGAATTTTCAACTTTGTCGTGGCTATGCAATGCAAGAGACAATGGACAGCCGAGTAGAAAACTTTTAAAATAGAAGAAAATTGACTATTTTTAGATTTACATAGTTCGAGGGAGGGATCCCACAAATCTTTTTTCATCGGCCACCCGTGGGGGTGCTTGGCACTATTTGTTGGTTGATAAAGATAAGAAAGAAGCTTTTCTTCAAAATATCGAGACGGGAAATTTGGATGTGGCAGATTATGGAAGGATTTTGTGTTCAGGGTGGGGGGAATATCCTCCACAAGACATTAAAGTTAAAATGAATGAAGAATATGGGACGAAGATAGAAATTCATAGCCACTCATAAATCTGGACAAAATAAATATTTAAAAGAATAAAATGGGAATATGTATGAGAAATATTTAATATTTTATATGTTTAGTTTGCATTGTTTTGCAATGCTGGCTGACGATTTTTGAAAGTAAGAGAAAGAGGTAAAAGGCACACATAACTATACCAATTTTTCAAAATTTTTTAGCTTAAATTGGAGTTTGGAAGTTTCAGCTTTAAATATAATAAATAGAGTGTTTCAAAAGATGCAAAAGCATATTTTGTACGTCGGTATGAACATTAGGGACCCGGTTCCTATAGCATATTTGTGCACTTTCGTACATATTTGCATTTATTTGCATATCTGCTACGTTCAAAGCACGTAGGAATTTAAGTAGCAATGTAAAAAAGGGTAAAATCAATTGAAAATAGGTGAAGAATTAAAAAAAAAGATGATTAGACAAAAGGATGCAAGAGATGACAAATTAAAGATTGATTCACAACAATTTACAAAAAAAAATGTGGGAAATTGTGAAAATTCTTTCTATGTTTTTAAAGATATTATCGAAAATTGTTCAACTGATTTTTTTTACATTTATGCGGAAAATAAAACAAATTAATGTAATATTTTTTGTTTGATTTTCCGCATAAATGTAAAAAAAAATATTTTTATTTTATTCAATATATTCTACATATTATATTTAGATTTATTTTTTGAAAAATGTATAACATCTAAATTTGAAGCTAAATTTTAGGAATTTGTTGTTGAAGAGGAAAAAAAGTTTTTTGTTGATAATATTGCTTATTTTTAAAACTTTTGGAAATGAATAATTCTGATCTTTCACCTTACGAAAATGTTGTATTATCTCTCATTCGTACGGTTAATAAACTAGAACGTGAAGACATAATTGGGAGAACGAGAGTTATTGAGGTATTGTTCTTCATCTTAACTAACTTTCAAAGAAAATTTATTTTCTCTTTTAAGAGAGTCTTTGAACTAATTGAAAGTAAATTCAATATGGAAGAATGTGATGTTGATGTGAATGATTGTTTAGAATTTTTAAAAAGATTTACTAGTGAAAGCAATTTTTTAAATTTTTCTGATTTACAAATTCGAGAAAATTGTGAAATTTTGGTTAAAACAAGTACTAATTTTCTTCCGGCCATGGCAAGAAAGATTTTAAAAGGTTTTTAAATTAAAAAGACCACATTTTCCTTTCCTTCCTCTCATAAATATTACAAAATGGGTAGCAATACTTAGTCTTACTCATGGCGATAAGTATAAGCTCTGCATTTAAGAAACTATGATCAGATATTGTGTTAGTGTATCATAACTCTGGTCGGGTAGAGCCTATTACCAGAAGAGATTTTATGGGACTAAAGTGAATATTTTGCACTTGCACTAATAATACACACACACCGAACGTTGTTTCTAAGTACAAATTTAGGTACACCCCAAGGTACTTTAGAGCTACAACTTCGTTCATAATTGTCGAATCTGGGACGCCCTCGACGAGTTGAAGTGAATCATACCTAAGCGTCCCGGATTTTACAATGGGTGTGGGCGTGCGGTACCTTGGCCTGATCCCTCAAAAGCTAGTGACTCAAGATATGGAATCGTTTTACGATGATATATCGTTTTGGTTTTGGTATGATAAATTTTAGAAAATTTATGAGAAAGAAAAGGAAAATGTGGGCCGATAAGGTACCTTAAAAATTATTAAGATCCAAAATATCGTCATATTATTATGTCCGATAAATGTAACAAAGAAATGTTTGTTACATTAATTGAAGAAATGGAACAAAAGGAGGATGTTGAAGAAATAGCTTATATGATTCTTGCAAATATTAATCTATGGTTTGTGTATTTTTATCAAAATAGCTTGTTAAAAATTCTCTCCCTTGTTAAAATTTTTCTTCCTTCTCTGGCCTTAATTATTTCTCACCTCCACCTACCAACCTTCACTTGGATATTCTCGTTAATTTTAATTCCTAGGGGTACACTTAAGCGAGGCCCGGCTTTATTAATTAAGGTTTATCTTGCTCAAAGGAGGTATTATCCAATCCGGGAGCAGCCCAAGGTGCCGTATAGCTATAACGTTGTTCAAAATTGTCGAATCCTGGACCTCTGGTAAGGTCCGAACCATATCAGGATGTCCCGGATTCGACAATTTTGAACAACGTTATAACTCTTCGGTACCTTGGGCTTGCGGTACCCTGGGGTGTACCCATTTAATTCGTTCTGATGAATATTTACATATATTTGAACAGGGGTTATTTGATTTTTAAAATATATTTTTCGAGTTTTAATTTTACCTAAATTTCCAAAAAAATAATTGTTTTTCAAAAATTTCCAGGGCAAACGACATTCATGAAGTCAACAAAAAGCTCGTTGCTGATAAAAAACTTGAAGTAAATTTCTATGTAATATTATAAAATTGCGTTAATTTTTAGCCAATTTTCACCACAAATCCGAATGAATTGAAGGGAAAGATTATTAATATTTGCATTAAAAAAGATTCAAATTTTGGCATTGGTTACATTGGTATGAGAGGGACTTGTACAAAAAATGAATTCATTCAAGTAGTTTAGAACAGACCTGCCCATGGATACGGATACAGATAATATCAAAATGCCTGCGGATATCCGCCTGTATCCGTCTGTATCCGCCGTAAATAGCGGATACGGATACCACGATCAATATCCGTGACCAGGCTTGGTTTAGAATAAGTGACTTGAAAATGAACATTAAATTATAGATTGCAACAGTTGATCCTGAAACTCCTGCTTATATCAGTGGTGCTCTACCCGGAGATATTATTGTTTTTATAAATCAAAAGGTTTTTTCCTTTTTTTATTTTAAAAAGGAATTTTAAAGTGTATTCTCGGCGCAAGAAGGGAAGAAGTTTATAAAATTTTGGATTCCTTTTCTGTTGGTGACACTGTGAATTTTCAGCTTTGTCGTGGCTATGCCATGCAAGAGACAGTGGATAATCGAGTAAAAAAATTTTTGTGTCGTAGATTTTGGACAAAAAAAATATTTTTAGATTTATATAATGCGCGGCATTTCTAGCTGTTATTTTTCATTCATCACTAGTCCAGCTTGGCATTATTTGTTGGTTGATAAAGATAAGAAAGAAGCTTTTCTTGGAAAATGCAAGACGGGCAGCATGGATGTCGCAAATTATGGACAAATTTTATATTCAGGATGGGGTAAAGATCCTCCACAGGACATAAAAGATAAACTTAACGAAGAATATGGGACTGGATCTGACTAAACGAGATCGGATTTAATTAAAACTCGCGAGGAATTTGAGTACCATCAAAAACCTTCACACATATTTGCTCATTTAAAAAAAACTTTACAATAAAAATGTAATTATAGGCGCTATTGAAAGATGCTTTTTAAGCGGACTCTTTTTCTAAAAGTCGAATGTTCCAGGATTTAGGGAATGCCACCCTCCCCATCTTATATGAAATTTTGCAGTAGTGCCCAATTATCTACATATACTTATTTTGTTTATGTAATACAATTTAAATAATTTATATCAGGGATAATATGTTTTAAGCATTTTTTAATATAATAACAATTAGGTATATATTTTATTTTTTTAACTCAAAGGAATCGAACTTTCCCCCTCAACAACCAAATTTTAACCCACTTAACCACAAAATTAAAATTCATCGATTTCCCTTCGCTTGCTTTGCATCAGCCAATAATTGTTGTAAATTTGTATGATAAGCTCTCACATTGTCGTATAAGACTGCCAAACGTTTTTGTAACAATTCCCATTCAGGACGGCCAAAAGGTTGCTAGAAATAAAATTTTTTTGAAGAAAATTAAGAATTAAAAGAAAAACCTCTTTGTGACCATTTTCCGATGTTGAATTGTTGCCGTTAATTCCTTCAAAAAAATAAAATTATTTTTCGAATTTGTGACAAAGAGAGAAATTATAATTTTTATACTAGTGATCGGAAATTTAAAAGAAACCATGACCTTGTTTCTAGGTTTAGGTTGAAGACAGTGATCAGATTCTTGTCCTCAAGTCAAGGAAAACTTAGGGCCTGTATCTAGATCCAGGTCAACCTTTAGTACCAATAAAACAATTCCTTAAAGTGTGGGGAAGGGAAAAGAAAAAAAATCAAAAATCAAAACAAACCGTTTTCAACTCCATTAGAATCCTTATCAATATTTGCAGACATTTTTTGAATAAATTAGAAAACAAATCTGAAAATTGAAAGGAACAATTTAAAAAATAACATTAAAATACAAAGAAAAAGCAAGAAAAAAGCACTAAAATATCCAAAATAATTTAGGAAGGTATTTTGGCTTTCAAATATTTTCATTTTTTTGGCGGATATTTTATTCATTTCTGGCAAAATGTTTATTTAAATTCGTCATTTAATCAAAAAAGTAATTTTAGAGAAAAAGTGACGAGAGAGTGTGGTAAAATTAGAGGAAATATAGAAAGAAATTAAAAAAGACTAGGGGAAAATAAGAGAGAAATATTCTCTGTCTCTGTTCGATTTTTTTGAGTCTAATTTCATTTATTTAGTGCTACGTATTTATTTTTTATTGAAATTTTGTTTAATTTTCTTTTCATTTTTCAAACACCTGTTTCAAAATACTTGATTATTTATAAGAGAAAGAGAAGTTTCTCTTAACAATTTTTGTCTTAACTTTAGAGAAAAATGAGCAGTAAACAGCACTTCTCATTCTTAATGTTTTTTAGTAGTAAGTCACAAAGCTTCAAAACTTGATTGAACACATTATGAGACCGTTTTTTCATAGTTGTTGAGAACCTTGACCAGATTTTTGACTCACGATCCAGGAAAAATCAAGAAATGGATCCAGATCCAGGCCGTTCTCTTTTCTAAACTCGAAAACGAATTTAAGTTTTATTTATCTCTAAGGCCGTGATTACTATCCACATTCTCTTAACATTTAAAATAAATTGGATATAAATCCCGTCTCCTCAAATTCACTGTTTTTTTTTCTGCTTTATTTTTTGAAAATTCTCTTACATTTTTCTAAAAACAATTTCAATCTTTATTTCCCCACTAATTTTAATTAATTTTAGAAAATTTATTTTTAAAAATATCTTCAAAAAAAACAAACAAAATGACTCTTCAGTGGACTATTATTGCGTTTATTCTTTACGCAGAGATTTTTGTACTTCTTATACTTATGCTCCCTTGGATTCGACCGACAATGTTTAATTTTATTTTTAATTAATTTATTATTTTTATGGGGTCAATCTGGAAGACCTACTGACACTGAAGACCAAAAACTTTTGAAATGGAATATAAGAAGAGGATATTGAGAGGTTGGGGGGATTAAGGGAATATCAAATGATTTGGAGAGATTGAAGGGGACAAAGATCTCCGCTCACCCAGAGTTATGGTTACGCGCTTTTAATACCGTTCCATATGTTCAAAAATACAGAACTGTGTACTTATCTCCTTAAATCTTGCTACTCATCCCCCTTAATCCATTTTTATTCCCTTCGTAAAGTTGTAGGTCTTCAGTGTCAACAGGTCTTCAAGTTTAGACTCATTTTTATTTCTAAAGGTGGAAGAAGGTTTTCAACAGTCGAATAGTTCACAGTTTTAAGAATTTTTCGAATGTTTATGCTTACGCTTTTATTTTTGTTTTGCTTCTTCTGTTTGTTGGTATTTTTTACTTTTGATTTTTAAAATTTAATTTTTCTCTAAAAAGATGCTACCAGAGAAGTGCGCAAATACAGCCACATTGACATTGCTAAAGAAATCCCGGCTCGTGCTGATGCAGATGCTGTTATTCATATGCGTTTGTTCAGGTTAATTTTTAAGTTTTCTGGCATGGGCTGGATCCTGTGTAGTCTAGAAAACCCAGTAAGCTAAAAAAATCTTTGGGTTTTCTGGGCAAAACATTTCCTTTTGTGATACAAATTTTCACTAGAAAGCGAATTTTAGTTTTGTTTATTTATAATTTTCTGTTTACTTACATTTAAAAACATCTTGAGGACAACGTTTATGAGCTTTATAATTAATTTACTTCATTTTTTCAGGGCTCAACGCAATCTCTACATTAGTGGATTCTCACTTCTACTTGCACTGTAAACTTATTTTCTCCTTAATTTAATTTATTCCTTTTACATCATTTTAGTGTTATTCGTCGAATTGTCACCCTCCTTGCACGTTGTGCCTATTTGGAATTGGCAGCGGAAGCAGCAATGAAACAGGCCGAAGGGGCTGGTAAAGCTGCCAAAGATCTCATGGACAAAGTTTGATCTTTGGCGTTTTTTGTTTAAAAGAAGGGTTTAAAAATTAAATTTTTAGAGTGATGGAAAGGAAACTGAGACAGACAAAAAATTGCGAGAAGATTTGAAGGAAATGAATTTGAAGTTGAAAAAGGCGGAAACTGACCGTGATGCAATGAAAGCTCAATCTGAGAATCTCCAAGAAGAATATGAACGTGTTACTGCAAAGCTGAGAGAATATGAGGTTTTTTTTTAATTTTAAAGTAAAGATTCGGGAGTTGGGGAGAGAGATTTTGGGACATAGCTGAACATACTTGGAAATGTCTTGCTGGGAGTACAATACTATTTTGGGTGTTTATTTTGTTTAATACTCATCAGGGTTTGGTTGGAAATAAGGCTGGTCGGTGTTTAGATGGGTGTTTTAAAATTTTTTTGAATCGTGTTTCGGATTCCGGTTCAAAAAAGCTTCTGGGTGGGGTAACCAGACTTCTTGGTACACATCACTGCTCCTAATATGAGCTAAAAAACAAAATGATTTAACGAATTTTCAGGATAGAAATGATGAATCCTTTCCAAATGTTTTTAATTTTTTGTGGAAGGGATGGGGTTAATTTTGTGAAAAGAAGGACTTCAAACTATTTTTCCGATTACTTTTTTTAATTTTTCTTGTTTATGTTCCTTTGAAATCAATATAAAAAAGTTTCCTTTTTTATTTTAACCAATTTTCAGGCCAAAAATGCAGGAACTGCTGGAGGCGATAAGAAGAGTGATTAAAGAAGTATTTCGACATTTATTTTTCTTAAGGTTGGAGATTGTATGGTTTGTCTATTTTAAAAAGCTATTCAGAATTTTCTGATAATTATTTTAGTGGCGGAGATGTGATTTTTTAAAGGTTTTTTTAAATTTTGGGATGAAGTGTCTCCGCACTTTCGGTATTCTTTGTTTATTTTAGATTCCCCCTTTTAACAATAGGCAGCTATATAACAAAAGGGGATAATGGGCGCGTCATTAAGCTCAAAATTTCTTTTCTAATTATGCGACGAAATGTCCCATGCTTCCAAGGTCACATTTTGGACAATAGGATGACTAAAGCCATAATTTTGGTGTTTAGACACTTTTCGAAACTCGGATTGATCTATTATTTTCAAATAAAATCACATTTCTACATTTTAATTTCAAAACTATTTTGTTTTCTTTGTGTGCTTTTATAAAATTATTTTGGTAAAAATTTTTTGAAAATTTTTGTTTTAAACTTTTGAATTTTCTAAGATTGTTATATTTTTGTTTTAATTTTTAATTAATTTTAATCAATTTTTTAATTTTTTAAATAAAATGGCTGCAATTATTGATGAAGACCCTATTGGTGTAGAACACGGTTTGCTTTTTCTATTTTATTTGATACTTTATGTTTAAGTCTATAGGGGTCGATTTTTAAAATTTATATGAAGAGGGTTTGGTGTAACCGGTAGTAATTTTGTCTTTGTTGAGAGAGGGTTCCGGGTTCGGTTCCCTATGAGGAAAATCGTTTTTAAATGCCTTAAATTTCACTCCCATAGCATTAAAAAAAATTTTTTTTAAGTTGATGATGACCCTTTGGCTACTGATGGTGGAAAACTTGAATCAGAAGATGGCCGTGAAGAAGTTTTTGTAAAGCCGTTGATAACGTTTATTTTTTTCTTTAATTTTTTAGTTCCTAATTTATTCAGTTATTATTGTCATTGTGGTCAAATGTCTTTAATTTCTGATACTCCAATTGCAAGAATGCCTTTAAGAAAGCGTGATGGGGCGCGTGTTATTGACCCAAAATGGACAATTGCAAAAATGGTTTTTTTTAGATTTTTATTTGTTATATCAATTTCTTATGGTATTACATTATAGGGGCTGGTTTGGTTACCCGAAAGTATGGCTATTTTAGACAAGATTTGCAAAAATATCTGGAAATCCAGATACAAAAACCCACAAGACAACTTTTTCTTCAACCCGGTCCTGAAGATGCTGGTTCGCACCCTGCGCCGATTAACTTTTTACACTAGCTGAAGGAAAGAAATAGCTATAGCCCAGCTGCCTTACTTCATTTCTAATCAAAGGGGGTGGGAGTCTATAATGTCCGCAAAATTGAAAATAATTTTTATGACCTGTCCGCAATAAATTTGCGGACAAACCTAAATGTGATTTTACCATTCCACAGCCTACTTTTTTATTAAAAATTCAAAATTTTATCCAAATATTTTCTAGTTTTATGACAATGGAGATACTGTTTATATTCGCCGTCCAGAAGGTTTGGAACAACAATATAGAAGGTTTTTTAAATTTTTATTTAAAAAATATTTTTTCTGTAAAGAAATTGCCGTAAATGTGGAGTTCCAATATTTTATCAACACCCTTTTAATCTTCAAATAACCTTCATTTTTGAATCGGCGCTGTTATCTGCTAATGAAATTGGGGGAATTACTGGAAATAATGAAGAGGAAAAAGTACAAAAAGTTATGCTTAAAAAACATGTTAGAAATCAAGGTTTTTTGTTTTTAAATAATTTTTTAGGGGTTAAAAGGGATGAGGGGTAGTCAACCAAAGGATGATACCAGTTAAAGGGTGGAATACTAAAAGTTTGGAAAATTAAATAAAAAATTTTTTAGAACCGTTGGCATACCGAAAACCAATAGGGGGACTTCCACGGTTTAACGTCGACCCTATCTGATATTTGTGGCCTGTTGCTGTTGTGATACGCCCTTGGTGTCGAAATACCAAAAACCTCCCAAAGAAGCCATATCACCCCCTCCCCCTTAATTATTTATTCAAAGCTTCACTTCCCCTAAAATTTTCCAAAACAGTCATCAACTGATTTTCAATTCCTTAGAGATTTCCAAAAAAAAATTCCTCTCAAAATTTTTTTCAATTTTCAGGCAAAGTCGGTTCTGTAACCGTAAGTACAGTTAATGATGAAGAAGAGGAAGTAGAAGCTAAAGAAGTTCTCGAAAGTTATTCTCTTAATGCTAGAATTGTTGAAGAGGTTTTTTTCTAATTTTTAAAAATTAAAAATAAATTCCCAAAATTTTAGGCAATGACCCGAAAAGGAATGATTCGAAAACGAATGCTTGGAGAAGAAAAGAATAAATCGGAACAGGTTAGAACAAAAAAGAAGCATGGAACGCTTTAAATGTTAAAAAAGAATTTTTGAAAAATTTCACAACCTTTTATTTGAAAAAAATATTTTTAAAAAATTGGTGAATTTATATGCTGCCTAAATAAATTGTTTTTAATAATTGAGTGATCAAAAATAGATTTAAAAATTTATTTTAGATTGTAGCCAATTTAGTCTAAAGTTTTATTCGAAAATTATTCGTTTCCCAATTATCTCGATTGAATTTTTAAATTCTCGTTTATCCGCAAAAACAATCCGCAAATTTATTTATTAATTTTTAAGGATTTTTATCGACAGAAAATGATTCTTTATACTAGGGTTGTCGGTTCTGACCGAAGAACAGAGGATTTTTCGGTTCGGTTTCGTATATCCTAAGAATTTCCAGGAACCCCGACAACCCTCCCAAAAGTCTTCCCAAATTTTTTCGACTAAAAATATCTTTTGAAAATTAAAAAAATTTTTTCTAAAAAAACTTTCTTGGCTACAAATCTATTACAAAATATCGCAATTCAAAAAGGGAGGGGAGAGATCGTCTTACAAAAAAAATTTTTTTAAGCTTCCTTAAATTCTAAACATTTACAAAAATGAAAATTGATTTTTTAGGACTAAAAATTTTGAGATTTAAAAATCTAAAAAAGATAAAATCTGGAATGATTTTTTAACTCAAAAAATCCCTTATTAAAATCCTTCCCAATTATTTTTGACGTCGATTTAAATTCTCCAAATCATGCGTGGCCAACGTTTGTGCTGCTGTAACTAAATGAACCTGGAAAAATGGGAAAATTTATTTTTAGTAAGATTGTTTTTTGGAGAAAGTTTACTTGTTTGTCGGTGAATTATTTTTGTCCGCAAATATTTGTAACCCTTTTTCTATTATCCAGAATATAAAATTAGAAAGGGATTTTGCTTGTCACTAAACTATTTTCGTCCGCAAAAGTTGTCCGCAAAAACTTGCGGATATTTTCCTAATTATCTCGATTGGATCATTTATTTATTTTCAGGTGGAATAAGATGATCTTGTGATTTTTTAGAAATTCTTAACCTCGTTTTAAATCAGTAGCTTGGACAAAATTTTAGAATAGTTCAGGAAAAAATTCCAGGTTCATGATTAAACCGAAAATTCTTACTCTTTTTTTGTCAACAGAGGAAATATCCAGGAAAAGGGATTTAATTCTAATATGACAGGTTCCAGTTAGAAAGGAAACCGAAAGGATCCCATCCCCGGAGGGCTTTTAAATTTTGAGAATAAAAAAGTCCGCAAGTTTAAAAATCCGCAAAAAATTTTTAAAAATAAAAACTAACCAAACTAATAGCCGATTTAACCGCCGCAACAGGAAAAACCAAAAAAGCCAATAAATTCATAAAATTAACAAAATAAAGACTTGGACCAGGCCAAAAATGAGAAATATATAAAAGTCCATAAAATGCTTCATTGCCAAAACACATTGCAAAAAGGAAAGGTTTTGAAGTGTAGTAATAATTTAAAAGAGGATTTTTTGATTCTTTGTGGGTTAATCTGTAATAGATATAAATTAATTTTAAAAAAAGTGCTGAAAAAGTTTTCTCGTTAGGGCAAGTCCGCAAGGGATTTGCGGACATGGAAATTTTGTAGGAATTACTGGTAAAAGGTAATCGATCATGCTGAGTCCGAATATGAACTCAGATTTTGTTTATTTCGAACCTCGGATCCGATCAAGTCGGATTCGGGGTAAAACTTCAAAATTCCAATTCTTCACCAAGAAATCAAAACCAATTCTCTATTATTACCGAATTAATTAATTCGGTAATCCGCAAAATGAAGAATTTCCGCAAAAAAAATGTACGCAAATTTTTTTGAAGAAATCCTGGTCCTAGTTGTAAATTAGATAAAATTGATTTCTGTCCCATGTTAACTAATAGAAAAATATAGGGGAATTTTGTAATTGCTAGGAAAAAAATTTAAAAAAAGCAACCAACTTTCCAGTCAGGTCCCCAGCATGTAAATGAAGCCAATGAGAAGCAACATCAATAATTCCAACAAATTGAAAAACAAAAATACAAGAAGGATAAAAATGGCAAAGTGCCATTAAAAGCCCGAGAAAAGTGCAGCGATCGGTTAATTGGTCTAGCATTGCCCCAAAACGAGAACCTTTAAAAAGTGAAAATTTTTTTGAGGAGAGAAAATAAAAGAAGTCTGGGAGTTCATAGTCGGGATAGTCTATTTTCTGGTATATTTCATAGTGTGGGAGTTACAGTCTAGGACAATTCACCGCCTTGGAAAATTCATCGTCTCGGACAAATCACAAACAGAAAACTACCAAAGGTTCTTTGCTGCAGCCAAAAACTAGTCTGCTGATTTAGGAAGTAAGGGACCACTAGCTCTTGGCCAGTACCAGAATAGGACGGGTTGAGAAAAAAGTATAAGTCTGGGAGTTTCTCTGATCGGGTCGAAAGAAGTCCGGGAGTTTTGGGTCCCATCCCTTTCTCATGAGTTCAAAGACCGAGCTGGTGGATTTTGTCGGAAACTTGGATTGGTAATAGTCTCGTTTCCCAGCCCCATTTTTTCCTCCCAATTTTCTACCCTATGTTTGTACGGAATGGTCAAATTTCCCCCTTTCTTTCATCAAATTTGCCTTTCCATATTTTGCCTAAAAACAATCAAAAAGATTAATTTTTTATTCATTTCTTTCACAAGGATAAAAAAGTGAGACATGATGCCAAAAATTATAAAAAACATTTTCAATATTGCCAAATCGTTTTCGCCACAGAAATTCCGGGAGATAACTTTTATAGGTTCCAGTGTTGTTGCCAAACATCCATATCTTTCGTCTTTCTTAACACTTATTGTTGTTCGACCCCCACATTTGTAGCAAGTTCTCTTTCCATGAAGAAGTCCAAGCTTCTCAAGCCATGCATCGAAATCATTATCACTCAAACGTAATTTTTCATATAAATCAATAGGTTTGAAATTCTTTAGTTCTTCCATTTTTATTAATTGGGAAAATGATTCTTCTCATTACTCTAATACTTTTTTAAATATCACAAATTAATCTTTTTGATTGTTTTTAGGCAAAATATGGAAAGGCAAATTTGATGAAAGAAAGGGGAAAATTTGACCATTCTGTACAAACATAGGGTAGAAAATTGGGAGGAAAAAATGGGGCTGGGAAACGAGACTATTACCCTTGGATTTTTCAAGATTCGGAATCGTTGTTTTTCGATGCCGAATTTCAAACCTAGACCAAAAACCCCCAAAATAAAATCCCAGCTCCCCGACATGAGATTTTTAAATAAAAAATACTTTGATTATATTTCCTAGCCAAATATCCATCAAAAGCATCCAAAAAAGCACTCAAAAAATACCAAATAGAAGCTGCTACTGGACGTGTAGGCATTGCAGCAAAAGAAAATAAAGCAAAAATAATTCGCAAATAACCAATTAAATTGGGGTAAAATAAATAAATTGGATTTAATTGAAAATCCATTTTTTGATTGAATCTAAATAAATAAATTGGTGGGGCTCCAAGAATTTTTACAAGTGCAGTTAATGTGTGAAAATTAGAAAGTAAAAAATAAAAATGTAAAAAGATTTCAAAAAATAAGGAAAACCTTATGTTAACTGTCCGAATTAATTTTCGCTAAATTTAGGTATTATGAAAAATTTATTTCTTGTTACATTTTGACTTCTCTTACTTTTTTTCTCAAAAAACGCAAGCCGTTTCAGTGCCAACTTCATTATCTTTCTCACCGACGCAAGCCACTTGAGTGCTAACTTCATCGCAGATTTTGAGTGACAACGAGGGAAACTCTCTCTCATTAGTTCAGGGTTCATCGAAAAATGCCAATCAAAAGTACAAATATCTCGATTTAAAAGTACATAGGGACTAAATTTCCAAATAAAAAGTACACTCCAAATTAAATTAAAAAATATTTATTCGTGCTCACATCTTTATACACATCTTTTATACATATCTTTTCTAATAATTTCTTGTTTCCACTGAGCATTTTGTGCATTTAAATGCACTTTTTGTGGGCCTGATCAACCCTTTGTTCCTCTTAGGAAATCCCGGGCATATTCCCTCTCGTATTCCATTATTCTGGGGTTTGGGCCCACCGCACTGGTAATAACTCATTCCGGGGGTCCCACCTCTACTCAAGGCTGTGGAAAATTTTTTTTAATTTTTATAATAATTATTGACTTTTATTTAATATTATTTGCCCTTTATTTATTAGGTACTTTGTTCATATCCCGCCCCCCACCCCTATTTGAGTCTCAGATTAATTTTCCTTCTTTGCTGCCAATCATTTATTTTCTTTCTTTTTTAATACCCATCATTTTCTTCCCTCAAAACCCAAAAGGGCGCACTGCCATAACGGCGCAAAGCCATAACTTGCTTCAAGATTTTCTAACCTTAACAAAATTAATATGAAACGATTCCTCTCATCGAGTTAAAGAGATTGATAACAAAAATGACAAGAGTCAAAATTATTCCAGCAAGTTATGGGTTTGCGCCATTATGGCCGCGCGCCATTTTGGGTGTCCTATATTTGAGGGAAGAAAATGATGGGCATTAAAAAAGAAAGAAAATAAATGATTGACAGCAAAGAAGAAAAATTAATCTGAGACTCAAATAGGGGTGGGGGGCGGGATATGAACAAAGTACCATTTATTATATTTACTTATGTCAATCTTACCAAGTTGTATGTATAGGGCATTTTTGGCTCCGGCTTCGAGTTTTTTAAATGTTGATTCTGACTCCGGACATTTTAATATTGGTTCGAGTTTTTGGTTTTGGAAATGCTTCATATATGCTCCAGGTGGAAGATCAAAAACTGATTTCCAACTGCACGCAGCAGTTGGAAATCAGTTATTTATTTTAAATCGACCGAATAGAAAATATTGGTCTACAAACGGTTATTCCCTATTACCAAAATTTAAGAGTGACTTATTTCTTTTTTATGATTATTTATCGTTATTCGACCCTATAAGCTGACCGAATTGAATCTATCAATCTAATACTGTTTCATAAAATCTAAGACGTGTTTAGTTCCAACAGCACGCAATACATCCGAACGCAGAAAACATAACAAAATAAAAACCCGCAGACGGTACACGGATTCGGAAGGAAAAAATGCGGAATTGCTGAGACTCAAGATAAATAAAGATTTTGAAAGGCAAAAATGCCCAAAAATGCACTCTGCCTAGCGCTATTGCCTATCAACGTGTTTTACATTGAGAGAAATAATCATAAGGGCAAATAAGCAATTATAAGTAATAAATAGAGGGCATGTAATCATGATCAGGGGTGGGATAATAAATAAATTCGAAATTTCGAATCGAAATTAAGCAAATTAAATATTCGAAAAACCCGGATTCAAATCTCGATTTCTTACAAAATGTTTAAAAAAATTAAAAAATATAACCAAATCTTCTACCAAAAATTCCTGAAATAATATCCATTTTTTGCTTAAGAATAAATTTCTTTAAAAGAGACGAAACAAAATATTTTAATTTGCCTTTAAACGACTAGGTGCGAAACTGGGGACGAAATTTCGATCAGCCCTAGATTATATATAGATGTTTAACTGACAAAGAGAGTGATTATTCATATAAAACCAGATTGAATCCCCTCAACTTATTCATTTAAAAATTTTTTAATTAAAAATCTAATTCAAAAAATAGAAATCATTCATTTAAAAGAGAAATGCGGGTAAAATTAAAATTGTTGTCAATTTTTGCTTTGATTCTCGTATTGAATTTTATTGTTGGCGCTGCTATGGACAACTTTGATGAAGGTATGAGTATTTAAAAACCGGTTGTGTACACGATACTCGAGAGATATGTTTTTCTGAAAGCAAACTTAATATTGATATAAGTTGTTTTTAGAAATATTTTTATTTAATTTTATAGATGGAGTGTTAAAAAAAAGTCGCATTAAACGCTTGAAACAAATTGCTGAGATAGACATTTCAACTGGAATGCCCACTGGAGGGGTATACTCAACTGATTCAATTAAATTCGAGGAATATAAATATCTTGAAGGAAATGTGGAGTATAAAACACTTTTCGAGACATTTAATAAAGCTTTTGAAAGACTTGTAAATAAAGTTGCCCAATTTGCTCAACTAAATTTAAAAAATATTAATATATCTCTTGATGAAACAGATGTTATTGCTAATGAATTAAAAAAATATGATGAAATTGTAAAAAATAGTAAAAATGTTGGTGAGATGTTAGAAGAAAAGGTAATGAGTAGAACTGGACACATAGCTAAGAAAAATTTTTAATAATTCGTATAAAATTTTGGAGATCCATCCGACCCTAAATATAGCTATATCGTATTTATTCGAACTGAATGAATTCCATCTACCGTATTTCCTAAAATAAAGCCCCATGGGGCTCTATTTTTCAACTATCCTCCAAGGTGGGGCTCTATTTTAGGGTGGGGCTCTAATTTAGCATGGGGCTCTATATTTCAACCTATTTTTCAAATTACAAAAATGAAAAATTATTCTTTTTATTTACGAAATTTAGGAAAAATTTACGATTTTCAATAATTTTTGCAGACTAAGATTCTGTTTATCTTTCCAAAAGTTTCATCTGCGGGTTGAAAATAAAGAAATCTGACTCCTTGGCCTTCCAAGGTTCTCAAAAATTTCACACTAAAATAAACTAATGTCCAATAATACTTTATTTCTCAAATCTCTTTATCCCCCTTGACTCTTAATAATAATAGTTAGTCCCGTTTCCCAATGCCTTCTAAATGGGGTAGTCGGATTGGAATGGGGTTGTTGGACAAGCGCTGGATATAGGGGAGTTTTGGATCGAGAGACGTCTTCCCTCCGAATCAGTCAATAGCTCCCCCAACCCTCTTAATTTTAATCTCTTGATTTCCCTTTTAATCCTCAAATTCACTAACATCCATTTATTCATCCAACCCCTCTCCCCGTTTACTCACCTCTTAACAATTTTGTTTACTAATTTGGAATAAAGTAAATTTAAAAAATTGAGGTGGGGCTCTATTTTAGAGTGGGGCTCTAATTTAGCATGGGGCTCTAAATTTCAACTATCCTCCAAAGTGGGGCTCTATTTTAGGGTGGGGCACTAATTTAGCATGGGGCTTTATTTTAGGAAATACGGTATTTTTAATTCCCTAAAAGGGCATTCGATTGGGAGGTTAGTTAATTATAAATTTCAAGGAATCTGCTACTTCGTCGGTTAGAGAAAACTACTTGGAATTGATAAATATAATTATAAAATGCAAAACATTTATGATAAATTTACATACAAACGGCTCAGAAGGCTCTTTGATTGATATTTACTCTTTTATGGAAAAAGCAACCTCTTTAACCTACAAGGAATCATTGTTTAATTTTACCGCAATAAATGTGTTGAAATTTATTTATAATTTATCAAAAATACAAAGTAAAGAAATGGATAAAGCTATTAATGAAGAAATCTACAAGCAGCATTTGGAAAACAAAGAGAAATTGAGAAAAGAATATAAAAATGTAATTGTGGAGGGTGAAAGTCTAATTGGTTTATATGCTGCCTTCGAACTCTTTATGGGTATTTTAATTATTTTTGAAAAATTTAATTACTTTTAGAGGGAATGAATGTAACTCTTGTAAATAATCGTTCTGAAGATTACACACGAAATCGAGATATATTTTTTGATCGAAAATGGATGCCACAATTACGTTTAATTTTGGGGACTGAATTTAATATATTATTTTTTGCAAATAAAAAAGGAAAGAAATCATTGGGAGGAATTCCTGCTGAAAACGATGTGCTTGTTAGAATAAAAAATTTGGAAAATGTTTTGAAGGAGCGGTTAAAAAATTTATCAAATTATATAAATAAAAAAGAAGACGAAAGAATAAATCAGGAAATTCAACATGATATTACAGAGGAAATTCAACAAGAAAATCAAAAAGGAAAATCATTTTTGAATTTGATCTATAATACAACAGTCTTGGACATAAATACAGACTATGAAAAGCCTTTGGCCATCCTTGGTACTCCAGTGAATCGTCCTCAATCCTTTGATTTTGGACAGTTAAAGCAATTATTAACAAATTATGAAGGGATGACAATGTTTGAATTAAATAAAATAATAAGAATTCCTTTTGATTTGATTTTCTGTGATTTTATTAAGCAAATTAAATATGGTGCGGCTATTCTCAACAAAAAACATAACAAAAAAATTTTCAAAGAAAATCAGCAGAAAATGTCTTTTAAAACAGATTTGATTGATAGCAGTTTAGACATTTTAAACGATTTGATTAGAAATAAATTTTTCCTTACTCAAAAAATTAGAAATCGTTATTATTATATGGATCTCTTGATTCACTATGATATGGAAGAAATAATAGATAATTCTCAAATTCCTTTGACTAGAACGGGTAAAATTTATAAAACAAACTCAGATGGAAAACTTTGGTATAATAATCATCCCAGAAATGGTGAAAATATTTCTGTCCAAATATTTGAGACAAAGACAAAAATACAAATTGAATCAGATATACCTATGGCAATTGTTGAATTTATTGAGGAAGTTAAAAATGAAAGAGAGGAATTGGAAGAGATGAATGAAGCGGATGTTAAGAAAAGATGGTATGAAGTAATTATTGAAGAAGTAAAATATAAACATAATAATGAAGTTGGTGAGAAATTAAGACAGATAGAAACAAAATACGGAGGTAAAGGATTAAAATATGAAATCTATAAGTTCAAAGTAATAAATAAGATTCAAAACGAACAGAATAAAATATTGGAAGAAAAGATTAAGAATATAAAAATCGAAAATGATAAATTATTTGAAAAAGGGCTATTAAACATAGAAGAAGAACATGAAAAGTTTTTGAAAAAATATGACGATTTTATTGTTGAATTAAAAGAAAGATGGTTTATAGCCGTCTTTTATCAAGTACTTAAATACAAAAGCGAAGGCAAAAAGAAGGTGACAATAGAATTAAGTAGAGAAAAAGAAGGGGAAGCAAGTAGTAGTAATGTTGCAGCAAATGAGGAAGAACAAGACGAACATATTCTTTATTTTGACAAAAACAGTTTTAGAAAGACATTTGTGGAAAAAATTTATGGAAAAGAAGATAATGTAACATTAGTTAAAGAAAAAAGAGATTCAGGAATTCTTGTGAGTATAAACGATGAAAATACTACAGACAAGATAAATGGAGGTAAGTTATTTCTACATAAAATGAGGGGGATAGATACGCATTCCGACGAGTAACCGACTTTTGAATTTTACTTGTTCTTGTCTTTTGGTTGATACTACCTGCGGAGCACTATGTAGTAGTCCCGTTTCCCGTTTCCCGAGTTTTTTTCCTCCCGAGCATCACTACTATGTAGTCAAGTCTGTGCCGATTGACTATTCGACGTGAAGCATACATATTAAGGTTTTTATTTAAACTTTTCAAAGGTTTGCTTTTTCTATCATCCTCCAAGGGGCCATTCTATTAGAGGGGGCCATTAAAATGGAGACCAGAGCTGGGCGAAAATGAAATTTTTCACTCAACGAAACGAAAACTAGCAAATATTATTACTGAAATTTAGTTTAATGGATTTTCCACTTTTAAACATTTTTTGATATAAAATAATATTTTCTCCATATCGATTTTGTATCTATCTAACATAATGTTTTTAAATTTGTAACTAAAATTTTATACAAATCTAATAATAATGCTTATAAAAAAATAGTTTTTAAAAACGGTTGTCGGTAGGGTAGTTGAAGGTTAAAAAATATACAAGGGATGAATATTTGGAATGAATATATTTAAAGGGGCAATAATTCAATTTTTTGATAAATAACGGATCTGATATCTTTGGGTGAAGGACAAAACACACTCCATCAAAAATATAAGTACATAAAATTAAAAAACACTGTCCACTTCTTCAATATTAAATTAGATTCATGTCGATATATGTTATCTTAATATCCTTATCCTTGTTTAGTAACTACATTACTATCTCTAAAATTTTTAGTTTTATCTAATGTATCGGACCGATGGAATATGTTTTGCCCTAAACAGACATTTTTTTGAATGTTTGCTTTAAAAATTAAATAAAAAATAATCGTTTAGTTTAGCTGAATACAGTGTGTTTTCTTTCTTTTTTTTGATTTTTAATCTCTGTCTTTTATAAATTTACATTTTTTACATTCTTCGATTCTTCTTTCTTTTAATATTTTTTAATTTATCTCAGGTTTCTTCAAAACTTTCATTAACATTTCTACTAAATCATTTTGTTCGCTATTTCTATTGTATTCTTTAATAGCAGAAACTGTTTTCTCAACTTCGATCACACCTTTAAAAATTTAAAACAAAAATTTTAATTGAGCTATCCGCTTTTGTATGGCGAAAAATTTTAATAGTCAATTGACAGTCCCGACTAGTGCTTCGCAAATACATGGTTATTTAATCGGTACTTTATGGATATGTCACCCCCCCTCCTATTTTGAGTCTCAGAGTCTTCCTTATGCGTAAAAAATGGTCAGAGATTATTTTCTTCTCCATGTCAATCATTTTTTCTTCTCCAAGTATTTCGCTTTTTTATTTTGCCTTTTCACATATTTTGTACTTACATTTCACTCATTTCGTTTCCACATTTCACTTATCTTGCTTGAAGAAAAAAATGATTGACATGGAGAAGAAAATAATCTCTGATCATTTTCTACGCATAAGGAAAACTCTGAGACTCAAAATAGGAGGGGGGTACCATTTAATCTTATTTATGTAGTCTTTAGAAAACTTGCCTTCATTCACTTCAAATATATTTTTATCGTTTAAATTCACAAAAATCGCCGAATTCTTTTTTTCTTTATGCAATTTTATTGCATTTTCTTTTCCATAAATGTGTAGCAAAAATGGTTTACCAATTAGACTGTTTTTGTCAAAATAAAGAAAATGTTCCTCTTCATCTTGAATTGTTTTAGTGCAAGTACATGCTTCTTCTTTTTCTTCGTTTTCCTTACTTAATTCAATTATCACATTATTTTTATTTCCACATTTTAATACTTCATCAGGTAAATGATAAAAAAGAGCTCTAAACCATCTTTCTTTTAATTCAACAATAAAATCATTATATTTCTCCAACATTTCCTTACGTTTATTTTCCAAATTTTCTTTCAAAATTTCTTCATTCTCAGCTTTTATCTTTTCCAATTTTTCTTCCCATATCTTCTTTTGTTCATTTTCTATCATGTCTAACTTTTCATCCAATTCTTTATAGTTCTTGTCTTTAATTTCTATATTTTTCGCCATTTTATCTCTTTCGTCTATTGTTTCTTTCAATTCTATCGACACCTCTAAACTTTCAAGTTTGTTTTCCAATAATTTAATTTCCTTCTCTATTTTCTTATATTTATCAAATAATTTCAATTCTTCTTTTATTTTTTTATTTTCTTCAATATTTATTTTTTTTATTTCACCTTTCTCATATTTGTCGTTTAATTGATGTAGTTCTTCTAGCAACCTTTTATCATTATCGATTTCTATATTCTTGATTTCTTCACTGTCATTAATCATCTCATATCTATTGCTTATTCCTTCATAGTGATATTTGTGTTTAGACATGTTTGGTTTTTTTGAAGTATCCTTGTGTAATATCATTTCAGATATTTTACTAAATTTTCCTTTTCGTTCTTTATTGTTTCCCATTTTTATATCTTTAATCTCTTCAAATATTTCATCTATCTTGTCCACTTTTTCTTTTAATTCTTTAGACTCCTTTAAATCTTTGCGTATGTTTTTCAATTCTTTTAGTTCTTTTTCAATTTTCTCATATTTTATATTTAATTCTTTCAAGTCTTTAAAAATCTCGTATCGTTCACTTCTTATCACTTTTAATTTTTCGGCAACATCCTCATCATGATTATATTTTAACTCGTCGATTATTGCTTCATTCCATCTCTTTTTAAATTCCTCTTCATTCATCTCTTTCAATTCTTCTCTTTCATTTTTAACTTCTTCAATTAATTCAACACTTGTCATAGGTGTTTTTGATTCAATTTGTATTCCTGTCTTTGTCTCAAATATTTGGGCAGAAATATTTTCACCTTTCCCTCGATGATTCTTAAACCAAAGGCTTCCATCTTGGAATGTTTTATAAACTTTGCCTGTTCTAGTCAACGAACTTTGAGAATTATTTTTTACCACTGTGATGCCAAAACAAATCAACATAACTATATTATAGTAACGTGTTCTAATTTTTTGAGAAAGGAAAAATGATATATTAAGCAATTTTCCTAAATTTTCGAATAAAATATTCAAATTCATTTTTATATTTATGGACAATTTACTTTCCTTGAATATCCTTTTGTTGTGATCTTTTTTGTTGATGATAACAACACCATATTTAATTTGTTTTGTAAAATCACAGAAAAATAAGTCAAATGTTTCAGCATTCTTTATTTCATCAAATTTATCTAAAATAGCCATTGGCTGTTCATTCACATTATTAATATCCAAGACATGTTTATCACTTATAAATTTCAAAACCGAATTTTGCCCTTTTTCCTGTACAAAAATTGACAAAATGTTTAAACGTTCTTCTAGCGCATATTCAAAATTTTTTAGCTTTAGAACAATTTCATTATCAGCCAATTTTATTAACGAATCTTCTTTTTCAAGAAATAATTTATCAAATTCAGTAGCCAATATGAAACGAATTTTTGACAAAAATTTGTTGTTAATATGTATCTCATTGTCTAGACTGTTAGAGTATCCACTCACTGTAGTTACATTCATTCCTTCTAAAAATTAATTTTATAGACTCTTTATAAAAGATCAGTGCTCGTTTATTTCACTCGATTCGAAACTAGATTCAGATATAATATCAGGCACAATAGTTCGCAAAATGAATTCAGTAGATCTAATATTCAGAATACAGACTAGGCAATGCAGACTCCCAGGACCTGCAAAAATAATTAAAATACCCATAAAGAGTTCGAAGGCAGCATATAAACCAACTAGACCTTCACTCTCCACAATTACATTTTTATATTCTTTTCGCAATTTTTTGTTTTCCAAATGCTGCTTGTAGATTTCTTCATTAATAGCTTTATCCATTTCTTTACTTTGTATTTTTGATAAATTAAAAATAAATTTCAACACATTTATTGCGGTAAAATTAAACAATGATTCCTTGTAGTTTAAAGAGGTTGCTTTTTCCATAAAAGAGTAAATATCAATCAAAGAGCCTTCTGAGTCGTTTGTATGTAAATTTATCATAAATGTTTTGCATTTTATAATTATATTTATCAATTCCAAGTAGTTTTCTCTAACCGACGAAGTAGCAGATTTCTTGAAATTTATAATTAACTGACCCTACATAGTGCCCTTTTAGGGAATTAAAAATAGATGGAATTCATTCATTTCGAATAAATACGATATAGCTATATTTAGGGTCGGATGGATCTCCAAAATTTTATACGAATTATTAAAAAAATTTTTCTCAGCTATGTGTCCAGTTCTACTCATTACCTTTTCTTCTAACATCTCACCAACATTTTTACTATTTTTTACAATTTCATCATATTTTTTTAATTCATTAGCAATAACATCTGTTTCATCAAGAGATATATTAATATTTTTTAAATTTAGTTGAGCAAATTGGGCAACTTTATTTACAAGTCTTTCAAAAGCTTTATTAAATGTCTCGAAAAGTGTTTTATACTCCACATTTCCTTCAAGATATTTATATTCCTCGAATTTAATTGAATCAGTTGAGTATACCCCTCCAGTGGGCATTCCAGTTGAAATGTCTATCTCAGCAATTTGTTTCAAGCGTTTAATGCGACTTTCTTTTAACACTCCATCTATAAAATTAAATAAAAATATTTCTAAAAACAACTTATATCAATATTAAGTTTGCTTTCAGAAAAACATATCTCTCGAGTATCGTGTACACAACCGGTTTTTAAATACTCATACCTTCATCAAAGTTGTCCATAGCAGCGCCAACAATAAAATTCAATACGAGAATCAAAGCAAAAATTGACAACAATTTTAATTTTACCCGCATTTCTCTTTTAAATGAATGATTTCTATTTTTTGAATTAGATTTTTAATTAAAAAATTTTTAAATGAATAAGTTGAGGGGATTCAATCTGGTTTTATATGAATAATCACTCTCTTTGTCAGTTAAACATCTATATATAATCTAGGGCTGATCGAAATTTCGTCCCCAGTTTCGCACCTAGTCGTTTAAAGGCAAATTAAAATATTTTGTTTCGTCTCTTTTAAAGAAATTTATTCTTAAGCAAAAAATGGATATTATTTCAGGAATTTTTGGTAGAAGATTTGGTTATATTTTTTAATTTTTTTAAACATTTTGTAAGAAATCGAGATTTGAATCCGGGTTTTTCGAATATTTAATTTGCTTAATTTCGATTCGAAATTTCGAATTTATTTATTATCCCACCCCTGATCATGATTACATGCCCTCTATTTATTACTTATAATTGCTTATTTGCCCTTATGATTATTTCTCTCAATGTAAAACACGTTGATAGGCAATAGCGCTAGGCAGAGGGCATTTTTGAGAATTTTGTCTTTCAAAATCTTTAATTATCTTGAGTCACAGCAATTCCGCATTTTTTCCTTTCCGAATCCGCGTACCGTCTGCGGGTTTTTATTTTGTTATGTTTTCTGCGTTTGGAGTGTTTTAATCGAGGACCGACTCAGAAAACTTTCGAATCATATGTCATCAATTGTCTCAGCCAGCTGAGTTGACGGTACCACTCTCTAGGGTAAATGCCTGTGGAACGAGATATAGGTACCAGTGCAACCAGAATGAGTTTTAATGGAGCTACAAAAACTGCAACGGCACTAAATGTCAAATAATCATCCGGAGAGCACAAGGATAAAGTCTTGATACAACTGGAGAGACTGTATCAACAATTAATTAGAGGATGAAATACCGCAAAACGAATTTTCTAAAAATTTACAGTATTTTGGCAGGATTTTGGGCAATTTTCGCAATATTTATCCCGAAAACTCCAAAATGCATTATTAAAGCCGGTCAAAGGCGACTGGCACCCAATTAGCCGCGCCAAGTTGGCCCGTCCTAGGACATTAAGCAAGATAATAAAAGTCATAACACGTTAAAACACATTTTGTAACTTAGTCTTTTTTGGCTAAATAAAAGAATTAACTAAATATATCAAAACTTGGCTTTTGTGCAAAATTTGTGTAAAAAATTTTATAGCGGAAAAAATTTGTATAGACACAATAAAATCTAATTTTCGTTTTTTCTATTCTTCCTTCTTTCCTCCTCCCCCTCCACTTCTTTTTCCCCCTCTAATTGAATTATTAATTATTTCAATATTTAAATAAATATAAAAATAAATAAAATTCAAAAAGCAGCACAAAGCATTTAACAAAGAAAATAAATCTGGATATAATTTTGGTGGTGAAATAAATAAATTTGCCAAATTAATTATTATAAGGAGAAGAAAAGATGTCCAATTAATTAAATTTTCCTTTGAAAAAAAATTTTTTTTAATTTGAAAAATTAATTTAAAGGGATCAACCCGGAAGGTCAACTCCCATGAGGTCTACACCTTAGTGGTCAACTGACTCTGGAGGTCAACTCCAAATATTAAGGCGGATAAAGGGGACTACCTTTTGCCTTATCTGATAGTTACACGAGAGAATTTCCGTCTTCAGTCTCTTAATCCACCTTAACCCCAATAAATCCTCCCTAATCCCAACAATCCCTCATTAATTTATCCAAATCCTTCTTAAACCGAACAAATCCTTCTTTATCCGACTAATATTTGGAATTAACTTCCAGAGTTAGTTGACCACTGAGAGTGTTGGTTGCCCTCCTGTAAGTTGAACTGCTGGGTTGATTCAAATTTAAATTACCATTATTTTCGTTTTATTCTCTTCTTTAACCAAATTTAATTTTTTTGCCCTTTCCTTTTCCATCCAAACATTAAATAAATGATAAAAAATAAAAAAGGGCAACATTTCTGGCACTCCATCCTTGATACACAAATGATATAAACTTAAAATTGATAAATTTTAGAAATCAGAAAAAGTTCTATTTTAAGCAATAAAATGCTAAATAAATTAATTTTGAATGTTTACAATTACAAATTAATTTAAAGTAATTATTTTCGAAAATATTTTGAATAAATTTTTGACGAGAAAAGTTTTTGGCAAAAAATTTTTAGAAAAAATAATTTTGAAAAAATTTTTTGCCAAAAAAATAATTAATTTTTAGACAGCAAATTTCTCAAGAAATGCAGCGCAAATTTTAGTAAAAATATGAAAAATTTCTCAAGAAATGCACGTTTTAAAAACACTCAAAAAATTTAATATTTTATCAAATAATTTAAAAAATTCACCTAAAACAACAAGTTGAAAGCAAAATTGCCATAGAGTTACCTAAAGTTTTGTCATCCAAAAGTAAAAGAGCTGGACTAAAAAAATAATTTAAAAAAAATATTTTCAAATTCCCCCTTACATTCCAACCAACAAAATTGACTTTTCGTGTACTTGAAATGAAAATAAATAAAAACTGAGAGAACAAATAACTAAAGCAATTCGAAAATTGCGTCCATTAGGTTTTGATAAAAGACAATATAATGAAGGTAAACATGTTGATAATACTAATAATGAACTGGAAAAAATTGAGGGAAATTTTTAAAAATTTTAAGCAGGTTTGAGTATTTGTTGACATTTGAAAATTTTTTTGGACATTTCACGTTTTACAATTAAAGTTGCTCACGACCGGTTATTAACCGGTACACCGATTTTCGGTTAATCCAAATTTTAGAAACCCGGTTTTCGGTTTTGAGTTTTAGACGAATACAGGTTTTATTTTGGGGGAGTTTTTAATAAAATCACTCATTTTTACAAATTTTCGGTTTTCGGTTCTTAAAATTTTCTAAAAAGGGTTAATTTTTTCAAAAAAAAATCAAAATTTTCGGTTTTAAAACCGGTCGTGAGCAACCCTATTTACAGTTTTTAGAATTTTTAAGTAAAAATTTTTTTTTAAATAATCCCCAATTCGAAAAATTAATTTTCAAATTTTTGGCATTTTTAAATATTTAAAATTACCTAATTTTAATTAATTTTTCAACCGAATAAATTTGTTTAAATTTAATAAAAATAGAAGCACAACACCAAAAATTGGCAACTTTATCCTTAAAAATTAAAAAATAATTTTTTTAAATAAAAAATTTAAAAAAACCTCAAAAAGTCCTCTATAAAAGGGAAATAATCTTTTCAAAACTTGTAAAGCCACAGAAGGAGATGGAAGTAAAAAGGGAACCCACAAAATGAAAAAAGTATCAAAAACAACAAAAGAAAGCTTTGACAGATTTGAAATACTTTAAATTAAAATTTTAAATTTTTGACCATTTTGAAATTAAAAAAATCTTCTTCCTACCTTTCCACAATTGCTGAAAAAATACTTTGGCCCCTTTTAAAGCTTCTGGAAAACAAAAAGACGGCGACAGGCAAAGCATGGTATAACTAAAATTTGTAAATGATGACACAAATTGAAATTTTTAAGGTTTGTGGGCATTTTGATGAATGACAGAAAAAAAGTTTTCGAAAATTTTTAGTCAAGAATATAACCAAATTTTAGGTCAATAATATATTTTTTATTTTTGACCATTTCAAAGTTTGACCATTTTTAAATAATTTTTAATTTAAAAAAATAAACCTCCATTTGTTTATGATTTAATGCCAAAACAAAAAGTATAGAACCCAAAAATAATCTCCCCTTATCAAAAGCAAGAATTGCCCACAAAAATAATCCGAGTGATAAATGGTTGTATTGAAAATGGGCACAATCAACAAATAAAAGTCCAGGAAAAAGTAAAACTTGGGCTAAATGAAGGAATGACTGAAAAATAAATTTTAAAAATTAAAAATATTTTTTGTTCAAAATTAGCTCTAAAATCCTTTAAACGTTGTTCTTTGGTTTAGTTGGAAAATCCTTAGTTCCCTACAATAAAGGGGTTAAAGGTTCGAATCCCAACTAGGGGAATTAAATTGTAAATTAAATTTAAATGGAAAATAGTAAGAAGAATGACTTTTAAAGTGTTAAAAAATTTTTAATTAAAAAAAATTTTTTTCTTACAATTTTATTTTGCTTTCCCTCATTTTGAATAACCAACAAAATTAAAGCTGGCGCATAAATCAACATTAAAGTAATAATAACACTAAATCTCATAAATAATTTAAGTTCAATTTGTTCGATTCCTCTAGATTTGTCTAATTCTACCCAACTTGAATTGAATTTTTGGGAACTAAAAAATTGTTTTTTTTTTGATTTAAAAAAATTTTTAAAATTTATTTTACATTTTTCCCAAAATCCAAGAATGGTAAGCAGTCAAAACAGGATCTTAATAAATAAATTATTAAATTTTAAAATTGACAAAATTAAAAAGAAAACTCACAATCTAACCCCCAATAGTCCAAATCGTAAAAATACCTAAAAAATAAAATATTTATGAATTTTTGAAAATATTCTCAGGGGCCCTCTCCCCTTCTTTATTCCAAAAAATCATAAGCGAAATGAAGAGCAGATTTTTTGAAAGAAATTAAAAATAAAAATTATTTTTAAAAAATCCCCCAACCCTTTCTAACCCAATATCCCTCAAAATCCACTCTTATTATATAGAAATAAAGAAAACCATTTAGAAATTGGCAAATTAACTGTTACTTCCATCCAATGTCTTTGCGCTTCAAAATCACCATAAATTATCGGCTTATTGTAACCTTTAAAAATTTTTAAATAAATTATTTGCAAAGTTTCAAATTAATTTTCACTCTTAAATTAATTAATTATAATTTTTGGTGTAGTTGGAAAAAATTTGGTTTCCTCCAATAAAGGGTTAAAGTTCGAACCTCAGGCAGGGAAATTAATTTTTTAATTAAAAGAAAAATACTAGATTGATTTCATAGTTAAGAATCAAAAAAAAATTCCTTGAAACTATTACTAGGTATATTTTTGATATATTTGAAAATGTGTTTAGTTTCCTACAAAAAAATGGTCAAAGGTTCGAACCTATGTGGTGGAAATTAAATTTTTAAAAATTTATTTATGAAAAATGTTTAAAAATTTTTGCCAAAAAAACATTTTTTCCAATTTTCTAAAAATAATTTAAACAAAAACAAACCAGAATATCCACAAACAGCCAAACAACTAGCAACAACAAATAAAAGCGCTACAACACTCAAAACAATTATTTTATCTTCCCTCTTTTTGTACAATCCAATAGAAAAATGATTACAAACTTTTAATTTGTCGTCGTGATCTGTTGGATTATCACACTAAAAATTAAAAAAAAATTTTTATTAAAAAATAAAAAATAAACCGTATCAACTTTAACAAATTCAACGAGTGAAGAAGACATATCTTCCTGTTTCTCTTTCAAACAAAATTTTTTAAAGAAAAAGTTAAAGCAAAAACAAAATAGATAAAGAAATATAATTTAAAATATTATGTAAATTTAAATTTAAAAAAAATTATTATTGATTAAATGCTTTCCAATTATTGATTAAATGCTTTAATTTTAATAATAAAAAATTATAATATAAAATCACAAAATATTTAAAAATATAAACGGACAAAGAAGAGGAGGGAAAATCCAGAAAAACTCAATAATTTTTATTAATAAAAAATTAAAAAAATTTTTTTTTATTTCTGGATTTTATTTTTAAAAATTTTTTTTGAAAGGCATTTCTAAAAAAATTAAATTAATGGCATAATATTTAAGTAATTTATTTAAAAAAATGAAAGGCTTAGATTTAATTTAAATAATTTCTTTAATTTCATAAGAAATTCCAAAAAATAATTCTCTAAAAATTAAATCAAAGCCTTTAGAGTAGAGGACAACCCGAGAGGGGCGTTGAGATTGAAAAATCTCGAAAAAATTCTTAAACGATAAACGTCCGCAAAACTTTTTTTAATTAAATTTCGAATATAACGTCTCGGTTAATTCTCTACTTAAGAGAGTATTTTAAAATAAAATATCACAAACAAACAAATATTTCCTATTTAATCTCTATCTTTTTTAGTTAATCTTTTTAATTTTTGTAAACGTGAAGATAATGAAGGTATTAAACGTATAATTTTATAAATTTGCTTGGCTAAAGGATAAATGGCTGGAAATGATTGGTTGGTGTCATAATAGGCAATTAATTCTAATAATTGAATTCCAGCAGAATATAAAGGTTCTGAAAAATTTTTTTTAATTTTTTGTTGTAGTTGGAAAGTGTTCCAATAAAGGGTTGAAGGTTCGAATCCCGGTAGGGAAATTTAATTTTTTTTTAATATGCAAAATTTTTAAAGAGGGAATCAAACACTTACAAATTAAATATCTTTATAAATCTTTGTGAGACCAGGAAAAGAAATTTAAAAAAAATATCAACGTCCGCAAACTTTGTCCGCAAAAAAATTCTCGACCGAATTTGAAATGAATTTGCAATACAGCTCTAGTCGACTCAAGAGAATTATTTTCAAGAAATTCCTGGAAGTGGGAAAAGATGAAATGTTGACCAGGAAAGAGAAAAAAATTGATTTTCTAATTAAAATTTTTGTGGACAAAAATTGCGGACGTTGACGTCCGCAAATCTAATTTTAAAAAATACCGTTGTCCATCAAATTTTCTTTTCCAACAAATTCATTACCAATTAAATCAACAATCTTTTGAATATTATTAAAAATTAAATTATCAATATTTTGTGTTGTTTGTTGTTGATTTTTTAAAATAAATAAAAATTGTAAACATTTATTTAATAAAATAATTCGATTAGAATGGAAAGTTGTTGTTGAAATATTTTTTGAAGGAAAATCTTCTTCTTGGAATTGAAAACTAAAATATAAAGAAATAGATTATAAATAAATTTTTGCTAAAAAATATTTACAAAAAAAGTTTTTCAAAAAAAATCTATGTTTTCATTATCAATGTCCGCAAATTTTTGTCCGCAAAAAATTAAAAACAATTTGCGGACAAATTTGCTGACAAAAATTATTTTATTAAAAAATTAAAAAAAACCTGATCAACCAATGCAGAAAAGAATCAAAATATTTAAAAGGAATTACTCGGCTTTCAACCTCATTATTTTCCTCTTCATCTTCATAATCCTCCATTTCCGGAATTATTAATAAAAGTGAAAGAAATTGAGCTACAATTTGTAAAAATTTTGAATTTAAAATTGAAGAAAGTTGAATATGAGAAAATTGTTCCAATGAAAAATTGAGAAAAGCAACTACCTTAAAATAAATTAGAAATTATTTAAAATCCAAATACTGCCAAAAATAATTATTAGAAAAAACCGGTTAAGGACGATTCAGTATAGCCGATTCAGTATAGCCGATTCAGTATCCGCCGATTCAGTATATGGCCATAACTTTCCTGATATTCGACCGATTCGAATAATTCTCATATCATTCGAAAGGCAACTACCTTAAAGTAGTTGCCTTTCGGCGATTTTCATAATTGGCCCGATCTGATCTAATGATCTCAAAAAAAGTTACAGCGTGAAAACAGATTTTTTATGCCTGTGACGTCGTTTATCAGTGATAACTTTTTGTAGAGTGATAAGATCAGGTCAGTCCAATTATAGAAAAGATGCAGCACCCCGAGAACTATCAAATCATATATAATAATTTCTACAATATTGATCGAGCAAAAAGTTATGGCCAAAAAGCCCAAATACTGAATCGGCCAATACTGAATCGGCGATACTGAATCGTCCCCTACCCGAAAAAACATAGATTGTAAAGGGAAATTAAAGCCGACACGAAACATTTCCAACTACATACGAGTAGAGACTGGACCTCGATAGAAAATCTCGGTTCAAGATCTCAATTCTCATACGACACTCCCAGTTCGGTCTCTAATCACAAGTGCATTCATATTTTTTAACTCAAATACTCATAAAAAATAACACAAACGTGAATAAAATCTAAAGCAACCAAAGCAATATGAGCAGATTGAATAGAAAGTTCAATACGATCTAGAGGGTCAGATAAAGATGGAATGCTAAAATTAAAAAAATATTTTTGTTTAGAAGTCTTTTTTGTTATCCTTTGTCGTCTTATGAAAAAAAGACCAAAACTTTTTATCCACAAGCACCAACTTATTTTGATTGTAATTCGTCTTTTTATTCAAATTGCGGACAAAAAAGTTGCGGACATTGCCGTCATAATTTTACAAAAAAATCCAAGCCCCCAACCTCCTCCTCCTCCAAACCCCCAAAAAATAAGTAAATATATACCTAACAAATAAATTAGCCAAACATCCTTGTAAAAACGCCGCTCTAGACGACGAAAACTTCACTTTTCTTGTAATATTCAATGTTAATGATTGCACTTGTTTAATAGTCCAACGCTGAATTAAATCCCAATTTGGAAAATTAGCTCTACAATCAACCAAAAAATTTAAACACTGTTCTGGATCGTCTTCAACTTGTAAAGATATTCTATCCAATGCAAAACAAATTAATTTTGTATTTTCTATAATTTGTTCTAAAGGAGCGCTAAGTTCCAAGGAATCGTGTAAAAGTTGACAAACAGAAAAAATCTTTAAGAGAAAAAATAAAAAATTATTTAAATGGTTGATGATCCTTTAAAGTTTCAAGCAAGTTTTCCTCCCCTCCTTATCTGAATTTAGTCAATTTTAAAGAAAAATCCAATAAGGAAAATAACTCTGTTATTTATTGTTAGATAAATGTTATTATATTGTTAGAAAATCCGCAAGCTCTATCAGCAAGTAAAACTCTTTGATTTATCATTTTTTAACTGCATTTGTTTTACCGACAAAATATCATTTTATTTAAAAAAAAACCATACAAGAATTTTTTTAGAAAAATATTTGTTTCGATCTTATGACTCCAAAATAATCCCCCTTTTTCATAAAAAAAAATTCCAACCCCTTCAAACAAAATCCAAAAAATAATTTTTACAAAAAATTTCAAAACCTGATAAGCATCACTGACATTTTTAAATTCTCCAATTAAATGTCTTTTCACAATTCCATTCAAAACAACTTTGGATGCTTCAATTCTTAATGACGCTGGAGCAGCACGAAATATTACAAAGAATTTTGAAAAAATTTCTAATTCAAGTAAAGGCTTAATTTGAATAGATTGATTAAATATATTTGACCAAATTGAGAGTAATTGAGCAAAATGGGCTTCATACTGAAAAATTAAATAAATTTTTATTTTAACGAAAAATACATATTTAAAAAAATTTCTGTGTTAAGGCAATCCAAACAATAACCAAAATACTTCTTGGAAACAAGAATCAAGGACAACAACTATTTATTTTTAGTTTCCCGCGGAAAATGTTTAATCGATAGGCAAAATAACAAAAATCCGGAACCAGATTACTCCCCTTATTGTTAATATACGACAAAATATCACATTTGTCACACTTAAATGAAGGCACTTTGGACACCGAGTCGATCCTATCTGTGGTCGGTTAGTCAGCCGTGTGGGAAATCATATGTTCTATTTTATCGCTTCCATCTCCCCGTTATATCATAGATTTTGCGCTATAAGGAATTGGCTCTATCCCATCTTTCCTAGCGGTGGCATAACCAAATCCCTTGCATATAAACACGAAAAACATCTTAAAGGACAAGAATTGTATCTTTCTGAAAACAAAAACCTTCCGAACAAAAAAAACTTTAAACCTTGTCGTGCTGCAATTTTCTAAAAATACTTTCAAGAATAACTTCAAGTTCATTTTTAGTAAAATGGCGAACAACAAATTGACACCAATAATCACAACAAGACAAATATTCTTTCGTTGAACCTAAACGGAGAACACACCTAAAAAAAGAATTTTTCAGAAATAAAATTTTTTTAAATCAAACTTCCACGATGACCGCAATATCGGCTTCTTTGCAGCTCGAGGAACATCGATTTCGAGTAATCTAGAGCCTAGAGCACATAATTCTTCTCCTGTTACAATTTCGGAAGATACGACCTAAAAAGACGAAAAATTTCAAAAAAAAAATTCTAAAAATTTTCGCTTACAATTTTGCAAACTTCCAAAGAATATTCACCCAAATAGAGACGAGGCAAAGCATTTATTAGAGGAATTAAGACTATTGGGCGTTTATCTACTCTTTTACAATATTCCCACAATGGATGTAAATCTTCATATATAACAGCTCGATATGCTGCACATTGAATTATCCATTCCATTGCTGGCCATAAAAGTGAACACTAAAAATCAAAAAAATTTTAGGTCAAGACAAGAGATCCCGGTTCATGGATAGCCCTAAAGTTTTTGATTTTTTAAAAAGTATTGCTTCAAAATTTTGGTACCAAAAAACCCACTGAACGGTAATCTGATGTATTCAAAAAGGAAATCAATTCATTAGGAAATCGAATTAGACAGAAATTGGAACTTTATAGCTTTCCTAATTTATAGCAGGAATCTCGGGAAACCAAAACTTTTCTAAAAATGAAATTTAAAACCGGTGGTTGACTATCAAAAGTCTGCAACCAATCATTTAAACATTTCCAATGTGGCGCTTTATCTGTCGGTTGAATACGCATAGAAACACGGCACAAATAACAACGCAAATAAATTGAGACCAAAGGATGTTTGACTGCACTACTAATTGAATTACAAAGTTCCAAAGCATTTTGTTGAGCTGCTTGAGGCCATGGGTCCATGAAACGTTGACAGGGAAGAATTGCTGCTAACACTTGAAAAATTTAATTAAAAAAATATTTAAAAATTAACAAAAAAATACTATAAATTCGAGAAGAAACCAGTTTAACAATTTGGTTAATCTTTCCAAACCAATTTCTGGCCTTTAGACGAGTTCCTTCTGCAAAAAAATTTTGAAATAAAAAATTCCAATCCCCAAAAAATTCCAACTCATAAAATATCAAAAAAATATAAACCTAAAATATCGCCAATATTCCATTCTTCAGGCAAATCACCAAGTCCAGCCTTACTTTAAAAATAAATTTATTTTTTAACAAAAAAAACAAAACCTGCCTTCTTTCTTCCTGTGCACATTGCAGCAATCTTAACCAAACCAAACGACCAAAAAAATCAAGCAAATCAGTTATATAAACAAATTGGGCTGGGTAAAATTGCGCAGAACAAACTGTTTTTTCTGTTCCCAATTGACCCAATAATTCTGAGATTAACTAAAAATTTATAGATAAATTGACGTTTCGAGTCATGGACGTTTTTAAATAAATCTGTAGATTTTGAAATGTTCACAGCCTTTCTTATAGATAGTGGTGAAAAATCAGGAATTTTTATTATCTAAATAGACGAGAACTAGACTCACAATTAATTTCTGAACACCCAAAACTTAAATTTTCTAGAATAAATTCCAAAATTAATCCCCCAAAACCCCTACTTTTCTTAATTTTATAAGAATAAAAACCTTTATACAATCCAAACGTTTCTCTTCTCTCCACAAAGCCTTCAATCTAACACGTAATTCCCCCAATTTTCTACACCACTCTTCTTGTGTAAGTTCAACAAGTTTAAATGAATGTGATGCCTCTCCTTTTGAATTTTGTCTTTCAAAAAATTAATTTTAAAAAATAAAAAGCATTTAAAAACCTCTTATTTTTAGTAGAAATACTAGAAAGTAATAATTGTTTTTGACCAAATTTTGACGAATCAATTTTTTGTTCCCCAACTTCTGGTAAATGTAAAAATGAATTTTGAAGAGTCAATCGAGCATCAGTTTTAAACTGGAAAAATTTTATTAAAAACATGTAAGAATAAAAATTTTTGGAAGGAAGAACCTACTAAAATTACAAAAAAACCTTATAACGGGTAGTCTCATTATAAATTTATTAACACAAAAAATGCATAACCTTATCCAAAATTCGTTGTTTAATTTCCCTCCAATGACGAAATCCAACCAACATTTGGTCACTTTTCCAAAGCTCTTCATCCTCTTCTTGAATATTTGAATTTGTCAACAATGTATTATCCAAAGGACTGATTGCCTTTTCTTTTGGCAAATTGGATGTCTAAATTTGTTTTTTAAAAACTAGAAAAAATTGATAAAACCTTTGATGAAGAGGAAGCATTTATCTCAACAGAAAGAGGCGAAGCAGCACCAAGTGGGTCTAGAAACTTCTCCTTTCCATCGTCCTCCGAAGCCTTCTGTTGCTGTTGAAGTTTCTTATCCAAATGTTCAACAAGTTTTGATTTATGAAGGAGAGGGTGGACCAGAACAGGGCGAGCATCAGAACAAGGTAGACGTTGGAAATTGATCATTTGAAAAGAACTGTTTTAGGGAGAAAAAAAGCAAAAAATTATAACTAAAAAACAAAAAATATGAAGATAAATTAAAAAACTAAAAGACGCAGAAATTATAAAGTTAGCCCGTTTATCGAAAAATATCAAATAAATAAAACTTTTTTAAATAAAATAAAGCTCTAAGTAAAATAAATAAAACTTTTTTTGAGGTCAAATAAGGTCCTGAGATTAAGTTGAGCCATCTTCTCTTCTGATACATAATTAATCCGTCTTATCTTCAGTCTGAACCGTCTCCTGTTGAATGGATTTATCAAAATGGACTCCTTGAATACCTCCATCTCCTTCATTCCTGTCATTGTTTTGTTGGGACTAGAATTAAAACTTGTTACAGAATGAAAATATAAAAAAACATACACTATTATTTTGAGAACGTTGATTTGTCACAATAGGATCAGTCGTTTGCATAACTTTTAAATCAACGTCTTTAAACCATTTGTCAAGAATAAATAGAAGAACAGCAAACAAAATCACAATTAATATCACGACTACCAACGTTCCATCTATGATTGCAATTCGAGCTTTAAGTACTGCCGCATCCGAGATACTTTCAATCTCCTCCTTGTTAAGACTCTAGAAAATAAAAATATTAAAGATATTAAAACCTAGGTACTTATCGGTTATCTCCCTACACATTGTTTTCCTTTTTATTTCCCCTTCTCTTTCTTTCCATAAGTTACAAAAATGCCATTTTCTTTCCCTGTTTTCCCTCTTCTCCTTCCCAAAAGTAATGTGTGGGGAGATAACCGATAAGTACCAAAAACAAATTACGCTATTTCTCATTTTGGCCAGCAAGTCGTGATCGTATTCGGTATTCAACTAAAAATATTTAACCAGCTTTTTATATTACTAGAAACAAATATACTTGTACAATCTTTAGCAATGAAAATCCACCAATAAATAGAACGAGAATAAAGACCAGAAAGGAGATGACAATTTTGTTATCCACAATACACTAAAATGATAAAACCTGATAGATGAAATGTTAGATACCCGGGGATGTTTATTTTCGTCTACCTAACGCTACCCCTGAGTTAAACACTTCAGTTAAATCAATCTTTATTTGGATATTCAAAAATAACCTTTTTAATTTGATTAAATTGAATGCACATTTCTGTCAAAAAGGTTCCAACAATGCAATAGTAATTATTTGTTTAATACTAAAGAAAGATAAATCGATATTAAAAGAAAAACAAAATACAAAAAGAATTTAAACTTTAAAAATCAAAATTTATTGATTGAGATCCATTTATTCCAAATATTCATTGAAAAAGAAACAAAAATCAAACTCAAAAAATAAATTAAAAATAACAAATTTATTCCAGATCATTCTCAGTTTTAAAGAAAACATGTCAATAACTTGAAATCCCAGTAGAACCAAAGCCATTATCCCCACGGTCAGTTTCATCAAGATTAGTTACTTCAACAAGTTCTGGTCTAAAATTTTATGGAAATTAAGTAGATTTTAGATTCATAAAAATGCGGACAAGAAAAGTCGCAAGGACTTGGGACGTATCAGTATTCAAAGAATAAATAGAAAAACGTTAACTTTGTCATTCAACCCCAACCATAAAAATATTACAAAAAATACTTTATAAACGGCGTGCAAACAAGTTGAGCAATACGATCACCAACAGAGATCTTTGAAAAAAAATTTTTAAACAAAAAAATCAAAATTTTAAAAAACCTTAAAATCAGCATCCGAAAAATTGAAAAGCAAAACTTTAAGTTCTCCACGATAATCCGGATCGATTACACCAGCACCCACATCAATAAAGTTTTTTGAAGCAAGTCCAGAACGTGGAGCAATTCTGAAATTATTGAAAAATTAAAAATCTATTGAGTTTCAATTAGTCGAGTAGAAAGATGTGAGGCATTAACTCCTTTGTATAGGAAGGACCGGTACCCCAAACAAGTTTATGCGAAGTTAATTTTGTACTTCTAAAGGCCAGCCTAGACAAAATCTCGAAGAAAAATCTCTGTTATTGAGACAGCTATATTCCGAGATAACTATCTCTATCTTCGTACGACCCTCTCAATCCGGGCTTTACTTCCAATACTTTCCCCCTGCGACATTAATTCTTCAAAATATCTCCATTCCCAGTCAAGTTTCTCTACATAATCAAGGAAACATGATAGGAAAAGTGCATGGCCTTGATCCAACCAATAAATTTGTCCGCATAAACTGATTTGGATTACCACTTGGCGCTGCAAAATCTCTTAAAGAAATTCCGTGCCTCATAAAAGTCAACTTGTCTATATCAAATAGAATCCACAAAAATTAAAACAAAAAATATACCTTCCATAGTACCCCTCAGGCAGAGCGATTTGAATTCCAGTTGGCACCAAATACTTGCCTAAAATTAAGAAAGTAAACATTCCAAAGACCAAAAAAGAAATAAACCTTTAGCCGGAACAACACATTCCTCAGCACTATGTAAATCTGCACCAGCAGCACCTTCCGACCCAAAAACGGGTGCTAAAGCTTCTTTTTTAATTTTTTTGTAGCTAAGTTGACTCCTTCGTTCTTCATCCTCCAAGGCAGCAGCAACTACAGCTTCCAAGGACCCCATTCTAATTTTTAATAATAATTGGCTGTTATTTGTTGAAAGACCTTTGAAAAACAAAAAAAAATTATTTTTTTGTTGGAAGGACAAGAACTGAAGATAAAAATGTAGAGAAAATCAATAGACGAAAAAGGTAACGTACAGTTAAAGAGAAGCTTTGCTCTGTGGAAAAACATTCCTTAAAAAAAGTAAAAAAGAGAACAAAGTTTATGAGAGAATTCAAAAAATTGGAAATCCTAAATGGAAAAAATAATTTTAGACAAAACTTATTCAACAAATTTTCTCGTTCAAACAAGTCTAGAAATCCTCAACTACTAGAAAAACAACAAAAAACATTCAAATTTTCAAAAAAAAAACAAAAGAATTTCCAATTTTCTTCATTTCACTCACTTTCATCTCATAATTGCATTATCTCTCGAAAACAAAAGTGGTAACAACACATTTCGCCAATCTACGGAAAAAAAAACCATTTCGTCACAAATTAAGTAAAAGGACTGTTGAGTGCCGCTTATTGAGAGCAGTTATTTGCTAAAAATAAGCTTCTGGAATTTCTTGAGTAGAGAGGAGTCTCTCTTAACCTGTCAACGATTATTAAAGAAAAATACAAAATTGAAGAATATCTTCACCAATTGGGAGTGAACAAGCATTTTCAGTTAACCGGACTGTTGTGTTTGTTATCCACTACACCACGCTGTCTCCTGCCTAGGCTTTAGAAATTAAATACGTAGATTATATGCAAAAAGGTTGGTGGATTCGAAAAAGGGCCAGATATTTCGGTTGGATATCTGAAGATCTCCTCCAACTTTAATATCCACTCAACTTTCAATCATTATTAACAAATATTTTAAAATGTTTTATTCAACATAATTTCTTCTTTAACACCTTTACAAATTTATTATTGAAAAAATATTTACTAGAAAATGAAAATTAATTTTCACATTTTTTAAAAAATAATATTTAAAAAAAGACACTAAATGGTGGATTTATTGGGACTTTTATAGTAGAAAGGGAAATGCAAAAAGAAATTAATTTTTAGACTAAATTTTAGTTTATTTTTGGCTTTTTTAATTAAAGGAATATTAATTAATTTTTTCTTCTTCATCTTTAATTTTCTCTTAATTTTTGAACATAATTTTTTTGACAAAATGTCGAAAATTTCAAAATATTTGAATTCCTGTTATTTCCACATCTCCACCCTGAAAAGAATTTTTTTATTAATCGAACCTCGTTAAAGATACACTCAATATTAGATACACCTCTAATTAAGACTTTATTAAAATTAGACTAGCCATTGGGTGGGGGAACTGTGTAAGTGATGCCCTAAATTGAGATAAAGTAAGAGCCTTCTCTTTTATTAGATCTCAAACCCCCGCCTAGTAAGCGTTTTAAATGCTAGCCAGCTGGATCTTTCTCTTTCTTACAATAACCTCTATTTAAGAAACACCTCATTATAAGATACGATTTTTCTCAGCTCTAATCTAAGAGGGAGGTATGTTATAATTAGGCTTAAAATATGGTAAAACTGTAATTTAAAAATTCAAATAAATTTTAAAAAAATTTAAAAAATACAATTTGAAGTCCGAGAAGATCATGCGGCTCCATACTAAAATAATTATTTTTTAATTTAGGTATTTAAAATAAAAATAACCGGTGAGCATAAGAGCAAAAGCGTTCCTCGTTCAAGAAAATCTAAAAAAAATTTTAAAGAAAATTTTTAAAAAGAAAGAAATCGAACTTTTAACTAAAATAAGCCTCAAAACTTCAAAATAAAAAAGAATTCTTTAAAGATGTTCGAACCCATATACTAAAATAAGCTCTAACGCAAACCTATCCAACTACACTACTGTGACTACTTGACAAAATCGATTTTATATTCACGCTTATCTTTTCCGGATACTTTAGCAAAATTAAAATAAAAGATTTTCGGAAAGGGTGACCCAAGATTTAAGCTAACAAAACCTATCATACCATACCACAGTGACTACTTGTTAAAATCGATTCTATTCTTACCCAAATTTTTTTCCTAAAGTATGTATTTTACAATAAATATTCCTAACTATTTTTTCATTTTTTTTTATTTTTTCCTAATATTAAAAAATAAAAAAACCTGAAAAGCATATTCCTCGTTAACTATTTTCAAGTCGAAACCAATTCCTTTCTCTAACGGAAGTTTTCCTTCACGTTCCTCATTTCCCCATTCATTTGCGATTAAAGAATTGCGGACTATTGCCTTTAAAAGAAAATAAATTTAATTAAAATTAATTTAAAAAAGAAACCTTTTCATCAAAGCGCGGATTAAAATGCAAAGCAATATCTCCATTCTTTCTTAACTGAAAAAATAAAATTTTTAGAGTGTTTAAAAAGGATAAAAATGCATGAAAACCCAATCACAAAAAATTAAAATGTATGCAGACAAAATTTGCGGATTTGTCCGCATGTCAAAAAATATAAATATCCTAACTAAAAAATTCAAAAAATCAATCAAAAATTTACCAAATTAATGTGAAAACGCTTTCCTTTCTTTTCAGGAGTTCCAAAGATGAGCATAGTTTTACCAGGAGCGAAGCCTTCACCGACAATACCGCTCTCGTAAGGGACAGGCTTTAAATAAAATTTTATAAAAATCAAAAGGTCAGAATTTCAAACTGTCCACAGAATCAAATTTCCAATTAAAACTTCTCGATAAATTTTTAACTAAAAAACCCTACTTACATAATATTTCCCTCCCCAATGGATATGCGTCACAAGAATATCTCCATCAATAGAAAAGTGAGTGACCGAGCTTAAAAAATAATTTTCTTAAAAGTAAAAATTTAAAAAAACCTCAAAGGGACTCTATGCTCGTACTCTTTAATTTCTTTTTGATCAGCAAAAATGGTAAATTTGCTGTCATGAGCGCGAATCTAAAAAATTCTAAAAGTTTCTCAAAAAATTTTCTAATAAAAAAAACAAACGCGAATATCAATATCATCTCCCTTCTTGTATGGGTTACTCTTGCGTTCTTCCTTGCCCCATTCTCCCTTAGCGAAAGTGTTGTAGACAATCTTGAAAATAATTTAAAAAATATTCCAAACTATTAAAATTATTTTCAAATTTTTCAAAATTCACTACCCAATTTAATTTTGAAATTTAATAAACTGAAAGGGCCATTTTGTCCAAACAAAAATTTACAAACCTTTCCCTCATCAAATCGAACAGAAATGTGTAACGGAACATCATTTCCACTAAAATCAGGACTAGCATGATGCAAATTGATAGTGAAACTGAAAAAAACGAAGTTATAGAAATGCGGACAAAAATTTTGCGGACATCCGCAAAAAATTTGCGGAAAAATTTTTGTCCGCAAAAAATTTAAAAAATACCGAACAGAATCCTCAGCTGTTTTTCCTTTTAAAATTAAAGTTTGGCCAGGTTCGAATTGTTCAGTAAGTTTGCTTCGGTAGGGAATGGGCTATAAAGATGTCAAAAAATTAAATTTTAAAATAAAATTTTTTTACATAATTAGTTTCAGTAGCCATTAAAGTAATAAGGTTATTAGTAGGTGTAGTAGTAGTTAAATTATCTGAAAAATTTATTTTAATTTTTAAAAATAAAAATAAATTAAAATCAAAACAAAGAGTTCACTGCCCACACATTTTGCCAATTCCACATTTTGCCAATAAGGCTAAAATCCCACATTTTGCCAACACACTTATTGGCAAAACGTGGTTTTTTAGCCTTATTGGCGAAATGTGGTAGAGCATAAATTTTGAAGGCTAAAAACTTTTAAAAAATAAATAAAAATAAATTTGTGGGAGATTTTTAAAAAAAGATTAAACACAAACAAAAATATAGAGGAAAGAAAAAAGAAAAAAGGTAGTTAAAAAGGAATGATTCATCCAACTATACTTTACTACTACTATTTTTATTTTCACGCAATTTATTTTTATGGTGGAGAGGGAAGTTTTGGCGCTGAAATGTTTTTGGCGTCAAGCATTTTTATTTTTAAGACTTTGTAAGGAAAGGGAGGGAGGAGATCCAGCTGGCTAGAATTTAAGATACAGATGCTTATAACTTAGTGGTTTAAGATCTATTAAAAAGAAGGAAGATGGAAGCAGCGGACCTAATAGCTTAGTTGCTAGAGCATCTGCAACCGTGGGGAGCGAAAATGCACCTTCATCTCGAAAACGATTATCTCCACCTAAAGTCCTCAACATGAAATGCTAACTCCAAACATTCAACCCCAAACATTCTTGATTCGAAGGTAGAGTGCAGTTACTACTTGCAATTATTGCTGTTTGCCTACTTGCAGTTATTGCTACCATATACAAAAGCTCTACCACTGGCAGGCAGACATTTGAGGACGGACATTTGAGGACGGACTTTTGAGGACGGACATATGGGGACGGACATATGGGGACGGACATATGAGGACGGACATTTAAGGACGGACATTTGAGGATACAAAATTATGTACAAATCGGCAAAATCTTAACAAAAAATGCCAAAAGAAATATTGAAATAAATTATGATTTATTTGTAACATAAAATGAAAAAGAGCTTAATTTTAGTAAAGAATGCTTGAAACCAGAGAAAATCGTCATTTCAGGACAGAAAATTAAGGAAAAGATATCTTGTGCAATTTCAGATGGACATAAGACATTTTGGGAATGCTTAGTGGATTTTGAGTTTTTTTTCAGTGGAAGGTTTTGAGGGCTTATGTTCAGAGGGTGTTTCGAGGCATATTATGTTTATAGCTCGACGAATTGAGTATTTTACTCTGTTGGACATTTTGAGATTAGGCAAAAGATGGGATGTTTTAAGGGTTTGCTCATTTTCGGGTTTATTCATTGGGACATTTTTTCTTACTTTAAATAAGCTAGGATTTCCCCTTTTCAGCGCCGCAGGCGAAAATTTTGGAAATTTCTGAGGACAATCGCCAAATTTTTTCACTTTTTCTGAAAATTTATGAAAATTCACAAAATTTTGGCAAAAATTTGCAACAATATTGAAATAATTTGCAAAGAGTGCCAAATATTGAAATAACGGACAAATTGGCTAATTTTGTAGTTATTTTTTATTTTTTCCATATATCCGTCCTCAAATGTCCGTCCTCATATGTCCGTCCCCATATGTCCATCCTCATATGTCCGTCCCCATATGTCCGTCCCCATATGTCCGTCCTCATATGTCTCACCACCCTACCACTGTGCTATTGTGGCGAATTATGCTTTCTTTTTTATCCTTTTTAGATCGTTTAACCCACGCCTAAACGTTTTAAGTGCTGCTAAGTGAATCATTCTTACAATATAGTCAAATTAAATAACTCCCACGCCAAATTATGTTTGCGCCAAAACGTTGAAGATATAAATAAATATTTTTCTTCTCTCTAGTATTGAATTATAAATGCAGAAAAAGTATACAACTACTAACCACCACTCATCAAGGACAAAAATTTATTTTTTAAAAAAATCATCGAGAAACCCCTAATTTTCTTTAGATAAAAATGGCAAAGATAAGAAAGAGTGGTCGAGAAATTATAATAAAAAATATTTACGAAAATCAAAAACAAGGATATTAGAGGCTTGAGTGAATAAACTCAACCGAGTGACCAAAATTTTGCTAAATAAGCCATTAATATGGGTTGAGAAAAAAGTTGGGTCGGGATTTCAAAATTTTCTTCGGATCGGACATGGATCCGGTTCCTTAACTTTCGGTTCATGTGAATCACTAATAAATAATTCTAGCCACAGCCCACACCTAAAAGTAAAATTCCAGCCTCTAATGTCCCCCAAAATCTGGTTTTTAACTAGAAAAAATAACAGCAAAAATAATTAAATAAAACGTGTGTATTTATTGCAACCAAAGCAAAACAAACTTTGAAAAAAAATTTATTTTCTTTCCGTTTCATATCAGTTTTCACGTTTTCCCCCTCCCCAAAAGAAAGAAAATAGTTAAAGAAAAAATAATTTTTTGGGACATATGGGCATTTTTAAATGTTTTTATTTATCTCGAAATGTCTAATCGATTTTTTGTTTTGAAAAAAAATATTTGGAGAAAATTAATCATAAAAAATTTTGAGTCAAATAAAATATGCCTCATGGAAGGTGATATTCGAGTCTGAGTAAAAATTCGATCTACGTCCCAACTTTGACTTGAAAATTCTCAATTCTGTAAGGATGATTCACCTGCAGCTTAGAATAAAAGAAAGAATTAGTCGTCGCCCCGCACAGTGGTAGAGCTCCTATGTACTTATAAGCGGTGAGCGAAAGGCCTAGCAATAACTGCAAGGAAGTCGCAGATTGGAATCCTGCCTAGTAGCTAAACTTTTTCTAAACTCCCTCTTACTATTCGACTCGAATTGAGAAAATTAATTTTAACAAAAAGATAATCAAAAAATAAGAGACTTTAGATCCTGGAACACTTGAGGATACACATTTTATCCTCACGGGGTATCTATAAGTGTGAGGTTCGTACCAGGGATCTAGCCGACATAAAAATTCAATTCCCGATTTTCGGGAATCTAAATAAATCCCTGGTTCATACCCAATAATTGTACAATTTTAATAAAAATAATTAAAACAATTTTAGTCTCTAACCGGTTTGTAATTGAATAAATATATTTGATATTTGAAGAATAAATTTGCGAAAACGATAGAAAATGGAGAGGAATTCTCGTTTAAATTTGTGTTTAAAATTAAGAAAAAATTCTAAAGGGGAAAGGAGAAAGAAGGGGAAGGGAGGGTGAAGGGATGTTTTTGTGGGTTTTTTAATTGTGTGTGTAATATATAAAATTGAGTAATTTTTAGTATAGATTTTTAAATTTCATTACTACTCTAAAATGATTAAAAAGAGAGAATGTTTTTTTAAATGTAAAGATTTAAGAAAAACAGGTCCTTAAAAAAGTAGAGAAAGGGATGACTCATTAGGTGAATAATCGAGAAAGAATGTTGGCAAACTTCTAATTTTTAAAATGAGTGATATACAATAAAATATAGTTTATAGATACCCCTCCTTTATAATGAGGTGTATGTTAAATAGAAAATATTGCCCAAGAAGCTTTTAAAAAAATACTCTAAATAGAGGTATATCTTATTGAATCCTATAATGAGGCTTAGATAGAAGGTATTCCTTTTCAAGAGTGTTCCCTTCACACTGCTAAAATGTTCCTTTCACACCCACAGGGTATTTGCTTAGTATCATTCCCACCCAGTGGCCAACCAATTTTTAAAGTGCGGGTTATTATTTTAAGTCTGATTATCAAATAAAAGTATTTTCTCTTAAACCAGACACTTCCCCCAACTATCAAATATAAACAAAATTACCCTCCCCACCATTTTCTAAAGCAACATTTTCATGGACTCCTTCAACTGTCTCGAACTCGTTTTTGACAATTTCTTCAACATTTTGGAGTTGCTCCGTTTCAATATTTAATTTTTGAACTGTAAAGAAAGAAATTTTTAGTAACGGGAATTAAATGTTGATGTAATCAAAAATTGGAAGAACAAGAAAACAATGCCTTCTAGTTCCAAGAAACAAAATTTGGGAACCACCAAACTTTTGAAATCCAATCGGAAGTTTTATTATTTGGAGTTTTGCGCAGAAAATTAAAGTCAAGCTCTACAAATCCCTCCCCTTTCTCCAAAATAGGAACTTGAACAACAGAAACTTTTGGTTTTTCTAGAATCTGAGAAAGAATGCCCAATAAATTGGGTCATCAATATCACTAAATTCCTTCCCCCTCTCCAACATATCCAGACATTTTTCCAGTCCCGAGTTTCTCATAGAACAACCTCCCATTTATTACCTACCCTCCAACCTCTCATCCAAAACAACAAACTCACTCATTTCTTCAGTAGTTAATTCATCCACTCCCTCCCCCACTTTGTTTTCTTCTTTTAAATTTCCATCTTCAGAAGCATATTGAACATCAGTTGTGCTAATTGGGTGTTCTAAATTAACATTAGTTGTATCATCCACTCCATAAACATATCCATCGTTATAATGATGAAGTTGGTTTTGGGCTTCCAAAAACTCTTCATCTTCTAATCCTCCATAGTTGTAGTGCTCCATTTAATAAGTAAACTTTTTTTCAAATTATTCTCTAAGGAAATTAAAATATAGTCGAACTCTTACTTTAAGATACTCCCTTTGGGTCTATAAAATCGTTCCTTGTAGTGAGGTGTATCCTAAGTAGAGGGTATCAATTACCGAGAATGTTCCCTTCCTACTATCAAAATGTTCCCCTCACACTACCAAGTATACTCCCTTCACACTACACACCCAAAGACTACTCACCCAACGAGTTATATCTAATACTGGAGGTATCTTATAGGGAGGTCCGAAAATATTTCGAATGCCTTAGAAATTGGGGGAAATATCAGATAATTCCTCCCATTTCTTCTGCCCACCCGAACACCAGAAAATTTTTTTCAGATTCTTTTTTTGGTTGACTATAAAATAATTTTTAAATATTTTTTAAATGAGAGAGAGAAATTTAATATCAATTTCAATTTTTTAATTAAAAAATCCATTAAAGCAATAAATCGAATTTTGGAAATATGGCTTCCTCCTCCCCTTTCACTAATTTTTAAAAGGTTTTACCTTTCATTTTGGATATGACTCTGCCGAATTAAAAAAATTTGCACAGCTGGGATATAAAAAAGTTCGTTTCTAAAATTATAAAAATTTCATAAAAAATTTTTTAAGTTCAAGACAATGCGACATCTGCGGACTTTGACCAAATTTAAATTTTATTAGCAGTAAATTTATAGAGAGAAATTAGATTAGGTATAATTTCACAATCAACATTTTCTCTAAAAAGAATCTGGACATAATCTTTCGAATGTATCAATAGTTCTTAATCAATTAACAAACTTTTGCCGAATCACTAATCGATTTTAATTTTGTCCGTAAATATGTTAGGCATTTCTTTTTCTTTAGATTAAATTAAATCTAGGGTAGCGCCCTGTCCCACGTCTATTTTTTGGCAAAAAACCCGACCAAATCCCGAAGGCTCTACTCCGGCAAACCCCGATTCCGCTTCCGGAGGCCCGGGGTGCAACACTAATTAAATCTCTTGTACGTGTAAAATTTCAAAAAAAAAATAATTTCATTTATCCATCCCTTTAAAACACAAATAATAATATCAATTTTACATTTAATATTTTGTAACCAAAACAAAGTGTGTGTGTATCAAAAATAAATAGAACTTTGAGCTCTTTTTTTTGAAAAAATATATTGTAGGCATATTAAACAAAATTTCTTCTTTTATTTGTCAATTATTTCAGCTTCTTCCACTTTAAAAAATCGAGAAATCAAAATATATCCACTACGAACAAGCTCTATTGGAATGTCAAAATTTGTCATCATTTTTTTAATGGTTGAATCGGCACTCTTAAAAAACAAAAGTTAAAGATATAATCAGACCTCAATATTTAAAGATAAACTAAATACTAGATGACTTAAATTTAAGATACGATTTTTTAATTTGGTTGTCCACTAGAGTGAGGGAAACTGCCTTAAGATATTTATGGTAATGTGAAGGGAAGGAAACATCTTTGGTAGTGTGAAGGGAACAGGCGAAGGATGACTTTTTTTTAAGGATGACTTAAAAAACACTCTTGGTAGGGCGAAGGGAACATTTCTTGTAGTGTGAAGGGAACACTCTAGGTAGGGCGAAGGGAACATTTCTTGTAGTGTGAAGGGAACACTCTAGGTAGGGCGAAGGGAACATTTCTACTAGTGTGAAGGGAACAGCTCTTTCAAACAATAACCCCCAATTTAAGGTACCTCATCATAAGGTACATTCTTTAATATTGAGTCTCTAATTTCTTATCATTTAATTAAAAAATAAATAAAAATCCTCACAATATAAGTAGACAAAATGTCTGCAAATTGGTCAACTGAACCTGAACCACCCTTATATTTTTCAGAAAGAAACTTTAAAAAATAAAAATTTAAAAGGGTAATTAAATTAAAGCAACTAACGTCTCTAATTTCTTTTTTAAGTTGCTCTTGTGTTCCTTTTAAAGGTTTTCTTTCAATATTTGGACCACTCAAAAGCATTGGACTATTATTATGGAAAGATATCATTAATGATTTGCCATTTGAAGATTCACAGTTATCTTAAAAATGAAAAAAATTAAAAGTTCGAGCTGCCCGGTTTGATGGGAGCAAGAAACTCAAGCATAAAAATAGTGGAGGTACAACAATTGTGGATATGACAATTATGACAGTTCCGGATATGATAATTGCTGAGTATAGGCTAATAGTTTCCGAACACTTCCAATTTATACGACGCGAAAACATTAATAAATCTTTTATTATTTTCAATTTTATATCAGCAACTGTCATTCGTAATCGTCATTATCCACAATCGCCGAGCCCTTGTTAATGTCATAGTCGTACATCTGAGTTAAATAATAAAATTTGGCCTCTTAGCCTCGTTAATTCGCTCGCAACTCGTAATAAATAACAATTAATTTCAAAAATAAAAAGCTTTAAAAAATATATATTTCAGAAAAATAAAAATAGTTTCGAAAAAACTATTTAAAAACAACAAAAAAAAATTATCCTTTAAAGCTTTATTCATTTTTTATAGAAAATCTTTAAAATAAATTTTTAATTTCATCAAAAAATTCTTATATTTTAGAGATGTCAAGGGTTACCTATCAACCCGATCCGAGATTTAAAAAAATATTTTCTTTTAATGTCCCTCTAAATCTCACAAATCCTAGGATAGTGACTCGACCCGTTACCACAATCCCGGACTTTTTCCCGATCCAAAGAGAATTTTTGAAAACCCGACCCGACATTTTTTTCTCCGAATTTTCCTCTTAATCCCCCAAATCCCATAGTCCCGACCCGAATTTATTTTGAAACAAAACCCGATCCAAAAGAAATTTGAAAAATCCAATCCGAAATCGCCCGACTATTTTTTTCTCAACCCTTGACATCCCTCTTATAAACTTCTCCCTCTCAACTTAAATTGTACGTAAGTAAAAAGATAACAAAAAATAACCAAACAAAATTACAAAAATTGTGCGGGAAGAAAAAAATAAAAAAATTGTTAAAATTATTGAGATTCCGACAATAAAGGCAAAAGACTCACCAAATTGATTTTGATTGTTGCTGATTATGTTTTGTTTAGTTGTAATTTTTGTTGTTGGTCTAGTCCTTCCCCAATTAATTGGGGGCATTCCTTGGTGCTTATTTTGTTGGTTATTATTGGTAGGTAATGAATTCCTTCGAGGAGTTATTGCAACAACATTATTATTTGGTGGAGGAGGAATAATAATTGTATCAATAGAAGAATCATCTTGACGTTGTCGTTTTTGTTGTGGAAGATAACCCTTTACTTTGTTTGCCTAATTAAAAAATTATTTTAAAAAATTAGAGAAAGGAGGGGGAAGTTTCCAACCACATATCTGGGCAAAATATTTAGTTTCGTGATGCAAAGAAAATTTTTTCCCGAAACTATTCATTCAAGTTTGATAGAGTTTAAAGTAGCCTAAAACTCAAAGCCTCTCTAACCTACTTTAATAAACATACCTCAACGAAAAGGCACATTAAACATTCGAAAGAACCCAAAAGTCAGTAAATGACTGATGACTGTGGTCCCCAATATATCAAAACCTACTAAAATTCTAAAAAAACCTGAATTGGAGGTGGACGCTTTTTTGGCAAAGATTTAGATTTATCCAACTCAGTCTCCTTTAATTTTTCGGTATTTGTAGTAGTTGCATCAATGATGTTCTCCTTTTTGTACTAAAAAATGGATTTTATATTTTTAATCTTTAAAAAAATCCCAAAATTTCTTCGGAAGGGTTCGGGCCTGAAAAAGCTAGGGTTTCGAGTAATCAGTGACATCCCTGATCTAAATACACCAAATAACCAACAAATATTATAAAAAAACCTCCTTGATCGCCTCCTTCAAGTCAGCAATCGTTATATTCTCCTTGTCCTCCAAATTCTCAAAGAATTCTTCATCAGCCACATCATTGCCCAAAACACTCTCCAGAAGAATCTTTACATCTCTACAATATCTTCGGACAGACCCTACACCCAACTTGCGATCATTTGACGCTTTTACAGCGGTAACTCCAAATAAAATAATATCCAAAATTCCTGAACGCATTTCAATTTGGGTGCCAGCTTTAAATGTATGAGAATTCAATACTTGATCGATAGCTTCTTCCATAACTGAAAGTTAAAATATTGAATTTTGATTTTCGTGAAAAGAATGGTCGAAAATTGGCTTGCCGGCCCATGAAAAAGCATCAAACATTAGCAACCGAACAGAAAAACCTTCGGTTCCTCGGCCCGGTTAATAGAGAAGCCCATCCTTTAAAATTTGCGGACATTATTTGCGGATTATTTAAAAAGAAAGATCTTCGGTTCTGTCGATTCAGCTCCAAACCTACAATCCTAGTTAAGAACCTCCTGCTAATTTTGGTGTCCTAATCCAAAAATTAGACAGTTGTGGGGACAGGAATCACTACTCAGGTAATACCGGCCCTAGAAGGTGACAGGTTCTATGACCGTACAGAGGATACTTCACTCAATTCTTACCTACCTTTAACCATAAATTTATTTTAAAAACCTGTAGGGAATTCATGCCATCGAGGATTTGTAGGGATTTGTTTACTATGGACTCGAACAGATTTTGTAACACTAACAGCATCACGATTTACATTAGGAATTGTAACGTTTTCCTTTGGAACATCAGGCAATGGAATGGCTTTGTTGGAAGTTGTTGTTGGCTTTTGAGAAGGACCAAGAGCTTCGCTGGTTGAAGGTGCTAGAAAAAAAAATTTTTTTAATGAAAAAACCCTTCTTGCTCAAAACTAACTCTGGGTTAAGCAACCCTCACAAAAAATTAGAGAAAAAATCCGTCCAAAAAGGCAACCCCCCCCACTCCCTCCAAAAAAATCAAAAAATAAACCATTAGTCTTTGATCTAGTATTCATCTTTGTTTCAGTCAAGTCTTGCGTCTTCTTATTTTCATCTTTTTTAAACAAGACCAAAGCTGAAGACGAAACTGTCGTTGTTGGAGAATAATCCCTCTGATCCTTCCAAGTCAAAGCTTTTAACGAATTAACAGAAGAAAAAGTTTTGGAACGAGTTTTGACTGGAGACAACGTTGGAGGTAATACTTTTAATGCAAGAGCCAAGGCTTCACTAAAAATAAGTTAAAATTATATCAAAAAGGTGAAAATGGGGTTGAAAAAATTTTGGACAATAATGAATTTAGCGTCATTTCTACGAACATTTTTTCTTAAATTTCCTTGAAAATATTTCGTGGAGCTTATTCAACTAAACGACAAAGACTACAAATGCCTATTTGACAAAACTCAATCGACAAATAACAATCGTGACAGCGATATTGACATACTATTACTCCAACACAATCACTGTTGGAATGTTAAGTGATTGACAGTTGTCGTTGACATTTGTCGAAATTTTCGAAAAGAACAATTGTTATTATTATTAGTGGAATAGGACCTTGTTGTCAGTTTTCCATAACATGGTAGAAAAGAGTCGGCAGAAAAGTAAGCAGAAATAACTCCTTTTCTTCGCCCGTCCCCTTTTCTTATAAAAATTCCCCAATCAAATGACGCATAAAAAACAATAAAAAACCTGTCCGGATCCTTCGAACCACGAAAAACTTGTTCACGAGCTTCTTCTTGGAGTACCTCAGTTATTTTACGTCTCTTCTTCCTAACAGTCACCTTATCATCAGATTTTTTATTTTTCGTCTCTTTTTTCTTTGGAGCCTCTTCCTCCTCATTTTTTCGTTTTGGAGGTCTTCCAGGCTTTCTAGTCTTTTCAGGCGATTTTGGTTTTTCAGTTAAGGAAGATGACGTTGTTGGATTTTCCATTTCATCGTTGTTGCTCTCATTCGACTTTTTTGGTGATTTATTTTCCTTGGATGGTTGGACATCTTAAAAAAGTTGAATAGTCAAAATGATTGTCAAAGGAAACAAAGTCAAAAAATCAACTCGGAGAAAATCGTGAAATGGGGACAAAATGTCCAATTGAAAAATAAACTTATGAGATTCTACATTTTCTGTTACTTTAGTACTCTTATGAATGCGAGGGGTTTTATTCCACTACTAGGGGACAGTAGGGGGGGGGGTCCAACAATGTCTCCCAAACATTTTTTCCCAACATCCCCCGCAGTTGGAGCAACATTCCCCGCTACCGGAACAAATCCCCCGCTGCTTGTACTTCACATTAGGTATTTAAAGGATTTTTGGGGGTTTGGTATTTTAAGCTTTTGGTAATATAACATTTCCCGCCTGATATCAAAGGATGAGAAGGACTCAGCCTAATTTGCTCTAGTACTAAAGAAGTAAAAATTATACCAAGCTTCTTCCTAGCTAACTTCAAAAGCGCCTCCAACTGTTTCAAATCCAAATTGTGATTAGAAGCCGCCGAGCGTTCTTGGACCTTTAAATGTTTAAAGAGTAAAAGACATGATTAATTGAAGAAAAAACCTTCCCAGTCAAAACTTCCAAAGCAGCTTCAAAATATTGATCAACAAAATCATCCTCAATCGAAGTATCGTCAATTGCCGCATTTACAGCTTTTTGAGCTTCATATTCATCATAAATTTTTGGTTTTACCATTTTTGAAGGTTATGATAATATTCTAGAGGAAAAAATGGGGTCGCTTAAGTATAGGTCCACCGAGATCGGAACTCAGTCTATATACCATTCGATTCGTCTCAGCGAGCTGAGTTCAAATATGCAAGAATTTTCTGCCGGAGACGAAAACTCGCAGAGATACAGGCCCTTGAAAATCGAAAAACAATAGGGGGGACCAAGCACTTTTTGGGGGTGAAAAATTCGAACATGTAAATTATACCTCATTCGAAAGAGCTCATCGAGCTGAGTCGAATGACACCAAAATCACCGTTATTGAACAAGATTTCACAAAGTTATGACACAAAAAACTAGCAACATAAACCTATGGAGCGTCGGCGAGGCGCTTGTGCAAAACCCCGCGCTTCGCGCGGGGTTTTGCGGCACGCGCCTCGCGGGGAGTCTACGGGCGCTGGGTCTGGGCTCGTAACATAAACCTATTCCTATCTCCCTTGCTCTGGACGTATTTGGGGCCTCCGTAGCAGCAAAAATCTCCACAGATGCAATAGGTAAGGAGCTAAAAGAAAAGATCATAACTTTGTCCAATCATGTTTGATTTTGTTGATTTTGGTGTCATTCGACTCAGCTCGATGAGCTCTTTCGAATGAGGTATAATTTACATGTTCGAATTTTTCACCCCCAAAAAGTGCTTGGTCCCCCCTATGGTTTTTCAATTTTCGGGTGCCTGTATCTCTGCGAGTTTTCGTCTCCGGCAGAAAATTCTAGCATATTTGAACTCAGCTCGGCGAATCAAATGGTATATAGTAGTCTGAGTTCCGATCTCGGTGGACCTATACTAAAGTACAGCCGAAAAAATAAAAGTACACCCATATGTACCACGAGCCCAATGTACCGCGAGTTATAACTTTGTTCAAGATTGTCGAATCCGTAACGCACTGATATGGTTTGAAGCGTCTCGACCAGCTGAATCGTCATCATACCAGGGCGCCACGAATTCGACAATCCTGAACAAAATTACAGCTCGGCGGTACATTGGGCTCGCGGTACACTGATCTGCTCCCAAAAAATAAAAAATTAAAAACAAGAAAATAAACAAAAATGAAGAGGAAAAATTAACCAAGCTTAAATACAAGAAAAATACCCAAGCTTTCTTTCTCTTTTCCTTCCTTTCTTCCGTCTCTCTCAAAACTCCCTACTATCTCGTTATGTTTTTAAGACGAAAAGGCCCAGTTGAGTCTCGCATGTTGAGTCCCAGCGCCATATTTTGGTCCATAACTTTCTTGATTCTTAATCGATTTGAAAAGATATTATATCTCTTATATATCCCTAACCCCTTTCTTCAGGGGGTTAGTCGGCGTTGGGCCCCAAGAGTGGTAACCCACCCTTGGGGCGCGCCGATCCACCTATTAAAAACGAAGGCCTTCTTTTTAACCTTTTTATTCAACAAATATAATTAATAAATAAAAGGCGAGAGGACAGGCCAACTTTTGATCGGGCCCAGAACTAATTAATGAGAAAGTAAGTTGATTTGGCCTATTCTCTCTCGCCTTTTATGAGGCGCTAAAAATGGGCGTTTTATAATCTTAACTATGACATTCTATACGCGGGGGTGGGGGATACAACGGAAAAAGCGGATAAATAAAAGTGCGGAAAATGTGAAATGAAATTCTTATTTTCTTTATCTGAATAATCTTTCTTTTCTTGTTTGTCATTTCTTTCTAGTCCGGTGTGCTTCTTGTCAAGATTTTGTCATCCTCATTCTTTGCTTCTATTCTTTTAGCAATCAAATCTATCCCGCGCAAAACGTAATTTCACTTCAACAAATTCCTGCACTAGTTGTATTGAATCAAGAAAATTTTGGCAAAAACGGAAAAAATTATGTATGTGTCAACGGAGCGCCAATCCAATCAAATGTCAAAAAATAAACGCCAAAATCCACTTTCTCTTCCTCTCCTGGGGGGTCAGCAAATAAGTCTATTTCGAAAAATGTATCCCGTCGCCAAATGTTTTTTAATACTCCTCAAAATCTGTTCCGTCCGTGGGCCAGTTCTGATATCCTTGATCCTGACAATATTCCTCTCCCCAGTCCTCATTACTCTCATGTGGAAACCATTGGCCTTCATCATCATAATATTGGTCATTGGCATAGTATGGGTCAACATTTGGGTCCATCTTTTCATCATCCCCGTTCTCATTACATCCGTTAGACTCCTGGAATTGCTCCTCATAGTAATATTGGTCATCATTTTGGTAAGGATCCCTGACTTCATTGATCTCCGCTAGCGCCGCCTTAACTTCTATTTTCTCCAGTCTTTTCCTTGTCTCATCTTTAATTGTCCGATTTAATTCATCAACCCGTTTTGCCTGCGCTATTGCTTCTGCCAATGAGGAGGGCGCTTTCATAAAAATAACCTTTTCCCTAAGTTCAGGTAACATTCCGGCTTTAAATCTCTCCATGCAAATTTCCTCCTTAAACTTTTTGGCCATTTTGTCATTTTCCCCTTTCAAGCCTGTCCTTTGTTCGTCATCTAATTTAATTGAAGCAAGGTCCATTCCAAACGCATTCTCAGGATAAGCTGCTTCCACTAGATTCTTTAAATCCATTGCAAATTCTTCTAATCCTTCGCCCATCTCCTGTCTCCTTTCAACTAATTTTATGCGTGCGCTTTCCTTATTTGATATCTTTTTTAGCCTCCCTGCCAAGCTTTCTACAAGTGTCTTCCACCGCGACTTTTCATCCACGGGCATTGATTCATAAATCGCTAGTGCAGACCCTTGTAGATAAAGCGGCAATATTTGGCTACATCTCGCGGGAGTCCAATTGTGTGCAGTCGCAATCCGGTTGAAAGCCCTTAGATAGCTCAAAAAATCTCCATTGCCATCAAAAAAGGTAGGGTATGGAAGTCCACTTGAGCTCGTACCAATAATATTTCCTTTATCTTTCGTATTGTCCCCTTCTAATCCTGAAATATCCTCTTCTTTCATCAGAAGCCTTCTATTAATTTTCTCTAGACAGTCTTTGTCCGGACTTGATTTATTTTATAATTCTTTTCCAATTTTATTTCAATGCTCGACTTTTCCTAACACTTCAAATAATATTTCCACTTTTAGCTAGCTTTTTGCCCACAGTGGGGAACCAGAAGTGATTCTGCAGTAATCACCCCTGGTCTGTTAGGAAAATGATCGAGCTCTTATTTCTCAATTTGTTTTTTCCACGTGCACGTTTTTTAAGCTTTTATTCCAAGACTGGCTATAAAATTTCGCTAGAGGCCTGTTTCAAGAGATTAAATCCAGAATTTTCCAGAATTCACGTCTAAGTGTCCTTTATCCTTCCAAACGAATCCTTCTCTCCCTTCAAATGGCTTCGGACTCAACAATCAACCTCAAACTAGAATTTTCAGCTCCAAGTGAACTCCTTCGCTTTAGCCTTTTCCCTCTTCTCTTTATCGATAATATCCTCAGAATATCCGTTGTGTTTATTTTCCTTCTGTCCGTTTTTCTCTCCGTGTATCCTTTGAATGAATCCGTCTGTGTGAGAAATCCTTGTGTATCCTTTGATCAAATCCGTGTGTGAAAATTTCCTTCGCTCCTTTTCGGCTCTTTAGTAATCAAATGTGAGCCAAATTGGCTGATTAAAAACTCCTTTTTATATTAACTTCTCCCTTTACTTTGGCTACGCCCAAAACTTGTTCGCGCAAAATTTTTTGTTGTAATGTCACAAGAAATAGTTGTAATTCTTGTGATAAAAAATTTTGGCGTTCCCAAATTCCTTCTTATTTGCCCACTTCCGGCCTATTTGCGCGTTGCTGCAAAAGAAGGAGTCCAAAAAAACTAGTTTAATAAATAAGAATTTTTTTCCGCTCGCCAAAATTAATTTGATTGATGGGGAGAAGAAATAATTTTTTTTTTTAATAAAATATTTTAAGAATATTTTTAGAAATATTTTTTGGAGAATTTTTTATTAGGTGGAGAAAATTACAAGAGCGCCATCTTATATATCCCTAACCCCTTTCTTCAGGGGGTTAGTCGGCGTTGGGCCCCAAGAGTGGTAACCCACCCTTGGGGCGCGCCGATCCACCTATTAAAAACGAAGGCCTTCTTTTTAACCTTTTTATTCAACAAATATAATTAATAAATAAAAGGCGAGAGGACAGGCCAACTTTTGATCGGGCCCAGAACTAATTAATGAGAAAGTAAGTTGATTTGGCCTATTCTCTCTCGCCTTTTATGAGGCGCTAAAAATGGGCGTTTTATAATCTTAACTATGACAATATCAAACGAAAACTCTGGATATAAGGATTATTTTAACTTACAAGATTATTTTAATCTGAGAATCATAAAAAGAGTTAAAGTTTAATAAAGCCAAAAATCACGATTGCGCGCACTTATCCACCTGTAACTATTTTTGTGATGATCTGATCGGGGCAATCCTTTTAGCTAAAATAATCTACAGATCCAAGACCTTCGTTTGGTAAAAGATAAATTGAAAAGGTTGAAAACCCAAGAAGTTATGGCTAAAGGACTAAACCGGCGTACTCAATTATCCTCTATCTTTTTGAAAAAAGGACGCTCTGCTTTTTTGGCATTCTGTTCTAATTGCGAACTTTTGAATGTTTAAACGGATTCCAAGCCTTCTAAGATGATTTTTTTATTTTTTTTGACAAGATGGAAAATTTTAAAAATTTCAAGACGTTTTGGAGGATTGGAAGAAAACTAAAAACAAGAAAAGAGACTAAAAAGACCTCCCTAAAATCCAAAAAAAGCTTCAAAACAGCTGCAACAATAATACGTTAAAGGCAAATAAACATTCTCCTTTCTCGATTTAAATTGGTAAAAAATAAAATAAAATCAATAAAAATATTATTTAAGCATTTTATTTTACAATTATTATTTTTACAATAGAATTTGAGATCAACTTTTTGGAGAGAAAAAAATTTTTTTAGGGAGATCAGGCTTCAAGAAATGAAGAGTAAAAATTGGTGTAAGGAAGTAGAAGGGAGTTAAAAAGATTATTAAGGTGGTGGTACTAAAAAGAAGGTGAAAGAGTAGGTGCGCTACTGATTGAGCCACGTAGCTCAGTCAGCACTGAGCTACGTCACCACGTAGCTCGTCAGTAGCTGCTGAGTGAGCTACGTGGAGCCGGAAGCACTTAGCAATAACTGTCCCAGGAAATCGAAGGGTCGATGCCTCCCGGGGGTTTTTCAGATTTTTTTCACTCATTGACAGTTTGAAAAAATTTATTTTGGAACTCGTAGCCAGTGTGAACGAGAAATGGGTGCTCTAAACGACACTAACTACCCTTAGAGGAAAAAGCAGATGCTTTGAGGTACTTCTTGCCTGATCTTCTTATTTTTACACAATATTACTTCAAAAATCATTTTAAAAATTTCTTTCTTCTCTCATTAGAAAAATCGAGCAGTACTAGATGCATTTTCTTGACGTGCAGAGAGAGAAGAACATTTTAAACTTGAATTGTTTGTGTAATCATATTGGAAGTTTGGACAAAGCCAAGTTGTTGGAAATTGGGTGGAATAGGAAGAAGCTACAGCTGAGTTGAGAAACCGTGTGGCATGAGGCTGAAAAGACCAAATTAGTTATCAAAAATTTAATTTTTGCGGATTGTCCGCAAGTCTTTCTGCGGACATATTCTCCCCAATTTTCTTCACCTGTAAAACCGCTGCAGGATTACTCATAAATCTATAAGCCGCCGCCTGCTGCATAAAAGTATCTGCCGCCATATTTGCTACACTATTCCCATTCATACTTAAACGAGAAGCTTGACTAAAAAGTTCGCCGGCAGCAGAAACTGCTGAAGACGTGGATGAAGTATTGTTGTTGTTGTTACAATTATTTGTTATTGTGGACATTACTGCTGCCGAATTTTGACAAATTAGTGAAGAATGTTGGTGATGGTGGTGATGGTGATGATGTAATGAGGATGTTTGGGGTTGCATTGAAGCTACAATGCCTGGAAATATTTTTAAAAATTCTTTTAGTTCCAAAAATTTCAAAAGGATTTCAAAATGTTAACTCGTAAAAATCATTTAAAAATGTCCAGGGTACAAAATGTCAGCCTTCAGAAATTTTTAAAAATTTCCGAAGGCCAACCTTCCCAAAATTTTTAAATGCCCACAACTACCTGGAAAATCGAATTTATAGGCATATCTCTTCCCATGCACTTTAGTCATTATTTGCTTGTCATAGTAGTAACGAAGAGCTCTCGACATTTTATCATAATTCATGTGTGGTTTAGATTTTCTTTCGCCCCAACGTCTGGCAACTTCGTCTGGTTCTAATAATTTAAATTCTCCTTGTTCGCCTTCCCATAAAATTATTTCTGAACATAAGGGCTCTATTAATAATTCTAAAAGAAACTGCCAAAGTTGAATTTGCCCGCTTCCTGTAGAGGCTAACAAGCTTCGAATAAAAATGTAGTAGGGATCTGAAAGAAGAGAAGAAATTATTTAGATTTTTTCTGATATTGTTCTGATTTATTCTGGTTTTTTTAATTTTATTCTGATTTTTCTGGTTTAATTCTGGTCTTATTCTGACCTTATTCTGATTTTGTTCTGGTATTGTTCTGATTTTTTTGGTTTATTCTGGTATAATTCTGATTTAATTCTGATTTTTCTGGTATAATTCTGATTTTTTTCTAATTTTATTCTGACGCTTCTGATTTAGTTCTGACTTTTTTCTGGTATTATTCTGATTTTTTCCAATTAAAAAAGGATCCCCCCTTCTTTTGACTTTTATTTATTTTCTCCCTCTAATGTCCCTCCAAATTTAAGCCAAACACGCAATCAAAAGCTTCCATTCATTTCAAGTTTACATAAAGAACAAAAGAGAAAAGAAAATTCCGGATTGAATAGCCAAACAAACAAAAGAGATGCGCTTAAATAATATACTCTCCTCTCTCTCTAAACGGAAATAAAAGAGAAGGAAAAAAAGAGAAAACTCAACCAAAAAGAGGCAAAATTTTACCCAAATTAAGAAGAAAAAAATTTAAATTTTCTGTTTAAATTTAAATTCTTTGGTTTAAAAATAAGTTTATTAAATGGAGAAAATAAAGAAGGAAAAAGGAAATTTAAGAAAATATTTTATATTGTCGGGAAAAATTCTAATTGTAAGGACATGGTGATAAGGTGGGGGTTGAGGGGCGCAACGACTATAACTTTGGAATGACTAGACCAATTAAAATAAACTTGGTATCATTTGATAGGGAATTAAATTTGCTACAAAATCAAAGAGAAATTTAAATTTTAGATTTATGTTTGAAAAAATTATGGTCGAAAAACTAAGGTATCTGAGAGATAGTAGAAATGTGAGGCAGCTCCAACACCTATAACTTTGGAATGACGAGACCAATTAAAATAGACTTGGTATTTTCTGATAGAGAATTAAATTTGCTACAAATTAGTGAAGTAATAAAAATTTAAGATTTATTTTCGAAAAAATTATAATCGAAAAACAAGAATTTTTAGAGTATTTCTTGGTCTTTCCCAAAGGCTCTTAAAATTTTTTATTTCTCTCAAAAATTAATTATTATGTTTTAAATAAAATTTTATATTCTCTTTCAATACCTTTAAAAATATATTAGAAAAAATTACCAATTAATCCAAATTATTTATTATTTTATTGTTGACCTGGTTAATCTCCCCCCCCCCTTCTCCCGTTAATAATAAACTTATTTTCCACTCCATTCTTTCCAGCATTTTTTTCTTCTTTTAATTTCTTACGGTAATAGAACAAGCATTAAAATAAATGCATCTATTGTTATATTAAAAATTAGGGGGTGACCTTAAGATTTTTTAAATGAATGGGGATTTTTTGTATTTACAATCTGTTGTGTTTAAGGAAAATTAATGTTTTAAGGGATAAATATAAATTAATTTTCTTGGTTCATTTAAAATCCCCTATCTCTGTATAGACCCCAATATTATATACTTATGTTAAGATATTTAGAATCAGTCTTACCCTATAAGGCCCATCAAAAATAAAATCCCATTCAATTCTTTTGAAAATAAAAACTCAGGGCCTTAATTTCTAAAATTAGACTAGCCACAGAGCGTGTAAGATAAGCGATCCTTAATTTCCACTCATTATAAGGTATGTACAATATTTTTTCCTCAGGGGAGTATCTCATAGTGAAGTCTGATTTGATTAAATTTCGAGAAATACCAATTAGGATTGGGGGTATTTTGAAGGAGTTTCGGTCCGGATATCCGGGAATTCCCATGGATCAGCTAACATTAGTGCCGACACCCAAACCCCCCTCTCCTCCTTGCCAAACCCAAATTGACCTTATTTTAAATTTTTATTTCTACTATTGTTTATTAGCACTACCCCCTCACTTAATTAACTAATACTACACACACAAACAAGCTTCTTTTTTGGCAGAAAAAATTTGTCAGTCCTTAACCAATGAAAAATTATTTTTTTATTTATTTGGCAGCCTAATTTAATTTCATCCCCTCTCCCCACTACCTTTTTTTTCTTTTGTTGTTGTTTTGATTGCTTTATTTAATTTAAAAACTTGATTGACTTTTATTATTCAAATTTAATTTATAAAACAAGTTTTAAGAGAGAGAGGGAAAATTTGGTGGAATTTTTAACGAGAGAATTTGCATTAATTTGAGGCTTTGGTATTTTTGCCTTATCCAAAACTTCCCAAATTTCAAAACGTCCACTATCATTTTTGTGGATAAAATTTTAATAAAAATAAAAACCCAAAATTCACCCCATTTTTTAATTCTTTTGTCCCCAAAAAATGTTCTTCCTTTTTTAAATAGCTTAATGATAAAAATAAAGCCTTAAAAAGGAATATTAAATTAAATGCGGTATTTACCCCTTTTTGAATACTAAAAGATATGACAATGATTGAAACGATATTTACACCGGAAAAGCATGCAAATAACAAAAAAATAAAGGAAAAGCAAAAAAAGGAAAGAAAATTGAGGGGAAAATTGGGGGGGGGGGGGAAGTAGGGTGAAGGGAAATTGGCCGTATACAAGGAAAGAGGCGCTTCTTTAAGAAAAAATTTTTTTCATGAAAAGTAAAGATTTATATACATATATAGTATATATTTATACATAGTTGCCGCAATTTATTTTTGGCCATTCAACAAAAGAAAAAATTGAAAAAAATCAAAGAAGGCTGCCGAAAGGTTGCGCAGTCCATTATATGGCAAAAAGCGCTAAAAGCTCGTTTCTGTGGCCAAAAGCTTTGGTGGTCCTATTATTATATATTCTATTATTGTCCGGAAAAGGTGGAAATGAATAGAAAAAAAAGAAATTTTAAGAAAAAAGGTTTAATTTAAAAAATAAAATGGAAGAGCGCCTAGAAAATAAGGGGGAGATGGAGGGGAGGGTTGAGTTTTTGAAGGGTAACTCATGAAAGGATTGGCCTTTTTTCATGGTTTTGGATTCATTTGACAGAGAATTAAATTGGATATGAAATACCCAAAAAGTCAGAATTTCGGTTAATCGGACAAAAAGATATGGTCAAATAACTGAAAAGGCGCCTAGAAAATACGGGGAGAATTGGGGTAGGGTTGAATTTTCAAGTGTAACTCGTGAATGGATTGACTTTTTTAAATGATTTTTGATTCATTCGATAGAGGATTGAATTAACTATAAAAAACCAAAAAATCAGAATTTTTGAGAATAACAGAAAAGATATGGTCAAGTAACTAAAAGTGGAAGTGCGCCTTTAAAATAGGGGAGATAGAGGAAAAAGCTTTTTTTAAACTCTGATTAACTCGTGAATCGATTGACCATTCTCCACAATTTTGGATTGATAAAAGATTGAATTAATTATAAAAATTCAAAAAATCAGAATTTCACTAACACTAATAAAATTGTTCAAAGGATTGCCAAAAAAGAATTTTTAGGTTTGCGCCGAAATGACCCCTTTTATTTTAATAATTAATTTATTTAAAAGGTCACAGTTTCTTATAATTATGAAGAAGCATGTCTCTTTTCTATAATTTTAATGAGCATTTTTTAATAATATCTCCAACTGCGAGGCTTTTTGAAAGAACAAAATAAAATTTAAAGGAGCAATTTAAGTAACCTTTTTTTATTTATTTCGCGCCTTAAAAGGAGTTAAAAGGCGGGAAAAGCCTCTTGAGAGTTCCCTTCTTTTAAGAGGAAAAAATCAAGGACTACTCTAAAATTTTTGAAAGTAAATTTGAATAAATTAGAAAAGATTCTTGATTGAAAAAATTTCAAAAAATTAGGTACAACTTAAATTGGCTTTTCGGCGCGGCGTGGTTTGGCGTGACCAAGCATGACACGCGGTGCTCCAAAAATTTTTCCCGAAAAATACCTGTAGGTTGATGGCAAGAAAGCGTTACAGTAGCAGGTTTGCCCCCATGAAAAACTCTGGCTAATGAAGAAGGTGAAATGGTACTTGACGAGGAAGTAGCTGCAACAAGGGCGGTAGAGGAAGAAGAAATTGGCTAAAGAAAGTTTTTAAATTTTTTTGATAACGCTTATGTATTTTCTTTCACCTCCTCCTTAACAGACAACATCATATTATTATTGTTATTCCTTCCATTTTGAATGTTGGGAGTTTTATTATTATTAGATGACTGACTATTTGAATTAGTTGAAGATTGGAGTGAGAGATTTAATCCTGAATTGGGAAAGTGAAGTAATTTTGGGGGTATTCTCCATTAGGGGTATTTTTCAAAAAATTTTTCAAAAAAAATTTAAAAAAAAACCCATTTTTACGAGAACTTTCAATAAAATCTCCCCCCCCCCCCCTCCCATCTCTTACCAGAATTTTCCTCAACTTTAGTCGAATTTCCCCCAATCCTTGCCGTTGCAATTCTCCCAATACTTGCTGTATTTCCATCAAAAAAATTAGCAGCAGCATTTCCTCCCCAACGAAAATCAGAATTATTAATTATTGTATTGAAATTGTTGGTATTATTTGATGAATTATTTAGAACCCCAAAGAAGGGGTCGTTGAAACGGTTGTCTATAATTCCGTTCTGAAATTTGTATTTAATTATTTAATTCTGATTTTTGTATTTTCCTTATTGAAATTCTGATTTATATTAAAATCAGAATTAAATATTTTATTGTAATAATTCTGATGTTGTATCTTTGCTTGATTTCTGATTTAAGTATTTGTTCTGTTTTTGTATTTTACTTTTATTCTGATTTTTGTATTTTCTTATAATAATTCTGGTTTATTTTCTTATTAATTCTGAAGTAATTCTGCTATTTGTATTTCTTTAAATTCTGATTTTTGTATTTTCCTTTAATTCTGATTTTCGTATTTTATTATATTCTGATTTTTGTATTTTCCTTAAATTTCTGATTTTTGTATTTTATATAATTCTGGTTTTTTCTTATTGTAATTCTGAATTATAATTCTGATTTTTTAATAATTCTGATTTTGTGTATTTCAAGTTTAATTTTTATTTTATTCTGATTTTTGTATTTTCCTTTTGTATTTTTCCTTTAAAAATATCTTTACATTATTAGTAGCAAGAGTAGACACGAAAGGATTAGTAAAATGAAAAGCAGCCGCTGTACCGTAAGTCCCACAAAAAGAGTTTTGTTGTTGTGAAGAATGATTTTGTTGATTGTTAAATATATTTGTTTGGGGGTATACAATGCCTTGAGGTTTGGAGTCATTTCGTTGTTTTTGTTGGGTATTTGGGGTGTTGATGGATGAGGTATCTGAAGAAAAATTTTATTTCAGAATTTTTTTTCAGAATTTAATTTTCTAAATTCTGATTTTATTCTGATATTAAGTGTGAATTTCCTAAAATTTTTTCAAAAAATTCCAACCATTTTGTTGTTGACTAGTCGTTGCTGCTTGTCTACTATTACAATTCTGAACCTCCCCTTTGTTTTGTGTTTGTTCCCCAAGCATATTTAACGTGATTTGCGCCAGTAAGAGGAAAAGGAGGAAAAGGAAGTTGGTTGTTATCTGTCTCTTGGACAAGTAGTTAAGTTAAACTGTAGAGGAAACTAAAAAAAAGTATTTTTAAATATTTTAAGTAGCTAGAGAGTTGAGATATTATATGTACAATGTTACGTTTTACCAACATAAAAAGTACAAAGTTTTCAGATCCTTTTTACAGGCGGATCTCAATTTTAACTTTGCTCCCTTGGTCTATCACCTTCCTTTTTACTAAAATAGAGGATATGGCCATAGAGGATATGGCCCTCAATTCACTTCATTATAAGGTAAGCTTTTCAACCTCAAAAGATGAGGTATCTTGTTAATAGAGTGATATTCCCTATTTAGGTACCCCTTTTATAAAATAGATCAATTTATTTCAACCCCAAGGGTGTATGTCATAGTGAAATCAAACTTCTATATCATGTGATTGGGTGATTTACAGGACATAAAAAGAGGGATTTCTGATTTCTAAATCCTCCTCCCTTCTAATTATCCCTTCTATTCTATATCCTCTATATCCATTCTATCACCTTCCTTTAAAATTAAATAGTAGATAGGAAAAACATCAGGAAATTTAGTAAATTTACAGGAAAGGTATAGGCAATTTCATCCTCTATTTCCCTTTAAAATTGTTCTTGGCTAGCAATCATCAATGTGAAGAAGGGAAGGAAGTTTGGGGAAAAGAGGAAAAAGGAAAGCAAGCTTTTGGGGGGTTCTCTCAAAAATGAATCTCAAGAAAAAAAATTTTTTTTCGGGAAAAGGAAGGAAAGGAGGGAAGGAAGGATGGGAGGAGGAGTGAGTGAGTGAGGCAAAAATATTTTTTCCCTCAAAAAGAAGCTGGGGACACGCCTTCAATTGAGTTTAGTTGGCTAGTTTGGTTGCCCATTGGTTGCTGTGGATAAATGAAAAAATTTTTTCCTTCAGTGTTTTTAAGGGAGAGAAAACTGATTTTTTCTAAGAAAAGTGTTTTGAGTTAATTTTAGAATAATTACTGTCTTTTATAAAATTTTTGAGTTAATTAACTAGTCCAAGAAAATTTTTATTCAGACCTTCCAATTTAATCTGTGAGAAACAGAATTTATATTTTACAATCAAAATTGTATTTTTAATAATTGTAAATTTAATTTCTGATTTTTAAGGAATTAAAAATCAGAATTATTTTTAAAAAATCAGAAAATCAAAATTACAATTCTAAATTACAATTCTGGTTACAATCTTATTATTTTTTATTTGTTCTGGTTTTGTTATTTTCTAATAAATATTATTCTGTTTGTGTCTATCCAAAATACCTAGTCTACTTAATTACTTTTAATTGCCGCCTCAAAACAAATAATAAAAAAACTTTATTAAAAACACCTTTTGTTGTTCTTAACCCATTTACATAATATTTTCGCGCTTATTTTTTATCCACAAAAAATTTCTTTTTCGGAAATTTTCTTTAATATTTTTTTTTGTTTTTGTGGGCACGCTCCAATATCAAAAAGAAAAATTTATTTGTTAATGGAAAATATTTTTTTGAATAAAAATATTTTTGTCAAAAAATGTTTACGCAATTTTAGCAACTTTTTTACTCATCCTCAGGAAGTAGAAGTTATTCAATTAAAAAAAAATAAATATTAAATAAACAATATGGGTATTTACATAAAATATGACAGTAGTCTTATTAATCCGAAAATAAAAATAAAAAACAAAAATCAGAATATTAATTGTAAAATTAATTTAAAGTATTAAAACACCAAAATTGTAATTTTTAATAATTGTAAGTTTAATTTACGAATTTTCTGATTATTAAAATAATAATTCTGATTTTTAACAATAATTGGTAAATGTCCAGTTGACTCCCCACCTGTCCGCAAAGAGAATACGCACTTTTCATTCTTTTCTTGCATTTTTTCTGATTGGAGTGGCGCCCATTTTTCCCTTATAGTATGCCGTAGACTCATGGAAAGATATGAGAGAAACTAATAATAAATTGAAAACATAAATTCGGGTTATTTTATTTATTTTTCTGAAGGATCAAGAGTGTAACATCATTTTATATTAATATAGGAATGAGACAAATCATCTTCTAGTAAATTCTATATCGACTGGCTTTAAAACCGGAATTTTTAAGATTTTTTTGCCAACCGGAAATTAATAAAAATTAACGATATTTTAAAAAATTCCCCAGAATAAAACCGGTATGTGACCAAAACTCAAAACCGAAAACAGGATTTTTGAAATTTAAATTAACCAAAAACCATGGTAGCAGTTAACAGTCGGTTGTTTCTAAATCACAAGCTGTTCCAAATGTTTAAGTGAAGATACTTTTTTTGATTATTTATAAAATAGATTTAGTTATTTAGATTAGAGTTGGCCGGTATCGGGATTTAGAGAAAAACCCGGGATCGGGATTTTGGAATGGTGATCCCGATCCCGGATCCCGACACGGGATCGGGATTGGCCGGGATTGAAATTGGCCGGGATTGAAATTGGCCGGGATCGGGATCGGGATATTTATTTCGGGACCGGGATCAGAAAAATCGGGATCGGGATTTGAAAAACCCGGGATAATCCCGCCCGATCCCGACCGGGATCCCGATCCCGGCCAACTCTAATTTAGATAAAAACCTAATTATGTATTTTATTATTCTACGGCATACTATAAGGGAAAAATGGGCGCCACTCCAATCAGAAAAAATGCAAGAAAAGGAGTGAAAAGTGCGTATTCTCTTTGCGGACAGGTGGGGAGTCAACTGGACATTTACCCAATAATTTTGAAAATCAGAATTATTATTTCTGTTTCTGATTTTTCAAATAATAATTCTGAAATTCTAAAATCAGAAATTTCTGATTTTTTAATATGTAATAATTCTGATTTTAGAAATAATTATTAATAAAATCAGAATTATTTTAAGAAATCAGAACTTTAATTTACAATTATTGAGAATTATAATTCTGGTTTAATTTTTTACAATACGTATCTAAATTCGCAATTTCCCATTAAACAGACCAGAATACTGTCATTAACTGCTTTCTCTCCTTAATTCTCTCAAAATTAATAATCACCCAAATATCCCCTCCTCCCTCCTTTTTTCCTCTATTTTATTCTTACCTTTTATTTCCACTCATCCTCCCCTCAAAAAATCTTTTTTTCAATTTTCTCAATTTTTATCTTTTTCCAACGTCATTTTCTACTTAGGGGGGATTTTGTGTTTGTTTGTTGGCCATAAAAGGCAGTAAAATGGCACACAAAGGATTAAATTACCTTATAATTTTCATTCTAAGCATCTGTCGGCGCTTTTTCTTCTTCTTTTTTCTTCTTCATTTTTAAAATCCTCTTCCTTTTTAAAGTCATATAATATACTCTCCCGCAATTATTGCACAATTCTGTTTGTGTCATTATATGAGTGAGGTCAATGGCATTATTAAAAATAAAATAATAAAAATAAATAATCTCTCAATAAAAAAGTGTAGACTTGTGTCCCCCCAATGCAATTGGTTAATATCAACAAAAATTTCTATGGCGAATTTTACTCATACAAATTTATGGTTGATATTATGCAGTTGCACGGGGATTTTTAAAGGAATAAATTGTAAAAATCAGAATTTATAAATTGGATTTGTAATTTTTTTTTAAAATCAGAATTTGTAAAAAATAATTAATTGGGAGAATCAGAATTTCTAAATTTTTTAGAAGTAGATTAATTGTTTCAGAAAATCAGAAGAATTGTAAAATCATAACTAGAAAATCAGAATTTGTATTATTTAAAGTTGTAAATCCTTAAATATTTATTAGTAGAAAATATCAGAATTTGGGATTGTAATTTTAAAATCAGAATTTGTGAAAACAAAAATCAGAATTTATAAAATATAATTAGGTAATAAAACCAGAATTTGTAAATGCTTAAATGGAGATATTAATCAGGATTTGTAAAATAATAAATCAGAATTTTTAAAATTTTAATTAAATAAAATTATAAATTTAAATAAAAATCGATGAATTGTAAAACAATAAATATTAGTTAAATATAAAGTTAAATCACAAAATAAACAAAGATAAAAATAGCTTCTGATGCTAATCGTCCATTCCCTTTTGCCTTTTAAACAAAACTTGAACAGTGTCGGGGGAAAAGATAGGGGGAGTGTTGTAAAATAAATAACCATAAATTTCACCTATTTTTTGCATCTGCCAGTTTTGAATGGAAAAAAGACAAAAACTTTTTTGTATTTTTAAAATGATTTTTTTAAATTTTAAATAGAAAATATTTTTTATTCAATTTTATTATAAATGGACTTCTTTAAATTAATTCTGATTATTAATTCTGATCTTGATATTTTTTACAAATTCTGATTTAAATTTATATGCTAAATTTAAAATTACAATTCAAAATTCTGATTTTAATAATTTCTACAAATTCTGGTTTTATAACTTTTACAAATTCTGATTTAAATAAGTTGGATAGTATACAGAGATTACAAACCTCAAATTCTGATTATAATTTTTACAAATTCTGATTTCATTTAACTTTACAAATTCTGATTTTAAGTTTAATGATATACCCATCTCAATTACAATTTACAATCCAAAATTCTGATTTTAATTCTGAAAATTATCTACTCATTAAAACAAATTATAAACTCTCCCCCAGAATATCTCTTCTCCTTTTACAAAAATAGGGGTAAAAAGGCGAACATCTCAAAATGTCAGAGACGTTTTTAAAAACATTTTCAATCACTTTTCAACTATTTTTATTTTAATGCTTTATCTAATTTTACCATCTGCAAAAGAGTAGTTTAGAAATTTTCTTTTATTTTTTACAAAAAATGATTGTTAGCCTTTTTTTGTTTTTGTTCTTTATTTTTATTTAGTTAAATTCTTTAAGCGTGTTTGTGGATATTTTAAAGTAAAAAATACAAAATATTTTTTGTTGAGAAAATGTTTAAAATTTAAGAAAGAAAAAAACAAAAAAACAAAACAAGGAAGTATAGACTTTAAGGAAAAAAATTATTTTGGATTACCCAACTAATCAGAACCATTTACCAAAAACTGCCAAAGGTAGACGGAAAAACAAAAGTACAGAGTAAAAAGAGGTGAAATTCTTTGGAAGGGTAAAAGAGAGTCCACTTTCTATTATTTTTCGATATACCAAAAAATTGTCAACCTAATTGGAAGGGGTTACTTAACTACAAAAAATATGGCAATTTTTGTAAAAATCCTTTTGACAAATTATGATTAAACAATTTTATATTTAACGTCTAAAATTTTAAAAATTTGTTCAATTTATTTTTTTTGTAAACAAAAAATAGCTCAAAAATTGGAAAAATAAAAAATAATTTAAAAACAAAAATATAATTTTATTTAATTTTAGGTTTTATAAGTTTAACTCGTAAAATTCCTGAATAAAAAGCATATTGTAAACCCGAGTAAACTGTTGTGCAGGCAGTCAAAATACTTTAAAAAATTTGATTTTTAGAAATTTAAATAAAGGGTAAAAATAGTCAGTCTCGAGAATCGTCAAAAAAATTTAATTTTAATGAAAAATTTAATTTTTAAAAATAAAAACATACCTGAGAATCTGAAGAGCAGGATGATCAACAAAGTGAAAAATTGGGCTTGCCAGGCTAAGTGAAAGAAGCAAAAGTTGTAGGCCTGTATTGAACTGAATTTGGAAAAATAAAGAAAATTTATAAAATTAAAAAAATCCAAACTTTGCTAATTTTTGAAGGGTTTATTTGAATTGACGAAATTGTTGGATTAAAAAATCTTGAAAAAGTAATTGGGGGATCCAGCATTTTATAACGAAGAATTAGGCCTCCAGTGACTAACATTCCATCCCTTACAAGTGCAATTACAGTTAAATAAACTGAAAAAGAAATTTTAGAAAAATTATTTTTTGAGTTTTAAATTATTGATGAGTTAAGGGTAATTCATCAATTATACTAAAATATTTCCCTCACAAAAGAAAGTCAAAAATATAATTGGAAGGAAATTAGTCAAAAAATAAATTAAAAAATTCTATTCTTTAAATTAGAAAAGCACGTCCAAGTCATTCCCTCTACTGCCAAAATACCATGAAACTAAAGACATATTCAACAGCCATTTATTTATGGTTAAGCACATCCCAATAAAAATTATTCAACAAATGTTGTATATTTATTAGACCAGAAACGGCCGAGTTGAAAAAAAAATGGGGAGAGGGGTGGGGTTTGGATCGGAGTTTCAAAAATTTTTAAGCAATTTTTTCCTAATTTAAAAATAATTTTTTAATTAAAAAAACCTGGTATTAAATGCATATAAGTGAGCGTAATGAACAATGTGCTAATCAAAAATTTGTCTGCCACGGGATCAATGATGCTTCCAAAAAGTGATTTTTGTGAAGGGAAACGACGAGCAATAAAGCCATCGACCTGAAAAAATTTTTTTTTAATTCTTTTTATTAATCTAAATAATCCGCAAGCTTTGTCCGCAAATTTGAAAATGTCCGCAAAAATATTTTTTCAAAAAAATTTTCTGTAAATTTGTCCGTAAAATTGGAAATATCCGCAAAAATTAAAAAAAAAATAATAAAAAATAACAAACCAAATCACTAACACCAGCAATCACAAAGAGTACACAAGCAGGGGAATATAACTCATTTACCACCAACCAACCAATAATTGGAGTAGCCACAATTCTTTAAAAAATTAATTTAAAAAAACTTTATTTTAAAATTAAAAAAAAACCTCCCAGCACTGAGTAAATTTGGAATTGTATTTAAACGTTCATTAGCCAACACAAATTCAAATTTCTTTTGATTTTTTCTTTTATTTTCTTCTTGTCCATTTTGTTGATTATTCGATAATGAAGAAAGAGAAAATCTTCTCCAGGGTCTTAAAAAAATTGAAGAAAATTGTTTTGCCTCAATTGGAATATTTCTAAATACTGATAACATTTTTGTAGAATAAAAATATTGGAAAATTCATTTACTGAAAAACTTTGAAAAAAAAATTTTTTAAAAGAAAAAAATAAAAATATTAGAAAATTGAAAAACAAAATTAAAAATTAAAAATCAGAAAATATTTATTTTTCAATAAACAATTAGAAACAACAATAGAAAAGCATAATATGCAAAAAAATAAATTCTAATATAATTTTGAGAGTGTTATAAAAGAATTAATCAATGTAATTTGCAATATAAAGTGCCTAATAGGAGTGGAATCGAACCTTCAAAACCTTCAACTAAACCAAAATACTAGAGTTTCACCGGAAGTTCGGGTTCCGGAAAGTTCCGTATTTTTTGTTCCGGTTCCAAGAACCGGAATTCAAATTGGATCCGGTTCCGGTCGAAATTTCGATTCCCGTGAAAAATTTCAAAATACCCTCTCACCTAAAAATAACTTAAGCCTACTAGAATAATATTAACCCTAAAATAAAGTGAATTTGAAGAACCATTTAAAAAATAGGGATAGTCATTCTAAAAATAAGTTAAAAAATAATTTATAAAAATCTTAAAATTTTATATAATTTAAATTACAATTTATTAATCACATTTTATTTATTTTTTAAAAAATCACAGGGTAGTTATTTCCCCTCTACACCCAACACAACGGGCTTGTAAATTCCCAGCACCACCACCACCGCTATTAGAACCAGAACAGGTGGCCTCAGAAAAGGCTTTTTGGTCTACTGGCTGCAAAAATTAAATAAAAAATATTTTTTGGTAATTTAACGTGGCCTCCCGAGATTTCTTTTTTCCTGAATTTTCTTTTCTAAAATTATAAATGGTCAAGGGTACATAATGGTAAGGGGTTGAAATTGAAATGATGTCTGCTTCCTTATAGGACCTCTATTCGATTAATATATTTCATAAGATTGTAAAAAAATTTTTGTTTTTATTTTATTTAAGTAGCTGACCATTATGTTCCTTTGACCATTTACAATATTTTGAAGAAAAAGGGTAACGATAAGGTATCTACTATTTTTCTTAATATCCTTTAAAATTTTTTCCCAATAAAAAATCTAAATATCAAACCATTATCTTCTGCAAAGTCCCCACAATTTTCCTTAAATTGTCAATTTGTTTATGTCGATCATTCACCAATTCATTATTATGACTGTCTAAAATTTAAAAAATAATAAAAAAATTCATCTAAACTTTAAAGAAACCTTTATTAATTAAATTATTTTCTTCCTCAGATTTTTGGTTGTCTACCTCTTCAATACATTCGGCCATCAAAAACGAGTTTAAAGAATTACAAACAGTTGATAATTGGGTCTATAATAATGAGAAAAATACTTTTTTTTTAAAATTTATATCGTTGAAATTTTAGGAATCCACACCCCATCCCCCTACAAGAATCGAACAGAAATTTTTAACTTAAAAATTTTCTGAAAATTAACCATTGACTAAGTTTATACTAACAATTTCTACAAAAAACAAAATTTTTTTCAATTGACCCAAAACCACCTACAAGTTCCGAAATTAAAAATTTTTTCAAGAAACATTTTTTCAAAAGTTTCGAAAAATATTTTCAATTTCAAAAAAATCCAAACCTTACCATCAACTCAAAATTTTGTTTTTTATATTCTTTAAGCATAGCCTCATTTTCGGCAATTCTTTTTTGTACATTTCCTCTTTGAAATCTATACAAAGCAACATATTCCCCTATCGACTCATTTTCTGTTTCTACAGCAGTTAGCCAATATTGAAGTTTTTGATTATCTAAACGAAATTGCTCGTTTTCTTGGCAAAGTTGTTCTAATCGTTTTTGGAGTTTTTGACGATTATTTTCTTCACCCTCCTCCGCTTCTTCTTTCTCTTCATGCCTCTTCGCTTCCTTCACTTTCAATTCTTCTTCGTCCATTTCAGCTGACGTCTTCTTCACTTTTCTTTCTCCATTCAACTTAACTTCCTCGTCTTGTTGCCTCTTCTCCTCCTCACTTCCTTGCTCCTCTTTATTCTCTTGTTCATTTCCTTCCAATAGTCCCTCTTCTTCTACAACATTTTCTTCACTTAACTCCGTCTCAATACTAGAGACTTGGTCTGATGATGGGACGTGAACCATTAATGAATCATTTGAAGCAAATGTGTCTGTAAAAGAGAAAATTTAGGGAGAATAAGTATCGATCATGGGGTTTCCTAGTTTTTTATCAATAAACTTGGATAAATCCTTTTGGCTGATCCTTAGTCGAAACTGAAGGTAAATTCTTACACTGGTCCTTAGTCTGCTCCCACAATGATATGCTTGTCAAGTATTTTGTGGAATGTCAAGTATGCTTCCCACAAAGAAATAAAAGTCCACGGAACAAAACACTTGACATTCAACATGGATCCACTGTGGTAGAAACTTAAGTTAATAATTCCCTCCCTCCCATAAATCAACTACGTTTTCTAATAAATTAAAAAATTAAACACCTGAAGAAAGTAAAGTCGAAGATTGATCCACATTTTTATTTTCCAAATTTTGTAAATTCACTTCACTAATTCCCTCATTGTCAGTTTGTACTTGCTTTTCAACCAATTCCTTCAAATTTTCCTCTTTCTCCTTTTCTTCTTTCAATTCATTCAAAGCCTGTGTCAATTTAGAAACTGAATTTAATGCTGTTAAACGTTCATCTTCTTTTTCTGCGGAAGAATTAATTACTTGAACTAAACGATTTTGAAGTTCTCCAAGTTGAGTTTTTAATTCGAGATTTTGAGCTATAGCTCTAGAAACTGTTGCTTTTTCATTTTGTAATTGAATTGAAAGGGTACTGGCATCCTTTTTAAAAAAAGAAAAATAAAATTAATACAAGAAAGAAATACCAGGGGAACAGGGAGGACAGTCGACCCTTTCGAATCATTACCAAAAATTTAACAAAGCCCGACTCACAAAAATTAATTATGGAAAGGATGTTTTTATAGATTTCGAAGAATCATCCCATAATTATATACTCTAAAAGCTTCATACATATCCAGTTATAAGCTATGGCAGAAACGGGCTTTTGAGCAAAAATCGCATGCGTCTTGCGACAAAAAAAGATAATAAGGGAGAAAAAAGAAGAGAAAAGTCGCTCTTATCTCTTTTACCGAATTTCATGTCACCTATGCAGTTCAACGAGAACTCAAAATATGTAGGTGTCCTAACTAATTCGTTTAAAAACCCCTCCCCAAAATTTAAAATAAAATTAAAATAAAAACCTGATCAATATTCCCTCTAATAATTTTATCCTTTTCCAATTCCCCAATTCTTTCCATTGCCTCATTCAATTCACTTTTTAATTCTTCAATTTGCCCATTTTTCTCTTCTTCAAGTTTATCCAAAGTTTGTTTATTTAAATTTAATTGTTGTTCTTTTTCTAATAATAAATTAGAAATTTGTTGTTTTAATGATTCAAGTTCTGTTGTTGAAGACTAAAAATTTTTAAAATAAAAATATAAAATTTTAAACTTTATGGTTGCACCATTTCATTCTAAATGAAGTTTCGTAACAATTCAATCTTTGGTTAAAATAACGCTTACTTATAAATAGTTTTTGAGCAAAAATACAGAGAAAAATATTAAGAACGAGTCGAATGTCCGATCGAATAATTTTCGTTCCGAATTCAATTTTTCAAAAAAAAATTTTTTTGAAAATATTTTTCTCTATATTTTCTTGTTTTTTTGTGTATAAAAAGTTCAATTAAAAGGGACCAAAAATTTAGGAAAAAACAAAGAGTTCTTGCTTTATAGACAGAAAAATGCAAAAATTGAATTCGGAACGAAAATTATTCGATCGGACATTCGACTCGTTCTTAATATTTTTCTCTCCCTAGACTCATTTATGACATTTGAGGACACATAAAGTTCAAAATTTCCAAAAATAATTTTAAAAATAAAAACCTGTTGTTGATCTTCTACAGAATTATTATTTATTAAATTATCTTTTTCAATAGTTGCCTGTGCAATACGCAAACTTTCTTCTAAATAATCTTTGAGCGAACAAATTTCGTTAAATTTAGCACGAGTAGTTTCCAACTGGGAAAAAATAATAATTTATTTTTGCCATAAAAATGCCAGAACAGAAAAACCCCAAACATCTCGTACTTTTGCCGTTTTATTGTCTTACCCCATTCCTTTACCCTCTTTGTGCTGTCATGAACCCCGTCCTGCCCGCTTTTTCACTAATTTCTATTTTATTCATTAAATATTCTAATTGAAAGTCTTATCAATTTTCTCTGATATAATTCTAATCAATTAAGTCCCCAGACATTTTTTGAACTAAAACTCGCCCCAATTTTTTCTTACCCCGATCCATCCCTGCTATGATGCCAAAAATTATTTTTATTTCAAAAATTAAAGAAATTCCAAACCTCTTCCTCAACCATTTTCAATTGAGAATTAGCCTGTAAAGAAGTTATTTGAAGCTGTTCTTGTAGTGTCTGAACATTTTTCTGTGAATTATCCAATTCTAGTTTGAGAGAAATGAGTTGCTCATTTGAAGAGGATTTTTTATTTTCTAAAAAAAATTTTTTGAAAATTTCAAAAAAAAATTTAAATTTAAAAAACCTTCATTTTTCTCCTCAAAATTTACATTTTTAGGCAAATGTTCAAATTGAAATTGTTTTGATAATTGCTGTAAATAAATATCACGCATAGCCAATTCTTTTTTACAATGCTCATAATTTTGTTCTAATTGCACTTTATCGTGGTAAATTGATTTTAAGTGGGCCTTGAACAAAAAAAAGATTTTCTAATTAGAATATAAATACAAAAACAAAATTTTAAAAAAGTAAACTTCCCTGTCGATGGAGAAGATGAGAGGATATCGGATAAAACTTTAAAGGAGATATAGCCAAAAGGGAACGAGAATTTTTTATTTTATTTTTTTTTTGTGAAGGAAATTTGCGGGGGAAAAAGAATTTTGGTGGAAATGTTGGTAAAAAATTTTGTAGTCTACAGAAAAATACGGGGAAAATACAAGGGAATTTTGTCTCATTGTCAGAGAGGTACAATTCTAATAATTGTCCAAAAATTGTGGATAAAAATTTTATAGAAAATTTATTAGTGGGGAAATACGCTCAATTTCGAGTATATAATTATATGTATAATCTGATTGGGGGTTTTTTACGAGAGCTTTCAAAAAAAGGAGAAAAAAGACACACTTAACTACTGCACAAAAAATAATTTTTCTGGGTCGGCACCAGTTCTGTAATTAAAGCCGAATTGTATCATACGAATCTTTCTGTATTGATTGGTGCCAAAAATAATCCGGAGATCATGGGAAATCGGATTTAAAATCCGAGCTGAAGAAAATCCTTCAAGAATCAGGTCCGGAACCTACTTTTAAAAGGCGCACAAAACCCCAAAAAAACAAATTTTAAAACAAAAACCTGTGTATCCATTTTATCCTGTTGTGCCAAAAAAAGTTTAGCTTCCAAATTTGAAGATAATTTCCATTCTTCTTCAATTTGTTGTGAAAGATTGGAAACAGTTGATAGTAATTCATCCCTTTCTTGTTGAATATTTGCTAAACGTAAATCAGAAAAATCGTCACTTTTTATTAAATTTGTTGTCAAGGAAGTTGCCAACAAATCATTTTGTTGATTTTGTAAAGGAGCACTTTTTAAATTTTGTAATTCTTCCATTTTTGTTTTTAATTCTCTCAATTCTTTTTGTAAATTAGTTTTTTCTTCTAATGAGTGAGTTAAAGCCTAAAAATAAATTTTAAAAATTTTTTGGCCTACGGCCTTCTAAAATTATCAAAATTTCCGCCTGCAGCGTAAAAAATTAGACGCAAAACTTTCCCCCATTGCCTCCCCCTGAAAAAATCCTAACTACGGCCCTGAAGGTATCGATTCGATTTTTTGGTATTTTTTCTATATTGATCGAAAAAATATCGACCGACCCTCCCGGCCGATCTCTACTAAAAAATAACAAAAAATTTTATACAATTTGTAATTGTTGTATTTGATTGTTAATATGTACTGGAGTCTCTCTCCCATCCAAATCATTATTTTTCTTCTCCACTAATCGATTATAGGCATTATATAATTCTGAATAACTTGAATGCTTAAATTTTAAAGAAAATTTATTTTTAATTTATATGTAGACATACAAGTGAATTAAGTTTTGAAAGAGCAGTGGCCAATTCTTCTTCTTTTTGGATCAATAAACTCCTTGAACCGTTCAAATCTCCCTGAAAATTGGGGAATTTTAAAATTTGATATTTTTAATTTTTAGAGATCAAGTGGAACTGGACCATAAGCCTGTACTTGCAATTAGAACTCTCTCTTAGCATTTTTAAGGCCTTCTGGATTTTTCTTGGACTTTTCTATTGAAAAATATTCCAGAAATCGGGTAAATGAGAAACAAAGGCCTATAATAACTTGGAGTCCAAAAACCAAGATGGCTTAAAAATGCGTGGATCTAGACCTATAGATCTCGGCCTGACCTTAAAAACCTTGGCTCTGACCCATTTGATCTCTGGAAAATTTCTCGATTGATTTTTGAATCCGAATCCAGAATCTTAGATTTTCTCTACTCCAAGCCCATTATCCCAGGGTCAGTGGATCCAAAAATCAGTCCAGTCCCAAACATAAAAAATCTCTCTTAAACCCTTGCAAAAAACAATGCTCCAAAAATTTTTTTGAGTCTAAAAAAGCAGAATAACTAACCTCTTCAATTCTCAAATTTTCAGGCACAGAGTAGCACCTAACCTGATTTCCCACCTCCTTTTGATTAAACGGAAGTAATTCACTAGTAAAACTTCCAATAGGTCCATTAATTAAATTTCCATCATTTAAAAGAGTTCTCGTTTCACTCGCAGATTTTGAAAAATTTGGAAGAATTGAAGGGGAGGAAGAGCAAGAATTATTTGAATTTTGTAAAATATTATGGTCAATACAAATTTCCAAACCATTTGAAGAATTAAATGAATTAAAATCTTCAGAACGTTGAGTGTGCTTTGATTGGAATTTCTTCAACTGCAAAATTAAAAAAATAAAAGTGAAGTAAAATCAAGGCAAGGAGTGTTACAAGCATGAAAGAGGGCCATTTATGGGTTAAAATTCTGAAAAATTGTCATCCGAAAATTTACCTAGATAGTAGAAAAACTTCAGAAAAGATAAATTTGCCGTTCCTATTTCTTCTGTTTTTCCTTCTTCCCAAAAGTTTCCCTATTTTTGCCAATTAATAAGACAAATATTGGTTAATAACAAGGTTTTTTGAATTTTTTAATTTGATTTTTAAAAGCAAAATTTAAATCAATAAGGAAAAGGATGGTCCAAGACAACGTAAAAATTAGAGTGCGGCATGGGACGGAACCCTGTACAGGATTTTAACCAACACATGGAATTACCCGTCTCACTCAACATTTTGAGACTCAATCTTATTACGAGACCCCGGGGTTGCGATTTTGCCGTAATTTAATAAAAAATGTTAAGCTACAACAAAAAATTTAAGAAGAAGAAAAAAAGAGAGGAAAACCAAACAAAAATTAAAAATACCAAATTTTTTGCATGAAGAATTCGATCATTTGATTGATGTTCATCTGTACTCATTTTCAATGAAAATCCTTTTAAATATCAAAAAAGTCTAAAGTTCATCTGTCTAAAAAGAAAATTTAACTTGAAAAATAAAAAAAAAGTTAAGCAAAAATTTTAAGAAAAATTTCCGAAAATAAGACGAGAGAAACGATTAAAACGAGAGAGTAAAATACAACGCGACGGGATATTTTTTCATTTTTATTTTAAATTAACATAATGCCAAAAATAAAAATATTAAATAAATTTAAATTCTCGTGTGATAAATGTTGGGTAAGGCCGTTTCAGGGGCCATAACTTTTTTGATTCTTAACCGATTTAAATAAATATTATATCAATCGAAAGCTCTTGATGTGAGGATTATTTTATCTAGCAGGATTGATTTGATCAGATTAACCTACAAAAAGTTACAACCAAATAAATATCAAAAATCACGATTGCGTGCAGTTATCCAGTTGGAACTTTTTGTAGGATGATATTATCAAATCAATCTTGTTAACCAAAATAATCCTCACATCAAGAGCTTTCGATTGATATAATATTTATTTAAATCGGTTAAGTATCAAAAAAGTTATGGCTTTTTGTTTCTGTATTATTCAGTTTTGAAAATACCTATAACGAAAAATTAAAATTTTATTCCGATTTAAAAAAATACAAAATGGAAAACAAAATTCTGATTTTAGATAATTGTGTTTTACGTGTATTTATTTGTATTTCTGTTTGTAATTCTGATTTCTTATTTTTTATTTTGTATTAATTAATTCCGAATTGTAAAATTCTGGTTTTCTAAATATTCTGATTTGTTTCTGAAATACAAATTCTGATTTTATATACTCTTCTTTTTTTAATTCTGTTTTTTACTAATTAATTATTCTGAATTGTAATTTCCCTTATTTTGTAATTGTAATTCTGATTTTTCCTTCTCTCTTTTATTTATTTTTTCCCTTAATTTTCTGCAACCTTCTTGTTGTTTTGCTAATTTCCTTCTCGTTGCTTTTAATCCTTTTTAAAAAAAATTTTCCTTTAATTTTTTTTATTTTTTCTATTTTTTATTTAATTTGCCCCCATTTAATATTTTATTTACAACCCCAAATTTACACAAAAAATTAGGAGGGTTTTCAAGTGTTCACACAAATTCGCCGAACGCCAGGACGGAGAACAACGTGAAAACCATGTAAATATTTTAACTAAAAAATTAATTTCTCTCTAATCTTTCCCATGAGTTTGAATTTTAGTTTAAAATATTTTTTTCCGATTTGTTGAATTAATTAAGAGGAGGTTGTTGTTCTCTAAACAGGTGATGATGCTGCCAAGAAGTTAATATATAAATAAATAAAAATATATTTTATTTTTATTTATTTTCTTGAAAAAAATTTTTTCTAAAAATTACTCCAACCCTCCCACTCTTCTGACTAATTTTTAAATTTTTTCCCCCAAATTAAAACGGTACAGTAATCCTCGTTTCTTAATTTAATTAACTACTTGATTAGTACAGTAAAAGATAATAGGTATAAATAAACAAGTTTTGTGTCTTTTAAAATCACAAATTATAAAATTTTAAATAAATCTTTTTTACAATTGCCTTTTTATCTTTTTCAAATTTAAATTCTGATTTTTCTTCTTTTACAATTGAATATAAAATACACTAATAAATTCTGGTTTAATTAAGAGAAGAAACACAAATTCTGATTTATTTTTAAGGAAAATACAATCAGAATTAATAAATTCTGGTTTCTTTTTAAGAAAACTAATTTTAATTCTGATTGTTTTAAATAAATAAAGACAAAACACAATTGTAATTTCTGATTTTATTATTAAGAAAAATTCTGGTTTTATTTAAGGGAAAAACACATTTAAATTCTGATCCATTTTTTAAGAAAATACACGCAAATTAATAAATTCTGATTTGATTTTTAATGGAAAATACATACATTAAATTCTGATTTTTAATTGTTTTTAGACAAAAGGAGAAAACACGTTAAATTCTGTTTTAAGCAAAATACTTTAAATTCTGGTTTGATTTTTAAAGAAAACACATTAAATTCTGGTTCAATTAAAAACCAGAATTTGTGTGTTTTCTCTTTTAATTAAACCAGAATTTTTCTCATTTAATAATAAAACACATTAAATTCTGATTTTAATTAAAAGACCCAGAAAATTTTAAAAATACAAAAACACAAAAAATTCTGATTTCCAAACCACACCCAGAAACACATGTTTTATAGTTTTGAGGGAATATTTCATTTTATTACCCCCTCAATAATTATTATTTAATTTCCCCAATTTCCCATATTTTACTAATATAATTATTTTATTTTTAATTTTTGAGTACAACTTTTTAAGAAACATTTTTTTATTACAAACTTATTCGTCAAACAGACAAACACATAAATATTTAACTGAACAAAAATGAACAAAAAAATGGCCATAAAAGAATTATTTTTAAATTTAATATTTATTTTTATTTTAGAGACATTTTTAAATTTTTTTTAAATTTAAATTTTGATTTAAAAATTTATTTAAAAATTAATTATGATCATCAAAAATACAAAAAGGAAAAAATATTTTAATTTTAATAAATTAACGATATTAATTTTAATTTATTTTTTAATTTTTTGTGTTCAACAAGGGCACTGTAGATATCGTTATAGACAAGGTATTTTTCTAAAGAATTCGAAAAAAAATTTTTTTAATCGAAAAAACATCCAAAAATCCTCTAAAAATTAGATTATGACCTTTAAAGAGCAGTTAAAGTGCAGTAAAGTCAATCAGCGCGGTGCTTCATAAAATTGGCAAAAGAGCTCTTAGAAATTTAAAATTTTCTGAATTTATTCTGGGCTATATTACTTAAAATTTTAGAATTTTTTATTAATTATTTCTAAAGTTATGGACGATAAAGTGAAAAAATAGGCCTTTTTTGAATGAATTTCTGACTTTTTTGGTCATAAATTCTGAAATTCTGAATCAAAAATTCTGAAATTTTTAGTGAAGATAAATATCAGTATTGAGGATGTCCTTGCAAGATTTCAGAAATTTATGTGGTCATTTGGGAAATTTATGGACTTTTAACTAGGCTAGATACGTGCCCTAAGCACCTTTAGTTCACCAACATTTTATAAATGCTCGATCAAAAAATATTTTTTAAAATTAAAAATAATTTTAATTTATTTAAAAATCGTCCAAAATATTAAAAAAAAAATAAATTTAAAAAAATTTCCAAAAAAAATTTTTTCTAATAAATTCCTTTTTCAGAACCTATGCCAGACACTGGGTAAGTTAAATTTAAATTTAAATTACCGTATTTACTCGATTAATTCCCCTCCCTCAAATAATTCCCCTCTCTCGAATAATTCCCCCTGCTACGGATGAGTTGAAACAATAATCCCCCTCCACCAAATACCCTACTACACGTTCAAATTTCAAAACTCGAATAATTCCCCTCCCTTGAATAATTCCCCATGCCACGGTTGGGTTGAAAAAATAATTCCCCAGGGGAATTAATCGAGTAAATACGGTAATTCTCAAAAAAATTAATTTAATTAATTTAGAATTGTAGAAGATTCTCCAGAACTCCTTTTGAGATTTAAAAGACTAGCTTCGTCATTTTTAAATTATTTAAATGGAAGTTGATAATTAAAAGTTGGGTTGAAATGAAGCAAATAAGGAGAGAGAAATTACAGCGAAAAAATTAAAAATTAAAAATGTTTTTAAAAAAATATTTTTATAAAAATGTCATATATATTTTTGTAAGAATGATGCCGAGAATAAGGGAAAAAGAGAGAGAAAAATTTTATCAAAAAAATTTAGGAGAAAATTATTTTAAAAAAATATTGTCGGCATCGAACAGATCTCATTTTTATTATTTTTTTATCAATTTTTATATTTTTTTAATTTGTAAAATTATTTTTAAAAAATAGTAAAGCTTCGATTAAAAAATTTTTGAGAAACTAAAAAATATATTTAATAATTTGGGAACTTCCAAAACAGTTTAAAAAATCAAAAAGAGTTAACAGGGAACCAATAAAACTCGAACCCACACATAAATAAATGATAGACCGAAGCATTACCCACTACACCACAAGAGAACTGAATAAGTTATTTAATTTACGAATAAAGAGTACTTAATATAAAGCAACTCCCCACAGAAACTTTACATTTTCTCGAAAATTCCCATATTTTCTTGTTTTTTTTTCGGAGTTTTTTTTCTTTAAAATAAAAGAATTAACAAATTAAAAGATTAAAAATTATTTTTCCTCATTTTAAAATTCAAAAAAAAAAATTTTTTTTTCATTTTTCAACCAAATTTAGGGGCTATTTTTGAAAGCCTTTCTTTTGAGAAGCATATTGATTTACCAAAATTGATTACCCAAACATCATACTATAAAATTAAAAAAAATATTTTTATTAAATCTTACCATCCCTTTCCTCCCCCCAAATTTTGTTTCTCGAATCATTTGATTTTTGTTTACTTTTTCTTTCAACCCTTCCCCAGCAGACATTTAGAGAAATAGTGTGTAAAAATAAGAGAGACAAGTAAATAAATTCTTTTTTGGATTGTTCTTTGGACTTTTTACTTTAATTTAAGGGATATATTTTTAAAGGGGGATTTTTCAACACCTTTTAGATTAATTTATTTGTTTTTGCTCTTTTATTTTCTAAAAAAATTATTTTTTTTAGATTTTTATTTAATTAAAAATGAGTCTAACACCGTTACGGAAAGCTTCGTCTTCTAGATTGGTTAAACAATTTTCTGTGAGTTTTTTTATTTTTAAAAATATGTGGAGGGAAGAAAGTATTTTAAGAGAAAAAATTTAAGGTTGGGACGGCCTCCGTCGAATTTTTAGAATTTTTTGAATGCTGGGCAAATAAGTAAAAATCCGCAAATTCTGTCCGCAAATTTTGTCCGCAAAAATTTTTTCCAAAAATTTTTTCTAAAGGAAACTAACGTTCTTTCAACTAACGGCGATGAGATTTTGGATAGAGGAGAACTTGCCAAACTTGAAAATCGATTTGTTTTTGAATGTGCTTGGGAAGTTGTTAATAAAGGTTTTTTAATTTTTGGGGGGTTTTAAATTAATTTTTTATAGTTGGTGGAATTTACACTGTCCTTCGAACAAAAGCGCCAATTAGCACTGATGAACTGGGGGATCAATATTACATGATGGTTAGTTTTTAAATTATTTTTTTTCAATTTTTTAAAGTAGCATAAATGCTTTGAGTCAAAATTTTGCGGACAAAAAATTTTTTGCGGACGCTTCTTGCAGATTTTTTAAATTTAGTTCAAGATTTGTTATTTTTGGCAGTTCCTTTATGCTTCGAATCGTTTTTTATTTGTATTTTTCGCTCAAAATTAAATTATTTCTGGACTCGTTCGCAAGTACTGTCCGCAAAAATATTTTTATAGGATAAAATGTCATCCTTTAGCCTTTGAGCGCTTACCAATTTCTTTAATTTAATAAACATTCAAAGTTTATCGCTAAACGGCCGACCTCTTTCTGTCATCTTTCTGGCTTCATATATCTATGGCCTTGTCCGCAAATTATGTCCGCAAGAATTTTCAACAAAATTTTCCCATCCCTAACTTTTCACTTTATTTTTATTTTTTTATTTTATACAACAATTTATTCCAAATTTTTCATTTAAAAATTAAATTTTTTAGGGTCCATTTGTTGAAGAACGTGTTCGTCTTGAAATGGAAATTTTAGACCCAGAAACTGCCAATTTAAAATATACAATCGATCAAATGGCAGAATGGGGATTTAGAGTAGTTTATGGACGGTGGTTAATTGATGGATATCCAAAATGTTTACTTTTTGACATTGGCTCTGCTGCTTGGAAATTGGATACTTGGAAACATGAGGTTGTTTTTTGAAGTTTATCAGTGCTTTTTTAAGTTTTGCGGACGATTTTTGCGGATTTTCCTAATGTAGTTAAATTGAAGGCTTTATCGTCCGCAAATTTTGTCCGCAAAAATATTTTAAAGTTTGAGAACGTTTTTTTTTTGTGATTTTCCTAATTTGGATATCCTTACCTCATCCGCAAATATTTGTCCGCATAAGCATCGTCCGCAAATTTTATCCGCAAATTTACATATTTTAATATTGTATCAATTTTAAGCTTTGGGAAAGATGTAAAATTGGAGTTCCTTTCCTCGATCGAGAGGCCAATGACTGCATAATTTTTGGGTTTTTGGTGGCCATATTTCTAAAAACATTTGTTGATTCTTCACAAGATTTCGATCCTCACATTGTTGCACACTTTCATGAATGGCAATCGGGTATTGGATTAATTATGTGCAGGTTTGTTTTTGTCGAATTTTAGAAATTGAAAGTTTGTCCGCAGAAAATCTTTTGCGGACAAAAATGTCATTTTTAGTTATGCAATCCTTTTAGCTTTTTCCTGGTTTTCTCCTTAATTTAAGGGTAGAATGGTACAAATCCGAATTTTTGTTCTTTTTTTTATTTTTCTATTTTATTTTTGAAATTTGCAGGCGGGGTCCGTAGGTTATAAGTTTTGAACTTGTGGATTAGACCGCAAAAATTTTTTTAAAGCTGCAGGCATTTTTCACGGATTTTAATTAGGATAAGCTAAAGATTTTGTTCTTTTATTATCTCTGAAAATTGTATTCCTCAGAAAATTATTTCTTGATCTCGTCCGCAAATTTTGTCCGCAAAAATTAAAAAAATATTTGGATAACATAAACTTCCCAATTTCTCTGTCCTCCGGGTCATTTCTTCAAGAAAAAAAAAATTTTTTTAAGAATGTGGAAGCTCAAAATAGCCACTTTACTCACTACCCACGCAACATTGTTAGGCAGACATTTGTGTGCTTCTGGAGCTGATTTATACAATAATTTGTCTAATGTATTTTTTAAATATTTTTTATGTTTTTTAAATTTATTTTTTCAAAGTTTGATGTCGACGCAGAAGCTGGAAGGCTACAAATTTATCATCGTTATTGTTTAGAAAGGGCAGCTGTCAATATTGCTGATGTATTTACTACTGTTAGGTTAGTTTTTAGATTTTCTACTAACAAATAAGTATTTTTCCTTAAAAATATTTTTGTGGAGATTTTCCCGTTTTGGAAATTCTTGATTTTTAAATAAATTTAGGGGTTCGTATATTCCCTAATTCAGTTCTAGAAGTTAAATTTTGTCTTCATAATTTTAGAATATCTTTGGATTCAATAGTTAATGGTTAGGTGGAAATGAGAAAGTGTGGTCATAAATAGTGTTGGTAGATCCTGGGAAATCGTTGAATATTCGGATCTAAACCAAAAACTTCCTTTTTTATTTGGTTTCCTTATCCACTAGGCCTAGCCATTTTTTTAAATAAAAATTGATAAAATAATCTCTTTTTCAAGTGAAATTACTGGATTAGAAGCCGAATATTTGTTAAAACGAAAACCTGATATTCTCACTCCAAATGGATTAAATGTTGTTAAATTTGCTGCATTACACGAATTTCAAGTAATTTTTAAAAAAAAATTTTTTTAATATTTTTGTCTCTTATTTATTTCAATTTCAGAATTTACACGCTCAAAATAAAGAGAAAATTCATGATTTTATTCGTGGACATTTTTATGGGTATTTTTTAAAAGTTATTTTTTTTCTAATTTTTATTTAAAGACATATGAATTTTGATTTGGAAAAAGTTCTCTACTTTTTCACTGCTGGACGATATGAATTTAGCAATAAAGGGGGAGATTTCTTTATTGAAGCATTGGCTTCGTTAAATCACATGCTTCAGGTTTTCTTTGAATTTATGTTTTTGACTTTTCTTGGGCAATTTGTGTCAAGATGGGGATTTTAGGAAACATTCCCTGAATCTTTATTGTTATGTACTAGCTTTAGGCAGTAGAGTTAAGTCTGGATCCAGTCTGGATTTTTTTGGATCCAAATCAAAAATCCTTTCCAGATTACTACCCTAAATCCAGATCTAGGATTTTTGAAAATACATACATATCTCTATTAGACAGGCATCGATCCTGCGGCCTCCTATATACATATAATAATAGTTATTGCTAGGCGTTTTCGCTCTTCACGTACATGTGCTCTGACTTGACACCCCTTGTTCTAATCTGGTTGTCTATCTTAAACCCCTGGATATAAAAAGTCTTTTAAATACTAACTTTAATACTTATCTGCGAATTTTTTATAGAAAACATGGGAATTTCTTAAATGAATTTTTTAAAATTATTTTTTAAATTTAAGACATCAACTGAAAAACGCGTTAGTGGAGTGACCGTTGTAGCTTTCATCATTTATCCAGCAGCAGCTCACTCTTTTAATGTTGATACTTTGCGTGGACAGGCTGTGTAAATTAATTTAAATTTTTTAAATTCTATTAAAAAGATTTTTTAAGGTGTAAACAATTGCGTGAAACTATAGTTAAATTGAAGGAGAATATGGCTTCGAGGCTTTTTGATTCCTGTTTGAGGTTTTTTGGATTTTTAAAATTTTTTTTTGAATTTTTAAACAATTTGTAGTTAAAAATACAGGTGACCCTCTCCAGTTATATTTAAATGCCCCCAATTTATGATGCCCCTATCATAAGATAAATCTCTATAGGTATAATCTTTCTGATCCCGGAGGTTGACATTATTTTATCTTTTAAAAATTTGAAAATCGAATTTTTAAGAACCCAAAAAAATAAATAATTCTAAAATTCTTTTTTAGAGGACGAATTCCAGACATGGAAGAATTATTATTGCCTGCGGAACGTGTACAATTAAAACGTTGTATTCTTTCTTCAAAGCGTGACACTCTTCCACCTATTTGTACTCACAATATGGTTGATGATGTTTCTGATCCAGTTTTGAATGCATTTAGACGTTGCCAACTTTTTAATTATGATCATGATAGGGTTAAGGTTTGGAGTGTTTTTATTTTATTTTTAAAGGGAGGGAGTCCTTGTAGAGGGTCTTGACTAGGTAGTCGTATTTAAGAATGGAGAAGGGAATGTCTGTTAGGTGCCGTGAAATTGAAAACAAAAAATCGCTTGATTCAAGCAGGTGGATGATCGAATACACTAACTTATTGTTAGTTCTCCGACAGACTAACTTTTAAACATAAGATAAGAGAATCCTTCAGTTTTTATATTTTTTCAAGGGTTTTTGGAAATTAATTTTTAATTTTGAGGGACTAATGTGTGTAGAGACTTTTGTTAAAAAATAATTTTTTAATTTTTAGGTTGTTTTCCACCCAGAATTTCTCAGTTCTGTTTCGCCTCTTATTGGGCTAGATTATGAAGATTTTGTTCGTGGGTGTCATTTGGGAGTGTTTCCTTCTTATTATGAACCGTGGGGATATACACCCGGTAATTGTTTTGATTAAATAATTTTTTATACAATGACCTCGCTATAAGATACACTCAATATTAGGTACACCTCTATTTAAGAAACACTTTTAAAACTTAGTTGGTAACTGGATGAGGTGAAAGATACCCCGGGGAGATGTAATGGGAGAGAAACATCTTTGGTAGTGTGAAGGGAACATTCATGATAAAACCTCTATTTAAGATAACCTAATTATAAGTCAAGATATTTTTCAACTCCAAGAGTATATCTTATATTGAGGTCTGACTTTTTTCTTAATTTTTCTAGCCGAATGTACTGTAATGGGAGTACCATCAGTAACAACAAATTTATCAGGATTTGGTTCTTTCATAGAAAAACAAATTCCAGATCATGACAATTATGGTCTTTATATTGTTGACAGAAAAAATAAAACTTCAAATGAATCTATTCGACAATTGTCACAAGTTTTGTTTAATTATTGGTAAGTTTATATTTTGTTGAAGAATTGAAAAATATTTTGTGTAAGACCTGCGTAATTTCCTTGCCAACTTACTAGTTAAAGCAAAAATTAAAAAAAAACCCGTGATCGATTAACTGCCCTTTATCTAAGAGCTCGGGTTAAATCCTCCCTTTTGCTATTTCTGGTTGTGGGTGTTGGATTGACCGCTTTGTTTTTTCTCAAAGACAGGGGCCCTAATATGTTCGTCACAATATATTAATTTATTTCCGCCTCATTGTTAGTCTGTGTAGTTAAGTGGCTTTTGTTTAGTATGACATGGTTTGGAGGAATTTTTTCTATAACATTTTGATGGGCGATGATGATTAAAATGTCTGAGACGAGAAGCAAATTCGAAAAATAAAAAGGCTTCAATGAACTCTAATTCGTACTGTTTGAGCCCGCAAAAATTGAAAATTTTTTTAGATTGCTCTTTTTAACCAGGGTTGGAGGGCAAGCATCTCCTCTTTCTCTAAATCCAATTTTTGTAAATTCGGCGAAATTTGAGAATGATTGGCCAAAAATAGTTATCTCTCATTTTTTATTTAAATGTTTTTAGACGGGGATCAGGGGTGGGCGCATTGCGTTTTTTGCGTTTTGCGTTGATTTTTGGCCTTGCGTTTTTCACGATTGCCTCTTGCGCCCACCCCTGACGGGAATATCTCTCTCTTGTTTCGGTCATTTTATCTGACTCGAGATATGTTTAAAAATTTTTTCTCCAATCCTGGGAAATTTTCTGGATATCTCTACAAGGGCACAAAGTTTAAACTAATTTTTTCCTCCAAGGCCACGTAGTTTTTTCTAACCCTAACAGATAAAGTGTCAGTCGGTGGTGGGATGTTTGAGCATTTTTCCTTGGATCGGAGATGCTTTCCTAATTAGTTCTGTCCAATTTTTTGCTGATTCTTTAGGATGGAGCTCGAGATCTTCTATTGAATTTTATTTTTCAATATTTTTCAGTACTTATTCAAGACGTCAACGTGTAATAATACGTAATAGAGCTGAACGTGTTAGTGAACTTTTGGATTGGAAAACACTTGGAGGGGTAAAAAAATAAAGAGATTTTTTTAAAAATTAGTAAATTTCTTCCTCCTTTTTTTAGTTGTATCGCGAAGCTCGTCGAATGGCATTAAAAAAGATTTATCCCGATTTGGAAATGAGAACTTCAGAATTGTTAGCAAAAATGCCACGTCCTTTATCCGCTTCGAGTACACCAGTTCATAGCGATTTAGAAACTGATTCTGACACTGAGGAACAACAAGAACATGAGGTGAGGAAGGAGAGAGAAAAGAATTTTTCAAAAAAATTTTTTGGAGTTTAATTAATGGGGGAAGGCTACAAGAAGGCTGTATTTCTGAATTTTGTTTAGAAGAATTTTTTTCTGAATTAAATTAGATTTTGGAATTTTAAAGAGCTAAAAATGAATTTTAAACCCACGAAATATTTTTTAAAAAGAATTGGAATTTGACTAATTTTATATAATCAAGTATTTTGTCCATATCTTGTATAATATTTTTAGTCATAAAAAATAAAAAAATCCCCAAAAAAATATTTTTTAAAAAATTTTTTAATTTTTCTTTTAATTTTATAGAATTTGGCTTGGAATGATGCTTCCTAAAGAAACCTGTTGTTTTTTGATAGGGTAATAATTAAAGGACTAATTAGTTTATATACTAAAGTGACACATTTCTATTTTATAATTAATTTCTAGTGACTTAATAATTTTTTAAAAGTCTTTATAAGCTCAATTATGTACAGTCGATTTTGTTTATGGTGTCCATGGGAGGGGTTTAAGCAGTGCCGACCAGAGATATTTTGTCTGGATCCGAAAATCTTGGAATTTTTGTTTTACCGAAACTTTTGGTTAACCTTACAAAATTTTTTAGGGTTTCCGGTTCGTTTTGAAACCGAAACTCCTATTTATGGCATTATTGAAAGGTCTGATGTTTTTTGGAGAATAAACTTTGAGTGAGAATCGTTCAGCCCTGTTATCTTCTAGAGAAGTCTTTTATATCCTCCCCTACTATACCTGGAATCGACTACTATATATGTATTACTAGTATAGATATTCTCTCAATTTGTTAATTTTTAAAAGTCTAATTTTTGTAATAGCTCACTTAAAAATAAATATAATTTTTATAGCAGGAAATAAATATATTCTTTTTAACAAATTTTTGAATAAGAATAATTCTTCAATTTCAACCCTGCTATTTAAATATTTTTAATTTTAAAATCTAACTAACTCTCTTAAAACTAAATTTAATTCATGGTGACATATTTTTTGAAATAAATACATAAATATTAAATAGAGATTGGATTTTTTGCATTAATTTTGACTTAAAATTTTGTTATTTTGACTGGTCATTCACTCAATATAGCCTTTTACATGCTATGGTTTACTAAAGAAATCAAATATTTTGACTGACTTATTCTAAAGTTATTAATTTTCTAGCAGGGTACTACTTTTACAAAATAATTAAAAAAATATGGTTCTTTTGATAAAATTTGTCGAAAATTAATTTTTAAAGAGAAATTTCAAAAACGGCATAAAAACAGAGCAACGTTCAGACAGGAATATGCCAAGTCTTCGCGAGGCGGTGCTAAAGTTATCCCGGATTCGATAACTGGGCAGTGTCGCGAAAGGCGACAATTAGAATTTAATTTAAGTTTATTTTTTCTAAAATTAATTTTCTTTAAATTCCAATCTTTGTTTTTCTTAATCTAAACTTGTTTTTCAACCGCACCTGCGGTCTAGGACATTCTTTTATGTTTAAGAAATTTTTTCTATTTCTAACTTTTTAAATTAACTTTCTTTTGTTTCTTTAAGCGCATCTATTTTTAAATTAACTTTTTTGTACCAGCCGCCATTCATTCATTTCTATTTTCTTACTTTTGGAATGTTGTTTTTACCTTTAATTCTCTACCCGCCTATTTTTTTGGCCTATATAATCTCCCTTCCAAAACCCACATTAGCTTTTGTCTGTCTCATAAGCTCTGCTCTATTCTGTTCCATTCCTTGGTTCACTTATTGCTTTGGTTTATTATTGTTGGCTCGCTTTACTATTTATTTGTTGGATTTAATTTAATTGGAAAATAAATCTAATTTAATTTGTTTGGAAGTGTTTTGTTTGTCCCTAGGCTTCTACTACAGGCAGTACCTTGGCCTCGCGGTACCTTGTGGGTGTACCTCTTAAAATTAACAAGCAAACACGTTCTTATCCTAGCGGCTAGTCAGCAAAAAAGTATCTTGAAAATTATTTTTAGTTACATATCTAGTTTTTTTTCTCAAAAATGGGAGTAAGAAATTATAATACGCGGGTTTCGTTTGATACTTTTAATGGAGGTTGTAATCCCGAGGTAGAGAGAAAGAATCTTTTTTAATTAAACTTTATTTTAAGAGACCAGGAAAATAAATTTTGATGAAAGAAAAAGAAGAGAAGAATAAAAAGAAAAAAAGAAAAAAGAAAATTTTGGAATTGGGCAATATGTACATATATAAGGATTTAAAATTCATTAATAATTCTCCGGTTTAAAATATTTAAATTAAGCGGTCAACCCAGAAAACTATTAATGTACACTCTAAAACATTTAAATAAATTGCAAGTATGTATATATAGTCGTGGAAAAAAGTATGGAAGCGCTAGAAAATTTTTTCTTAATTCTTAATTTTTCATTCAAAAAATACGTTCTATATACCAATCGAAAGCTCTATTCGTATCTCAGTTGACATGTTTCTGCATTTTTCATGAAAATGAAAATTGGCCGAGATAATCCGGATCTACCGGATATACCAAATCCCACTTTTTCGGAAAAATTTTTCGGAACAAATTTAACAAACCCAAATGATAAAGCATATTTTTCTGAGTATTTTCCACAAAACCGCTAAGAAATATCTTTTTCCAGAGCAGAGATATGATTTTTTGAAAATCGCATTTTTCGTCTATTTTTGCAAAAAATTCAATTTTTAAGCGAAAAATGCGATTTTCAAAAAATCATATCTCTGCTCTGGAAAAAGATATTTCTTAGCGGTTTTGTGGAAAATACTCAGAAAAATATGCTTTATCAGATGGGTTTGTTAAATTTGTTCCGAAAAATTTTTCCGAAAAAGTGGGATTTGGTATATCCGGTAGATCCGGATTATCTCGGCCAATTTTCATTTTCATGAAAAATGCAGAAACATGTCAACTGAGATACGAATAGAGCTTTCGATTGGTATATAGAACGTATTTTTTGAATGAAAAATTAAGAATTAAGAAAAAATTTTCTAGCGCTTCCATACTTTTTTCCACGACTGTACAAAAATATAATTTTAAATTCCAATTACTGACTTTCAATTGTGACCTTATTTCCACGTAATCATTCAATAAATGATTTAAATGACATTAATTAATTTATGATTTTATTAGTAATTTAGGCGGAGGAGATATAATAATAATAAATATAAATTCCGCTTAGCAATTCAAGCGGAATTTAATTAAGTATAAAAGTGAAGTCGCCTTCTCTTATATTATTTTTAATGGCTCCTATACAACTCATCGAATCCTTAACTCATCGAATCCTTAACTCATCGAATAGGCCAAAAACACTCAACTCATCGAATCCTTAACTCATCGAATCCTTAACTCATCGAATAGGCTAAAAACACTCAACTCATCGAATCCTCCCAAAAGGGTACGTTTGAGTCCCAGAGTTTATTTTTTAGATTTTTTATTGTTTTGTTTATTTTTTTTTTGTTTTTCATCTGGGGTGTCAACTAATTTTGTTAATTAGTTGATCGGTCACTCATCCAAGTCTATCCGGTAAGTGAAAACACTCTCAGATCCTGGTAAATTATGCTGGAGATCCTGGTAAATTAGCGGAGATTTTACCGGGTAAAACCGGATCAGATTAATCCAGTAGACCCCGTTTGCGCCCAAAACCTTTTTCCTAGCCTCCAAAGCAGCACAAAAAATTTTTCAACGAAGATTCAGCTAGCCCTTTTGGGAGAAAAATAAACACTGGGACTCAAACGTCCCCTTTTGGGAGGATTCGATGAGTTGAGCATTTTTGGCCTAGTCGATGAGTTAAGGATTCGATGAGTTAAGGATTCGATGAGTTGATAGTTTTTGGCCGATTCGATGAGTTAAGGAATTTTAGCCGTTTCGATGAGTTGAGTGTTTTTGGCCGATTCGATGAGTTAAGGATTCGATGAGTTGAGGGGACACGTTTTTAATTAATCGGTCAACCAAGAAGAATAATAATTTTCCACTTTTGATATACTCTTCTTCTTCCCTATAAAATTAACACCATGAAAATAATTGGTATCCTTATTTTTCTATTAATAATTTTTAATATTGTCTTTGATACTTCTTCTAAATTAACATCTGAAGTTGATGCTAGCCGCCATCTTAAGAAAATAGTATTATTTTGCTTTAATTCTCTTAAATGCCTGCCCTTAAAAAGAATATTTTTGGAAGGAAGCTTTTTAACACTTCCAATGTTTTTTGGAGAGTTATTACTAGGCGCTCCTCTCTGCAGACTGAGAATGCCGGGAGACTTTAATTTTTCTTTTACAAAACTTAAACCTTCAGCTTATCCCGGACATTCCCTCTCTTAAAGTTAGCATCGAACAGATGGATGGGTGAGATTGTTGAGGTTAAATATCCCAACTAATCCCGACCAAACTAATTTTATTTTAAATTTAGTGTGAAGTAGAAAAGAATGAGGACGACTCAGTTATTCAAGAGAAAATTGATTACTGTAACGATGCAGTCTACACAGCGGTTGGATCTGTGGAGACCAGCTGCAAACGTCTTTCGAGAGCAGCAATGCATTTCAACTGCAATTCAACAATTTTCGATTTATTTCTCAATATATCCACAATTGAAGAGTCTTGTATAAAAGCTTTGGAATATTCCATTGATGATGTACCGTGTCGATTAAATACTACAGAAAGGGAATGTTGTCAAGAAATAACGACAAGTGTTGTCAAAACAGTGGAGCCTTTTTGCCATAATTTGGCAGTCGCTGCCTTTAACTTTGCAAAATCTTTATGTAAGATACCAAAGAATATCGCTATTGCTAGTACAAAAGAAGGGTGTGTATCGGCACTCGCTGAGATAGCCAGTCACACACAAAAAAGTTGCTACAAATCACTTGGTATTTCCTTTTCAGGTGATTATTTTGGAATTTTTTACATGTAGGGGGTTGCCTCTCGAACCGGTTGCCGTTTTGAATTCGTGCCGACGTTCGGCGCATTTTTTCTGAGCAGAAATTTGCCGTCTCGAATCATTATTTCGTGTTTCGAGTCGATTCGAGAGACACCCTAAACACAAGGGAACCTCTATATAACGAACCCTCTCCCACGTCATTTCCATTTCGCGGTCGCCTCAATTCAGCCCCGAGAGGTGTGTTCTAGCCTAATGGGGTCGGTTTAGTATATGCCCACCGAGATCGAAAATCGTTATATATACCATTCGATTCCACTCACCGAGCTGAGTTCAAATATGCAGGAATTTTCTGCCGGAGACGAAAACTCGCAGAGATACAGGCCCCCGAAAATCGAAAAACCATAGGGGGGACCAAGCACTATTTTGGGGTGAAAAATTCGAATATGCAAATTATAACTCATTCGAAAGAGCTCGTCGAGCTGAGTCGAATGACACCAAAATCAACAAAATCCGACTTGATTGGACCGAGATATAGACCTCTAAAAATCGAAGATCCAAAGGGGCGATTTTTGGAATAAAAAATTTTTTATACAAATAATACCTCATTCGAAAGAGCTCGACGAGCTGAGTCGAATGACACCAAAATCACCGTGATTGAACAAGATTAGACAAAGTTATGATACAAAAAACATAAACCTATGGAGCGTCGGCGAGGCGCTTGTGCAAAACCCCGCGCTTCGCGCGGGGTTTTGCGGCACGCGCCTCGCGGGGAGTCTACGGGCGATGGGTCTGGGCTCGTAACATAAACCTATTCCTATCTCCCTTGCTCTGGACGTATTTGGGGCCTCCGTAGCAGCAAAAATCTCCACAGATACCATAGGTAAGGAGCTAAAAGAAAAGATCATAACTTTGTCCAATCAAGTCGGATTTTGTTGATTTTGGTGTCATTCGACTCAGCTCGACGAGTTCTTTCGAATGAGGTATAATTTGTATATTCGAATTTTTTACCCCCAAAAAGTGCTTGGTCCCCCCTTTGGTTTTTCGATTTTCGGGGACCTGTATCTTTGCGAGTTTTCGTCTCCGGCAGAAAATTCTTGCATATTTGAACTCAGCTCGGCGAGACGAATCGAATGGTATATAACTTGAGTTTCGATCTCGGTGGGCATATACTAAACTACAGCCAGCCTAATTATACTCTCCCGCCAATTTCACATTCCTCCTTACGTTGGCAAATTCAACCCCTAGGGTGATGTTATATAAAGGTTCCAGTTTACATAAAATTTAATTAAATTCTTAACTAAAAATAATTTAGACAAGCTCGCTTTGATTTGAATATGACTGCAACAGAATTTGAAGAAATTATGTTGATATAAAACTTTAATTATGCTAAAAAAATCTTTTCAAAAAACACTTTTAAAAAAATATACAAATTAATAAAAAAAATTCTTTTTGGGATATATTGTCACTCTTTTTATTCTTGTTTCACAGAATTATTTGAATGTGTAATCTTTCGCCTTTCTCCTTTTTGGATATAAGCTTTGACGAAAAAGCGTGTAAAAAGTACAGCAAAAGCAGAATATATTGTGAAGCAAATACACATATTTTGGACTGATTGTTGACAGATAAAATTGATGTCTTGAGTTCCTTTTAGATAGGCTACGTAGAGGGAAATGAAAACGCCGATGAGCATCTGAAAGGAAAGGGGATTTTAATTGGAAGTTGACATTTTGAAATATTTATGGGTATTCGACATTTTGAAATAAGAGCGCGTATTTGAAAATTCGAAAATTTTTATAGGTATTTGACATTTTGAGACAACTTGCCTGGGTTGTCTGCATTGCAGTGACACTCATTGAAATCCATTTAGGAGCCCTTATCCCAATACAGGCAGCTGCATAGTAGGCATACATAACTGAGTGGACCATATAATTTAATTGAATAAACCAACGCCCAGCGGCTGTTAATTCTGTTGCTGAATGCCAGCTTTAAATATTTGAATTTTTTAAAAGAATTTATTTGGGGTTTTATATTTCCGGAAAGTCTAAATTAGGGTAGCACCCTGTCCCCCGACGAATTTTTAGGTAAAAATCTCCGACCCAAACCCCTAAGACTCTACCCCGGCAAACCCCGATCCCCAACGATCTCGACGGGGTGCTACTCTAGTCTAAACGTAAAGTTTAATATTTGGCTTTCCGGAAAGGTAAATATTTTTACTTATTATAATTTCCGGAACGTCTAATATCAAGTTTTCCGGAACGTTTATTTTAATTCTCTTTAAATTCACCTATAAATAAGTACAACAGCATGATGGAACCAATGAAGAAATATTAGGGGTCTCTTTCGCAGAAGCAGAAAAACGGTGTCTCCAAATTCAGCAATTTTTGAGAGGGCAAAACACATTGCCCAAAAAGCGACTGGCTCTGCCGGAGAGAATGAAAGGCAAATTGAATCTTGAAATCCTCTATTTAACAAAACATAGAAAAATTCGTGTCCAAAACGCCAGGCACCGCAAGTTGAAAATATAGATAATCCAACATTCCAGAAAAACAGAGGAAGGCGAAGGTCGAAGGCTTTTCTGTCTTCCATCCATTTTTTGAGTGAATAAACACCTAATTAAATATTCTTTTTTATTGGTTAAATTGAGAAGTATATTATATTTTTCAGGAAATTTTGTGTTTTTCGGAAATTCAAGTCATTAAGTATTTATTTTTTAATTAGATATACTAGTCTTAATCCTTTCCGAAAATTTTTAAGTTTTTAGGAAAATTCCACATTTATATGCAGGAAATGAGTATCAAGAAGGATTAGAGGGGTTTGGAAGGATATCGGGATTATAGGGAAGTCAGTTAATTTGGATGAATCCCTAAATATACCCTCTACCCTAACCACATAATCCCTCGATATCCTCTTCAGCTCCTTTCATTTATCGATATCCCTCTGCCCGGAAAATTTTTAAGTTTTCCGGAATTTTTAATATCAATTTTAATGTTTAATTTCCGGAAACCTTAATATATTCCTTCCGGAAAATATTATATATTTAAAGTTTTCCGGAAAGTTTTAAATATAAATTAATTTCCCACCAGCAATATAAGCCATAACAATATATATCGAAACATGCCAGTGTTTTGTAAACATTCCATGGGTAAATTCAGCATTCCAAAGTTTCTCTTCAATAGACCAAAGTTCTTCATATTTATAGGGAATGAAGTAGATTTTGGACCCTCCATATTTTTCTGAATTTTTCCAAATTTCAAAATTATTAGTGTTGTTGTTGTTATAAAAAGTCATTTTTTGAAAAAATTTTTTGGAAAATCTGAAATTTATTTTTGTAGTCGAAAAAAATTTTTTTATTTAAAAATTTTTGAAAAAAAAATTAAAAAAAATTTTTTTTTCTAAAATAAAAATTGATTTTTAGTTTGTGAGTAATAATTTTGACTTTATATCAGTTCAGAAAAAAAGTTTTTTGTTTATATATGTCTAGATGGGGGTGGGTAAAATGTTCATCAATTTATGGTTAATTTAATGAGTAATTTGGCTACAAACAACAAAACACTATAAAGTTTGTAAAACAAAGTTGAAAAAGAAATGTTGAAAAGAATAATTGACTACAAACCTACTTTAAAGTTTAAAAAATTATTCAAGTTTTAAAGTTTATTTTAAACTTTACGGAGAGTTTAAAAAGAAAGTTTAAAAGTAGTTAACTCTTTCCGGAAAGTTTAGAGGGAATATATTTTTTCTTTCAAATATTAATTTCTAAGTCTTTCCGGAAAGTTTTTTTAAATACATATAACTCTTCACTTTTCCGGAAGAAGTTCATTTAATGTTCACTTTTCCGGAAAGTTTAAAAAATAATTTATGTACTATACAAGGTTTTCCGGAAGGTTACGGGTACTAAATAATTCTTCGTTTTCCAGGAAACTTTAAAGGGAATATGATTACCATATTTCCTATAATAAATAGTGATCCCGGGAATACTATTTTTCAACCCTCCTCCAAAGGGGAGTATTATTTAAGGGGGAGTACTATTTCAGGAAATACGGTGCTTTATTTTTCCGGAAAGTTTTCAGAAAAGTCTATAGGTACTGAATATTCATTTTCCGGAAAGTTCTATTTTCTCAATATTAATTTCCAAGTTTTAATATTAAAACAAAAATTAAACTTTAATTTATTAATTTAAATTTAAACAAATTTGGTAAAGAAATGAAATTAAAACTACTAAATTGGGAGGGTTTATATTTATTTGCAAAATTAATTTTTTCCTTTTTTGCTCTCACTTATTAATTTGTTTACGCAATAAAATTTCATATTTCGAGAGAAAAGAATGCATTTTTTTCAAATTAGGAACAAACATAACCATAATATTTGTTATTTATTTGGTTATTAATAAATGTACGTGAAATATTGAAGGCCAAAAAGGGGATAAATTTAAATAGGGAGAGGTTATTTTAGTTTTAAATTTGTAGGAGAAATTAATTATTAAAACATTAATAATTAAAATTAACGAGAAACTTTCCGGAAGATTTGTATAAAATGATATTTTTTTCGGAAAAGAAATAGTATTTTCCTGAAGGTTACTAGAATTAATATTTTTCCGGAAAAATTAATACTTTCCGGAAAATTTAAAATTATTTATATACCCACTGATTTCATTCCGGAAAGTTAGTCTAATAGAGTACACCTATATTTAGCACAATATGCGCTACTATTTATTCCATACTATTAACTAAACCAAAATTTTGCAAAAATATTTTTATTTTTTAAATTAAAAAAATATTCCAACACTTCCTTATTTATTTAAATAATTTTTATGCCCATTTAAAAATTTTTTTTATTAATTTTTTCTATCCTCTTATCTACGCGTCAGAGCCATAAATCTTTTCAAACCCCCTCCATATTATTCTAATTTAAATGATTAATTTAGTTTAAAAATTTAAAAATAGAAAAAAAGAGAATATAAAGTACGAAAGAATGTGCGCAACATTTTCTGATTTTTTTTCAATTTTAAAAGTTTAGGCGCTAATTTTAGTGAAAGGAGAACTGACGCTTGTTGACGCCACCATTTTTGCGCCCAAATACCTAAATTATGGGGGAGCATTAATTAATTATTTTTCGAGAGAATTAGATAAACTTTTTAATTTTAAATTTGACAAACAAAAATTTTATTAACTTTTTGATAATTAAAAAAATCGAAAAAAAGAGGGAGGAGAAATTATGGTTAATCAAAATTAATTGAAAAAATGAAAAAAACAAAATTTTAATTAACATCAAAATTTAAATAAAATATAAAAAACAAAAGGGAAAGAAATGGATATATCTTCACTGGCTTTTTGGTTTTTACAATTTCAATCAAAACTAAAATAGAATTAACATAAAATAAGTAAAGATTGTAAAGGGAGACATTTGTAAATTGTAATATTAAATCGAAATTTCTGAAAGTTTTATTACCTAAGTTGTTTATTCTTTTTGCGCCGAATTTTTAGCGCCGCAGGCGAAAATTTTGAGAGAATTTTAGAAGGGAATCCTCCATTTTAGAAAAAAATGGAAAATTATAAAATATGAATACTATTTCCTTACAAACTTTCTTAAAAACCTTCCGGAAAAAGGAAAAAAATCCGGAATTAAATAAGTAGAAGGTTTCCTATTTCCTCTATTTGATTTTTAATTTTTTTTTGATTTATTAATAGTCGAACCTTATTTTTAGATACCCTTGGGGTTGAAAAATAATAAAACCTTGTATTTATTTAATTCCGGATTGTTTTCCTAGTCTTAATTTTTCCGGACAGTTTTTGGAAAAGTTTGTAAGGAAATAATATTCATATTTTATATAAACTTATATTTACAGTAGTCGACATAAAGATAGGGACAAGAGTAATTTAATGAAAATTAACTATTTTTCATTCAAAAAATACGTTCTATATAGCAATCGAAAGCTCTATTCGTATCTCAGTTGACATGTTTCTGCATTTTCATAAAATTGAAAACTGGCCGAGATAATCTCCTTGAACTTTTAATTTAACTTCAAAATATTTTAATAATTTTTTTCCATTTTTAAGATAACTGTGAATCTTCAAATGGCAAATCATTAATGATATCTTTCCATAATAATAGTCCAATGCTTTTGAGTGGTCCAAATATTGAAAGAAAACCTTTAAAAGGAACACAAGAGCAACTTAAAAAAGAAATTAGAGACGTTAGTTGCTTTAATTTAATTACCCTTTTAAATTTTTATCTTTTAAAAGTTTCTTTCTGAAAAATATTCGGGTGATTCAGTTGACCAGTTTGCAGACATTTTGTCTACTTATATTGTGAGGATTTTTATTTATTTTTTAATTAAATGTTGAGACGGATCTTGCGATAAGAATACACTCTTAGGGCCTAGAAATGTACCTTATAATGAGGTACCTTAAATTGGGAATTAAATTATTGTTTAACAGTGTTGTTCCCTTCACCCTACCTTCACACTACAAGAAATGTTCCCTTCGCCTTACTAACAAATGAGTTCTCTTCGTACTACCAAGTGTTCCCTTCGCCCTACTATGAATGTTCCCTTCACCTTACCAAATATGTATTTTGAAGTCTGCAAACTGGTCAACTGAACCACCCGAATATTTTTCAGAAAGAAACTTTAAAAAGATAAAAATTTAAAAGGGTAATTAAATTAAAGCAACTAACGTCTCTAATTTCTTTTTTAAGTTGCTCTTGTGTTCCTTTTAAAGGTTTTCTTTCAATATTTGGACCACTCAAAAGCATTGGACTATTATTATGGAAAGATATCATTAATGATTTTCCGTTTGAAGATTCACAGTTATCTTAAAAATGGAAAAAAATTATTAAAATCTTTTGAAGTTAAATTAAAAGTTCAAGGAGAGTTACCAGAGACAATATGATTGGAGGTGTGAATGAGAGAAAGGACAAGAAATGTCGACAAGTCTATCTTAATGCCAAACTGTAAGGAAGAAGAGAAAGTAACTGGCTAACATTTAAAATGTATATTAACCACAAAACCGCTTAGAAATATCTTTCTCCGGAACAGAGATATGATTTTTTGAAAATGGCATTTTTCCCTTAAAAATTGTATTTTTTGCAAAACTAGGCTAAAAATGCCATTTTCAAAAAATCATATCTCTGTTCCGGAGAAAGATATTTCTAAGCGGTTTTGTGGTAAATACTCACAAAAATATGCTTTATTAAATGGGTTTGTTAAATTTCTTCCGAAAAATTTTTACGAGGATATGGGATTTGGTATATCCGGTAGATCCGGATTATCTCGGCTTTCATGAAAAATGTAGAAACATGTCATCTGAGATACGAATAGAGCTTTCGATTGCTATATAGAACGTATTTTTTGAATGAAAAATAGTTAGGCTAAAGTGCACTTTACCGGGCGATTTTAGATTTTTATGATTTATATGTCAATCGAAAGAGCTCATCAAGCTGAGTCGAATGACACCAAAATTAGTCCGCGGACTCAACTATGGACCGAGATATAGGTCCCCAAAAATCGAAAAACCATAGGGGGGACCAAGCTGTTTTTTGGAGGTGAAAAATTCGAATATGCAAATTATACCTCATTCGAAAGAGCTCCTCGAGCTGAGTCAAATGACACTAAAATCAACGAAATCTGACTTGATTTGACAAAGTTATGACCTTTTGTTTTTACCCCTTCTACAAGGTCTACGCGGAAAAAAGTTTTTGCCGCTGCGGAGGAAGCCGGGCATGTCGAGCGGAACGACGGCCGCCGCTTCGCTACGGTCGCCGCGAGCGTAGCGAGCACGACCGCAGCGAAGCACGGCCATCGTGTAGCGAAGACCATGCCCGGCCTACCCTCCGTAGCAGCACAAAAACAGTTTTTCCAGCGAAGATTCAGTTGGTCATAACTTTGTTCATAATCATCTAATCGAGCTGATTTTGGTATCATTCAACTCAGCTCGTCGAGCCCTTTCGAATGAGCTATTATTTGTATATTCGAATTTTTTGACCCCAAAAATCCCCCCAAAAATTTGACCATTTCGAGCCCTGTATCTCGGCTCATAGTTGAGTCCGCGGGCTAATTTTGGTGTCATTCGACTCAGCTTGATGAGCTCTTTCGATTGACATATAAATTGTTCAAATCTAAAATCGCCCGGTAAAGTGCACTTAGGCCAATAGTTAATTTTCATTTAAATTACTCTTGTCTCTATCTTTATGTCGACGACTGTAAATATAAGTTTTTACTTCCCCAAAATAAATTTAGAATAATTGATTAAATATAAAACTTTCTTTTGTAACAACTTTTGTGTTTGCCTATATTTTTTGATTTGTATTACTAAAACTTTTTTCCTATTACAACTATAAATGTCCCCTCCCCTCCACACTACCTAAAGTCAACAAAACATTTTTTTCCTTTTTTCTTTTTAATACATAAATATTGCTATTATTCTTTTATTAAATACCCTTATTTACGGGGGATTTTTCTTTCACAAATTTTTTTGTTCCCTTGTCTGCAGAGATTGTTGATTCATCATCATCGCTTTCTTCTCCACTTTTTTGTTTCTGAAAAAATATTACTTTTTTGAAAATAAATTGGAAAATTTTTAAACCCAGGAAAATTATTTTTAATTTAAAAAAAATTTTTTTAAATCTAAATAACCCGAGAAATTTACTTTTTTTAAAAATTATTTCAAAAAAAATTTTTCTTACATTATCTCCTCCACTTGTTTTACTATCCTCTTCAAGTCGTCGTTTACGTTGTTGCAAGCAGCTACTCCTATTTTTGGAAAGATTGCTTGCTTCAATATATTTTTGCAGCAACATTCGAAGATTGATTATTGAAGATGGAGAAGCCTATAAAATATTTTTGAGAAAAATTTTTTTTTAATTTTCTTCCATGCAAATTAAAAATTAAGGGGAGGGATACGAGGGTTGATAGTTTTTTCAATTATAAAACTCTAAATTTCTACTAGAATTTAATATTATTTTCTAATATGTTTTAAGTGAAGGGATGAAATCTACACAGCAGAGCCAGGCGAAATCCAAAAATAAAAGGCGAAGCCCAGTCCTGCTACATACAGGTACAGAGAATAAAATTTAGAAATGCTCAAGTGCTACAGCACTAGAAAATGCCCTCTGGCTATGGCCCTGGAGAAGGCGAATATAAAAATGGAAAGCATTAAATTCTAAATAATTTTCCCACATTAAAACAAAAAAAAACCTGAATTATAAACAATTGTGGAGGCAAATCAACATCCCCAGTATGGGCAGAGATTTGTATTCTTTTTTCTGACAATTCTTGTAACAACATTTCAGGGAAGATTTTTGAGTTGATTAAAACGCGTTGAGAGCCTGATTGTCGGCCAACTTTAAAAAAGATTTTTTTTGAAAAGTTTTAAAATTTTACTTAATCGAATATCATCTTTTGAACCGATATGTTGATTCAATCGAAGAGTGCCCATACCACGTTCTTGCCATTGTTTAGTTTCAGAATTGTAATGATAAAATTTGCAATCAATCTAAAAAAATTGAAATTTTAGATAAAACGAGGTGAATTTTTATTATAGAAGGGAATTGTTAGCAGATAATTCTTATAAATTGATTCTATACTAGAGCAAAGACAAAAAGATATTTCTTGATTCGTATTGTCGTAGACTCTAATCTAACAATAAGATATGATTCAGATCAATAACCGGTCATAAGGACACGGGTCAATAAGGATCTGACCCGGTCATAATAATTTTGGAGAAATTATCAAATATCTCAATCCTTCACCGTACAACTGGTGGAAGGCTGAAACATAACTGAAACAACGGAAAGTTAAAGAGAGCCCTCTCCCAAAACCTTTACCCCCCCCCCCCCCCCCCCCCAGCAAAACCTTTACCCCCCCCCCCCCCCCCCCCCCCAGCAAAACCTTTAAAAGTTGTTGTTCCTCCTCTTCTCCAGTCACCACCAAAAGATGTTCTCCATCATCCGAAACCATAACAGACGCATTTTTATGAGCAAATTCTTCAGCGGATTCTTTTAATTTATCGATAGAAGAGGAAGAATCTGGAGCTTCTCCATTGCCTCCATTTGTTTTAAACGAAGAAAATCCACTTCCAGTTTTCCACTAAAAATGGGCGTTTATTAGAATCCAAAAAATAAAGAAACCATGTTTGTTCCATTTGCATTGTTAGAACTCGACAACTTTTGACCAACCCGTCGAAAAATAGAAGAGACATCAGGAGTTGTTTTAGAATTTTCTGAAGAACTTGAAGTTGAACCAGCTGAATCTTCCTGTAAAAAATGAAGTTTAATTTGATATTTAAAGAAAATGTGGGAAGTTTATACTTTTGTGCCGGATTTGTATTTTCTCCCCCAAACCACCTTTATTTACTTCTAGCAACCAGGGTGACCCTTTTGACTTATTTACAGGGCATCTGCCACCGGTTGCCTATTTTTGCAACATTTTTTTGTGGCTGCGCCCTATTTTAGAAGTTTGCAAAGGGTCACCCTGCTAGCACCTAATAGCCCACATCACCTGATATCCCAAAAAGTAAAGTTGGGAGGGGGAGTGGGGTCCAGAAAATCAAGTTTATCGAGTTAAAGAAAAACCCCTAAGAAATTCATAAACAAAGACCAATAGTCACTATCGTCTCTACAGCTTATGGTGAAACCGAAACCCATCCTGTCCCTCCTTAAAATGCAAAACATATACACATATCGAGCCTCAACTAAAACCCACAAAATTTCAAACCTTTTGCGCCGCTCGTTCAAAAAGCCTTGAACCAAAAACATATCCAGAGGAAATGCCAGAAGACGACGTTGGTTTATTGGGTGAATTTTCATTCCCATTTTTGTTATCAGAAAGTCCATGAAGTCCGAGATCAATATTTATATCAGCTTTGTGAAAGTGACTAGTGCTCTCGTCCCAAACACGTGATGCGGTACTTGCCAATTTTGAGGGTGGTAAATCCATTTTCAAAGCAAATTTTTTTAAATACTTTTTAGGTGAATCAATATCCCTAAAATAGAAATTTTCAATAAAAAACAGCATAAGATTAAAAACCCCCCAAAACAAATCCCAAAAAATTTTCCGGCTTCTTCATATTCTGCCAAATCCACATTTTGCCAACAAGGGTAAAAACACACGTTTTACCAACACACCTTGTTGGCAAAACGTAAATTTTTAGTCTAATTGGCAAAATATGGTTTGGCAAAATATGTAGGAGAGAATCCTCAGGTAAGGGAGCAAATTGACGAGAGAGTGCTTAAAACAAGGAGAGATGTTAGAGAAAAATATTAATTTTTTTAAAGTGACATAAAATCCAAATAAAACATTTCCACAAAAATGATTTATTTCAAAGTTGAATGAGTCAACTAAAATTTGACTTAATTAACGTTTTTTGTAAAAGAAAACAGCTGAATTAGTTAAAATTAAATAAGGATCAATAATCACGATTGCGCACACTTATACGAATATAACTTTTTCTACAATTATTTGATCAAATCAATCCTGTTAGCTAAAATAATCCTCGCATTTAGAGCTTTCGATTGATGTAATAATTATTTAAATCGGTTAAGAATCAAAAAAGTTAAGGCCCAAAATATGGCCTCTAGACTAAATCTGCCTTAACTGAACATGTCTGAGCGCCAAAATGTCCGCGTGACGCGCCAAACGCCAAAAATCGGCCAAACGCCATGGCGCACAGCTCTGATACTTCACCGTCCCTCGCCTTATTTGGATAGATTTTTTGACTAAAAGTCGATTCTCTTTAAAATTAAAAATTAGTCACGTGTAAAGAGGTAAAGGCTTTTTTTACTCATTTTTGTTTGTACAGGTTTATTTAAAATTTTAATAAAAAATTCTTTTCTTTTTTCAAAGGTTGACTAACAATTCTTTTAACTTTTTTAATTCTTTAAAATGATTGTAGAAGACGAAAGAAGAACACAAATTTCTGCAGCAAATTTACGAATTCCCCCTTATGGAATACTTGAAGAACAACCAACCTCTCCTGATTACCACGCTTCGAACGCTTTAAATTTGGAAAGTGTTGGAAATAATTCGGTTATTATTGAAAGGAATAAAGCAAATAGTACAAATAATTGTGTTCAATCGACAGGTTTTTATTTTTTACTTTTTCAAAAGCTTTTTATTTATTGCTCTGTCACTGTTAAATTCAACTTTTTTCCTCTTCTCTCTTAAATTATTATTAAGGATCGGGGATTCGCTAAATTTAAAATTAGAGTTGTTCATTAACCTAACCGAAAACCCTGTGTATTGGTCAATAACTTTTAATGAATAGCTCTATTTAAACTGTTAATATCATTTTTTATATCTAACATTTAGACTATTTTTGAGACTAAAAAATCTGTCAGGGCAATTTACCTCTATTTTTCCAAAAAAAACTTTTTTTAACAAATTCTTGGGTTTCATATAATTTTTATTCAAATAGTCTCCGGAATTAAAGTGAACCTCTTTAAATTTTGCAAGTTTTGAGTTTTGATCGAAAATCCTAAAAATTGTAAATATGTTGTTGACCATTCTCTATACGTTAGACCGAACCGAAACAAAATTTCGAACACAAATCTTGGTTATCGGCAATCGATATTTTTAGATCTAAAAATTCTCATGCGACCCTCCCAAAGTGTTTTTTAATTTTTGGTCGCAGTTTGTTTATTTAATCCTTTTGTGACTCTAAAGTTATTAAAAATTGATTATTTCTTTAATAGGTTTTATTTTGGCCAGACTTGCATTTCAATTAATTTAATTTACCCAAAATTCTATCTCTTTTCCCCTCTTTTAAATTTTTCTAAAAATTTTTCTAACAATTCTTTTATTTTTTACCAATATTTTTTCATTTAAAAATTAACACAAAAACCAGATTTTGATTCAATAATGCCAAAAGCACCCAATGGATTGTCAACATTTTCGGGTGTCTTCGCTCCTGTTACAATTTCAATGTTTTCTGCATTGCTTTTTCTTCGAATGGGTTTTTTTTATTTTTTTAACATTTTATTTTCGTCTTTTCTATCGCCTTATTTCGCTCCCCTTTAAAAACTAAAATTTTTTAATTTAATAGGCTTTTCTGCTGGTCAACTTGGATTTGTTTTAACTGTTGTTGAATTGTTTATGGCTTACGGTTTTTTTAATTTTTTTATTATAGTTTACTTTCATTATATGATATCCCGACATTTTTATTTAGTATTTTCCCTTCCTTCTTCTTTATTCCTATTTTCTCGCCATTTTTATTTTTTGTTGTGTAGAATCAATCAAAAAATATCAAATTTTAGTCAGACTTTTTGGCTGATGTGAACTCAGTCTATAATTGATAACCCCCCTAATTTAGTATACGTTTTTTAAATTTGTTTGGGCATTGGTTGGAAGAGCTGGCTTCTCCACTGAGTTAGAGAGTTACCCTAATCTATTAGATAATATATTCCTTTAAGAGGGCTTAAATGAGTTCTTATAATGAATTTCGACTATTTTTTATTTTAAAATTATATTTAAATAATTCATCTTTTAAAGGTATAATTTTGTTAACTGTCCTTTCTCTTTGTGCTGTTTCTTCGAATGGAGCTGTTGAAGGCGGAGGAGTTTATTGTATGCATTTTTATTTTAATTAAAATTGAAATTGGATTAAAATCAATTCTTAAATTTTTTACTATTCATTGTGAATGTTTATTTTTAATAGACATCCATAACTATCCCACGAATCTTGTAAGAGTGAAGAAATTTTTTTGAAGAGTAAAAATTATTCACGACCGATGGAGCTGTGGAAGCCGGAGGAGTTTATTGTGAAAGTTGTTCACTCCTCTGCCTTCCACAGTTCCAAAGGTTGTTCGCATTTGATTAATTTTTGCGCGTGCCGGTTCATTTGAAGAAGAAAAAGAGCATTTGAGCCGCCACAGGCAAAAATTAACCGGTCGTGAATAACTCTAGTAAAAGTAAAACTAGGAGGAGTCACTTATTAAATAACTTCCCTCAAAAGACCTTCACCAATCTGTTAAATTTTCTAATTAAATTTTAGATATGATAAGTAGAACTCTTGGCCCTGAATTTGGAGGAAGTGTTGGTCTTTTATTTTTTATGGCAAATGTATTTTCTTGTGCTCTATATATTGCTGGATTTACTGAAGCTTTAACTAATGTTACAGGTTTTTTAATTTAAAAAATTTATTTTTAAATTCACCCAACGGATTCGAACCAGGGATGTCACGGGTTGAGAAAAATGTCGGGTCGGGTTTCGGGTCGGGTTTCCAAAATTTTTCTCGGATCGGGTTTCGGGTTGAGCAAAAAGTCGGGTCGGGTTTCGGATCAGGTTTTCAAAATTTTCTTCGGATCGGGTTTCGGGTTTCGGGTCGAAAAAAAGCCAAAATTTTAAGAATTTTGGAAGGCCAAAAAGCCAAAAATCTTCCCTTTTCAGCGCCGCAGACGAAAATTTTGAGAATTCTTGAAGGTCCGAAGCCAGATTTCTTCCTTTTTCAGCGCCGCAGGCGAAAATTTTCAGAATTTTGGAAGATCATTAAGCTAAAAATCTTCCCTTTTTCTGCGAAAATTTTGAGAAAACTCGGGTCGGGTTTCGGGTCGGGTTTTGAAAAATAAAAATTCTCGGGTCGGGTTTCGGGTCGGGTTTTAGAAAATTTCTCTGATCGGGTTTCGGGTATCGGGTCGAAAAAAAGGCCGGGTTTCGGGTAACCCGTGACATCCCTGATTCGAACCTTCCCCATATTTCCTTTGTGGACTACACCAAAATTTACTTAAAAGAAGAATTTTATGCCAAAAGTCCTGAATTGCCCCCTAAAAAATTTTTTAATTAAAAAAATTATTTTTAGGAATTGGAGACATGTTTGGTGGAAAATTTATTCATTGTGTTTTTGTCAGCATAATTATTTTGATGTTGTGTTTGTTAGGGTCTGATTGGTTTGCTAGAACGGCTTTGCTGGCTCTTTTCTTAATTGTTTTGGCTTTTTGCTCTTTTTTATTTACGGTTAAAAAAATTTTTCAAATTAGTGCGGGGGGGGGGGGGGCTTTCGTCGACCAATGAAAATTTCTTGTTAAATTTTGGCTTCTCCTTTCGCCGTTTTTTTGCCGTTTTTTGTGTTTCATCCTTCGACTTTTGCTTTTTAAAATTAGTTTCGGTACACCCCTGCTGTAAGCATCAACTCGATATTTCACACTTATTGTTAGAAACGAAATATACCTAGCAATAACTGCCATGAAGCGTCGCATCTTCAATTCCTCTTTGATTCCCAAACTTTGTCTGAATTGATTATATTTTTTGAGCCTTAATTATATTTTTTGAGTTTTTTTTGTGTTTATTTAAATTTAGAAAATTTTTAAAGATTTTTGTTCGCTCTCCAAGCGAAATTCGAATACCTTTTGACAACACATATGCTTATATGGTACCTAAAAATGCAACAGATCCAGCAAGTGAATTAATTGTTCAATTAAATCAGACAATAACGGCACAATACACTTCTTTTAGGTTTTTTTGGATTGATTTTTAAATTAAAAGTTTTTCAGTGTTTCAACATTTACTGAAAATTTAATGTCTAATTTCACAATTGACTATACTACTGGACACAAGACAGGTTAAAAAATGTTTTTTTGGAGAATTCTAATCATTTTCTAAATCATTACAAATTTTCTCTTATCATAACGGCAATTTTTGAACTTAAACATTTTATTTTTTAGTCATTTTCCTCCCAACTTTTTTCGTTATTCTCATTTCAAGAGGAACTGGCATGCCCCAGCCTTTTTGATTCTCCCTTAAAGGAGTGAGGAAATATTTAACAATAAGAAATGTATGTGGGGGCCAAAAAAATAAGAATTTTCAATTTTTAAAATTTTCTTTTAATTTTTTTGCAGATTTTGCCTTTATGTTTGCAATAATCTTTTCTGGTGTAACAGGTTTAATGGCTGGTGCAAATATGTCTGGTGAATTGGCACGTCCAAATGTTTCTATTCCTCGAGGAACTTTACAAGCTGTTTTTACAACTTTATTTACTTATGGTTTGTTTTTAAAGTGAAAAGGGGGGAAGGTTTTTTAATTTAAAAATGTGGAAAAAGATCCGCAGATAAAATGCGGATGTCCGCAAAATACGATTTCCGCAAAAATTCAATTTATTTTTACAGTCTTTTTATAAAAAAATTATTTATTTATGAGTACACTAATGGTGGTGGAAGTCGAAAAATTAAATTTTAATTTTTTTCTATCAAAGTTTTCACAACATTCCTTCTTTGCCTCTCTTGTTCTCGTAAACTTCTTCAACAGGATTATATGGTTATGGTTGATATAAGTGTAGTTCCGTCAATTTTAATGCTTGGTATTTTTGCTGCTACTTTCTTTTCTTCAATGAGTAATTTAATTGGAGCTTCTAGAGTTTTGACTAGATTCGCTCAGGTTTTTTAATGATAATTTTAAAAAAATTTGAGGAATTATTGCTGACTTTTCTTGAGGGGGTGTTGTTAACATTTTTGTGGATATTTTGCTTACTTTTTCGGATATTTCTGGCGGACTTTTTTTGCACTTTTTTCAGACTTTTTTGCGGACATTTCTTACGGACAAACATAAAATCTTTTTTGTTCAAACTAAATTTAAATTTTAAAGGACAAACTCTTTGGAAATTTATTAAAACCAGCAACATTAGAATTTGGTTCTAAACGTAATCCACTCATTTCTGTTATAATCTCTTGGGTTGGAGTTGTTGTAAGTTTTTTTCAAATTTTTTTATTAAATTAAGTTTAAATTCGGTTATTATAGTAATTAGTACCCCGTGGTTTTTTTGATCTTCAAAACTTAGTTTTGGTTTTTAGTAGATACCTATTTTTGCGGACATTTCTCGCCGGGGCTAAATTTTTACTTCTCTCTTACTACCATTAATTTTTGGCAAAAAGGCCTTTCAATTTTTAAAATTAATTTCTAAATAAATTTATTTTTAGTTTGTTTTAATGATTGGAGCAATGAATAGAATTGCAAAGGTTTTTTTCTTTCAAAAAATTTTACAAAAATTTTTTTAGATAACTTCAATTCTTTTTTTACTTTCTTATATGGGTGTCAACATCGCTACTCTTGCATTAGAATTGACTAGCGCTCCCAATTTCCGTCCAAATTTTAAATATTTTTCTTGGCATACTTGTGCTTTGGGAGCTCTTTCTACGGTTTGTTTTTAATTTTTAAATTGAAAAAATTTTTGATTAAAGGTTATAATGATGTTAGTTATTGACACTTCTATTTCTGCTGCTGCTGTAGTAATGCTTATGTTGTTAATTATGATTTTGCATTATCAGGTTAATATTTTTTATGTGTACCAAGGGTGTATCCACCCTTCCCCCTTCCTCATCTCCTCTCTCAAAAATTGTAGGAAAAGGGAAAAAATAGGAGAATTATGATTAAAAAGTCACAATCTTTCGCTTACAACCTTTCAAATTCCCAAATTTTTGCCGAAATCTGACCCAGGCTAACTAAGTCCTTGCCCTGAAATAGAAAGTTTTAATTTTTTTATTTATGTTCCTTAGTTGTCTGTCTCTGTTCCTTGTATTTTTTCAAACGTCAAGACATTTTTCTTGTATTAATTGAAAAATATTCCCTCCCTCCCCTCCTTCCGCTACTAATTATATTTAATTAAAAAAATTTTTAAAGGCTCCAATTGGCTCATGGGGTTCAATTTCACAAGCACTTATATATCACCAAGTACGAAAATATTTATTATTGTTGGATATACGTAAAGAACATGTCAAGTAAATTTAAATAAATTTGTTAAAAAATTAATTTTTCTTCCCAAAAAATTCAGATTTTGGCGCCCACAAATTTTACTTTTGGTTAACCGTCCAGCTACTTGTTTTTCTCTTATGGATTTTGTTAATGATATAAAAAAGAGTGGGTTATATGTTATTGGACATGTACAAAGAGGAGATATGGGGGGATGTAAATTAAGTAATGGGGGAGGTGATTTAAGTAAACAATCTCAACAAACAATGGATCCGTTACAACAGGTTTTTTTCTTAAGAAATATTTTTTAATGTATTAAAAAGTCTAAAAATAGTTTAATGAGTTAAAAATTAAATTTAGACTCTTGAAAAATAAAAATCTGCCGAAAGGATTCGAACTCTTCCCATATTCTTTTATAGACCTTTATTATCCCACTACACCAGAGTGCCCATTATTTTTTAATTATCCACTATTTCATCCAAAATTTTTTTAAATGATAAAAGTAATTTTTAAAACTTGTAAAAAATTTACAAACTCATTTTTAGACTTTCCTTAACGATAAAACTATTTTTAGTTAAAAATTTATTAAAGGTTTTCCCATATTGGCTATCTCTTGTCGACTACTTAAAATTAAAAGCATTTGTTGAATTAACATTAACAGATGATGTACGTATTGGAATACAACAAGTAGATTTAAGAAAAAATAAACTTTTTTTAATTTCAATTTTCTTTAGTTAACACGTTTAAGTGGACTTGGGGCAATGAAACCAAATACAGTTATTTTAGGCTTTCATGAAGAAAAGCCTTGTGAACCAATACTTTCTGAAACACATTTACTCAAAGAATTAAAATTTTCTAAAATTGGAAGAACTGAAGTTGTTGAATATTTTACTGCTAGTGATTTTCCGCCAAATTTCGTAAGAAGAATTTTTTTGTTTTTGTTATCAAATTGTCCGCAGGTTTTGCCCTTAAAAGCTTTATTTTGATTTTTATCGTAAAAATTATTGATTGTACACATACAAAATTATTTCTCTCCGTTATTCTCCTTTATTTAGATTTTTTTAATATAACTTTCGGACAAGATTTGCGGACTTTTTGACTTTTTAAAATTTTTTCTGATTCTGGAAATAATTTTTGATTTTTCAAAATCATTTTACCATTTTTTTCAGAATTCTTTGGAAGGAAATGATATTTCTTCAACCAATTCAGCAACACGTCTAGAAGCTTTAGAATATGTCCAAATACTCAACGATATAATTAATCTCAATAAAAATGTTTGTGTTGCACGTCATTTTACTCAATTTGACAAGGAAATTTCATTAAAGTATTTTTAGATCCGCAACAATAAAATTTAATTTTTAAAGGCAATCAAGTCGCCGTTTCATCGATGTTTGGCCTTCTCATTTTTTCAAAATTGCTGAAGAAGGAAAGGGAAATAAAACTCCTGGTACTGGACTTAGATGGGATAATTCTTCCCTTTTTGTTTTACAATTGGCTTGTATTCTTTCAATGTCTAGTAAATGGAAAAATACAACTTTACGTGTACATATTTGTGTGCATAGTTTACAGGTTTTTTTTTGAACTTTAAATAAAAATATGGGAATAATTTAAGAAATAAAGTCGGCAAAAACCGGGGAGTTCTTAAAAGTCCGTGACTTTTATCCTCAATTTATAATAATTACTTATTAAACAAAAGTTGGGGGGTCTAGTAATTTTTGAAATTTGCGGATAAAATTTTCGGATTTTTTTAACACAAATCTGATCTGCGTTTTTAAATATATTTTTTAAAATTAATTTAATAAAGGACATGCATTGTCAAGAACTTCAACTCAAAAGTATGCTTGAACAATTACGTATTAAAGCAAAAACAGTAATGGTACCTTGGGATCACGTTCTGCAACAAATTGAAAAAACAACTTCACAAACATTTACGTTTGTTTTTTATTCGAGCTTCATTATCCCTCTCAAAACTGATTAATTTTCGAACCTTAAATAAGATCTTAAATATATCTTTTAAAAATTTGTATTCATTTTCAAGTGAAATAACAGAATATCCTCTACAATTTGTAAAAGCAGTCAATGAAACAATTCAACGAAATAGTGGAGAAGGGGCTGCTGTTTGTTTTTTAAATTTACCCAATCCACCTTTGAATGCAAACAAATCAGAATATTATTTACAACAATTAAGTATTTTAACTGATTCATTACCCCCAACAATACTTGTACATGGACTGACTTCTGTTATTTCAACAGCTTTGTAAGAAAGGTAATAATAAATTTAAAAATATCTATTTTAGGGGGATTTAAAAATTAGGGTTGGTGACAGCCGGTTAATTCTTCCATGTGGCGGCCCAAAATAGAGGAAAAGGAGCATTTGAGCCGTAACAGGGAAAAGTTAATCGGTCGACAACAACTAAACATTTAAAAATTTTTTCAAGAGAGAAGGCGAAAGTAGCGCCGGGTGGTTCACATCGCTCGTTATGTAGTGAGCGAAAGCGCCGAAGTAGTGAGCGAAAGCGCCTTAATTGTTAGGAAGGGGAGTGATCGGGTTCCTCTGCCCCTCCCCTCAAGAAAGATTTGGGGGGAAGCTTTAAAAAATCAAAAATCGAACAAATTTAGTCGAATTTCTCCCCTTTCAATTGCTGCCCAGAGGTTTAACCACCACCCCAAACGCCCAATTAGCAAGAACTTTTCTGCTTAATTTTCAAAACAAGAAATAAAAATCTTTTTTTTTTATTTAGGTCCTTCCAACTTTATTAATTTAAAATGGATGTATTCAAAATTTAATCTTTATTTTTGCCCACTTTTAAAAAGAAATGGAAAGCCATAGAGAGATAATTTTATTTTTATAATTTCATTCATTTTTTAGCATTTCAACATATTTTCTAAGCTTTCCTATATAATTTTTATTATTTATGCAGTCGGAGAACCTCTCACTATAAAGATACCCCCAATACAAGATATACACCTTTAAGATAGTCGTTGGAGACGATTTATCTAGACCTGAAGATTCCTCTACTGGGCGGAGGAAATACCTAAGCAATTCCCTCTACTTTTAACATAAACTTCTATCTCATTATAAGATATTTTTTTCAATCCCAGAGGGAATATTACCGATTAAGGTCTCCGACTGCATGTCTTATATTTTTTAACCCAAATTTTTCTTTTAAAAAATCTTTGCAATTCTCCCAATTAATTTTTAAAAAAATTCTTTACACTTCAAATAAGAATTTCGTGGCATTTTTTGTAATTTATCTTTACATGTTTTTTGTATTCAATAAATTTCCATTTAAGTATTTTAATTTTTGTATAAAAATTTTATTTTTAAAATTATTCAGGTTGTTGCTAACCAGCCCAGTATTTATTGGGTATTTTACTGGTAAAAAATCCGCAAAAGTTGTCCGCAAAAATTTTTTTGAATTTTGAAAAATATTTTTAAATTTTTATTGTCTTCAAATTTTTATATATATAAAATCAATTGAATTGTGCCAAATTTGGTCAATAAAATTAATCAAAAAAAAGTGCAAGAGAATAATAGGCAAAAAACATTTTTTAATTTAAGTTTAACCTTTTTTTTAATTTCTTTCCACCCAAACAATTTATTTAATTTAAATTTGTTAAAGAACAGCACACCTTTTTCTCTTTTCAGGCGGAGCTGGAGCTAAAGCAGCCATCTTGAGAAAAAATAAATTTTTTTGAAAGTTTACGAAAAAAATTTAATTTTCTTACGATTGCTTCGTCAAAAACATTCTTCAAGCCCTTCTGAAAATAAAAAAAAATATTTTTGAAAATAAATAGGAAAAGAATTTTTTTGATTAAAATGGAAAGAATCTTTTTACTTTCTACTAGAGGTTGACACAGAAATTTTACGAAATCTCGTCTCGAAATCCCAGATTTTAAACGACAAACGGGATTAATTCCGGGTCCTCTCCGATCAACATTTTGAAACTCAAGTTGTCATGGGATTCCGGGAATTTTGAGTTAACAAATAAATTGCATCTGTATCACAAGAACTCGGACCAAGTCACCTAACCACAAAAGTTATAGTTAACTCTATGACCGTCTTATGCTGCAGAAAACCCGACGATAGGTAGTTAACCAGCAACCAAATTGCCATGGAAGCAAAAACATTCATAAACATGCGGAGACGAAAGTTATATGTATAACCCCCCTCCCCCCTTTCTCAAAAATTAAAAAAAACAAAAAACCTGTGTCAACGCCGAACATTCCACATATTTAATAGCTTTAAGCTCTTTTGCCAATTTCTCTCCAAGTTCTGGCTGAATCGGTCTCTGCTTATTTTTAGCCAGCCTTTCAATTGTCGTCCCATCTTCACGCAAATCAACTTGTGTTCCAACGAGTAAAAAAGGCGTCTTTGGACTGTGATGAGCAATTTCTGGGACCCACTAAATTTTTGAAAGAAAATAAAGGAAAGGTTCGAGAAAAGACGGCATTAATCTCGGATTCCAAAACGAACTTACAAACCCACAACTCCTAGCAATGGTTTAATGTTCTCTGAATATCAACGGAGACAAGAGCTCTCCGAACTTTTAATTAGGAGATCTCTCAAAGCTTCCTGATACACAACCCCCCCTCAAAACTTAAAGAGAATATTAATCATGAACATAGGTAAATAAAAGGAAAACAAAAATTCCTGGGTTTACAATTTTACAAGTTTCAGATAATTTGGAGACTTGTAAAGAAGGGAGTGAAAGGAGAATGGCTTTGGGAAAAACTTTCTGTGGGCCTCTTTTTGTTGTAATCCAAAATAAAAGTTTTTGTGAAAATGGAAGCCATTTTGATCCTTTTTATGAGTGAAAGCAGGGTGGTGCTTCCTTCTTTACAAGTACCATAATTTGAAGGCTTAACTAGAAACCGAAAACATTAGGTCCTAACTCAGGCCCGTAGCCAGGATTTTTTTTCGGGGGGGGGGGGGGGGGGCCAAGGGGGGAAAATTTTTTCTGCGCCAAATTTTTGGCGCCGAAGGCGCCAAAATTTTTTATTTTCAGCGCCGCAGGCGAAAATTTTTTGAATTTTAGAAGGCCGTAGGCCAAAAAAAATCACTTTTTCGGCGCCGCAGGCGCCGAAAATTTGATTTTCAGCGCCGCAGGCGAAAATTTTTTAAATTTCAGAGGCCGTAGGCCAAAAAAATTCACTTTTTTTTCCCCAGCCCTTCCCCAAATTTTTTCCTTTTTCCCATTTCGGGGGGGGGGGGGGAATTCCCCCCCTCACCCCCCCCCTGGCTACGGGCCTATCCTAACTGATACACGAAACTCCTCAAAATATTTAAAGATCCTCCCCCCTCCCTCCAAAAAAACTAACACTAAGAAATCCAAACCTTCTCTCTAACATTTTCATACGAAGCAGGCGCAACAACAGAAAAACAAACAAGAAAAACGTCAGTTTGTGGATATGAAAGAGGTCTGAGTCTGTCATAATCTTCTTGCCCAGCAGTGTCAAACAGGCCCAAAGTGTAAGGTTCTCCTCCAATCATTACAGTCACCTTTAAAATTTATTTTTTTAAATTTCAAGAAGGCTTAGGCTTAGGGATAAAAAATATTCTTTTTAAAGGAACGAAAAAACTCTTCCAGCTTTATGGACTGGCAATAGGAATTGAGAAATTTTTCCATTAGCCTATTTCTCATTTTTTCCAAAAAACTCTTGTTGGAAGTTGTTGGAAAATAGGGAAAATTGTAATCGATTTTCAAGAACTTGAAAGAAACTCTTTCCAAATCTAAAATTGAATGAGAAATAAGCTTACAATTTAAGTACCAATCATTAATCAAAAAGTTAAGAAAGACAGTTTTAGTTGCCAAGAGTTTTACTTTTCCTATGGAAAAGTAAAACACACAAAATTTTACTTTTCCTATGGAGGGGTCTAAAAACTTGGGAAAAGTCAGGGAAAAAAGTCGAGTGTTTCGAGCAATCGTGTTCATCCCTCAGCCCTAAAACTTTTATTAAAAAATAAAAACAAAACCGCATAATTATCAAAAACAGTCGGCACATATTCAGAAGGAAATTTATTTGTTGTGTAAGAAATTAACAAACAAGTTTTTCCAACAGCTCCATCCCCAACTACAACACATTTAATTGTTTGCATTTTTTAAAGACACTTGAAAAATCCTCTAAAAAATTAAAAAACCTTTTTCCCTTTTAAAAATCAATAAATGATTAAATGCAAAGATTAATGTTCCCTAAACAATTTTTGCAAACAACGCTCTATGCAAAATAACAAGAGACGAGAGAAAGGCAAAATAGACACCTTCTGCCAAACACACATTTTGCCAATAAGGCTAAAATACTCGTTTTGTCTACAGGAGCGTTGACAAAATGTGATTTTTTAGCCTTATTGGCAAAATATGGTATTGGTAAAATGTGTAAAGAGACAGGGATAAATGTAGAAAAAAAATAAACATAATGCCAAAAGAATAAAAAATAAAGCCAAAAACAGTGGAGGATTAAAAATTTGAAATGATAGTTGAGCTTTGGATTTTTAAATCATAACCTTCCTCAAAGTCAATATTTTTAAATAAATTATATAACAAATGAAACGAAAAATCTCGATTACTTGCGGTTACTCGTCCATAACTTTTTAAGAGATAATCTGATCAAAATAGTCCTGATAGGAAAAAGAAAGAGAACATCGAGAGCTAACGATTTTGTATAAGAATAATTTAAAAACCAATTAAAAATTTAAAAAAATTTATGATTAAAAAAGAAGCGTCCTTAAGGAAGACGAAAATGTCGGGAGTTTTATTTAATCAATGTTTCTAAACAATAACTTTTTTTTGGATTTTGTCCACGAGGAAAGAAGAATTAATTATAATTTATTTTTGCATTGTTTATTTGTTGCGGGAATGAAAGAGAAAAAAATTGACAAAATTTTTTTGACAAAAAAATTTTTTTGGAATTTATGACATTACAAAAATGAAAGAATATGTAAGAAAAATAAAATCAATTTGAGTAAATGAATCAAAATTAGGATGATTCAACTAAATAAATTTATTTACACGTAACAAAAAATTACAGGGATATTTGAGTTTATATTTAAATTAATTATTAAATTGGCCGAAATATTTTAAAAGGTAGGCTATTACTGGAATTCGAACATTTCAGACGTCGGGTCTGGTAATATTTCAGATTTTAAAAAACATCCTGACGTACTTGAAGTCTACATAGAACTTTATAAAATCCAAAAACACAAAATTACATTAATAAAAACAATCAAAATCCTCCAAACAATTTTTAATTCTTTTAATCCCCCTCCTCCTCCTCGTCTTTCAACCACTCAACCAACTCCCCCAATTTAGGCAATAAACGCAAGGGTGATTCTTCATTTAACAAAGAATACCACAAAATAATTTGTTCATCTTCCAAAAATTCTTTTTCTTGATTTAGCCAATGCAAAATATTTGGAAGAATTCGACAAAAATTTTCATTTTCTGTTGAAAAATCCTTTGAAAAAATTTTTAGAGAAAAATTATAATTTTATTTTTACTTCAAGAGCATGTAATATTCCAATTCTTGTTGTTAATTTTTTAAAATAAAAATTCCAAAGAATCGTCCATTTGTCAAAAGTCTTTAAAATAAAATAGGTATTACTTTTCCAAGTTTTACACAACTAATAGTAAGGGTAATATATCCGGAAAGGAATATATTACTCTTCCGGAAAATTTAAAATATTCTATTTTCCGGAAATTTTTATATGCTTTTCAGGAAAATTTTTCTACTTTTCCGGAAAATTAATACAATTTCTATTCCGGAGGTTTTATTATTCTTCCGGAAAGTTTAAAATACATATTTTCTTTTCCGGAAATTTTTGTATATTACTCTTCCAAAAAACTTCGAAAAAATTTTAAAAATAATTATTTATTTAATATTATTATTCCTTCTTTTAATTAATTTATTTTCACAATACCTTCTTAAACAAAACCAATTGTTGTGTAACCCCAGGAATTCCAATAAAAGAAAGAAAAATTAATCTTGGCAATTCATCCATAGGAACATTATAGGCTAATTTACACGAACTTATTTCTAATTTTAAATTAGAAAATTCTGATTCATTTATTGCTTTTGAAGTATTTCCTTCTTTTTCGAATAATTCTTGCATAGATTCTCTTACTTCTAAAATAAATTGAGTAAATTCCTGAAATAATAGAAAATATATTTTTAAAGTATTTCCGGAAAGTTTAATATATTCTTCCTTTTTATATATTTTTTCCGGAAGATTTTATATTTATTATTATTCCAGAACGTTTATATTCAATTAATCCGGAAATTGAAAAGTTGTACCGGAAAGTTCTCTTCTTATATTTTATATTCTTCCGGAAAGTTTTATATATTTTTTCTTTTTTATATATTTTCCGGAAGATTTTATATATTACTCTATTCCCGAATGTTTATATTCTTCCGGAAAGTTTTATATATTTAAATTAATCCGGAAAACAGAAAAAACTTTTTCAGAAAGTTTTCCCCTACATATTTATCAATATATTAATTCTTTCCGGAAAGTTTTAAATAAACAAAACCTGTTTATTATTCCCCTCGCCCACATTCTTTTTATTTTCCTCTTCTCCCTCTTCATTTTCCTCCTCATCAGAAACATCAGAACAATTTCCTGGGAATTCTTTAATTTTCTTCTTTCCAGAATTTTTAATTTTAATTATTTTTTCAAATTCTTCTAAATTTTCAATTTTATTTTTTTCCAAAATATTTAAATAAATTTCTTGTCCAATAACTTCTTCATTACTTAAAATATCCAAAATTATATTATCTACACAATTAAAATCATAATTTCCAGCAAAATGTCCAATAAAATCTAAGGCACAAATAAATATATTTAAAGGGAATAAATCTGTCCGGAAAGTTGTTTCGATGAGGAAAATGTCCTAAAAAATAAAGAATTTTTGTAGTTTAAAAAATGTTGAAAATTATGAAATTTTTTATAGAGAAATGTTGAAAAATAATCCCGAAACATGAATTTTCAATTTTATAATTTTCAATGTCTTTTAAAAAAATATGGAGAAAAATATTTTAAAAATTCGAAAAATTCGAAGATGTGTTAAAAATATTTAAAAATATTCTAACTATTTTTAGAGTAAACAATTTTTTTTAATTTTTGTAGGAATTTTTAAAAATGTTTTTTTCTAATTTTTTAATTAAAAAAATTTAAAAGAAAAATAAATTAAAAATTTCAAAAACATTTTTATAAATCCCGAAAAAATTTAAAAAATTTTATTTTTACCTCCAAAAATTTCCAAAAAATTAAAGTAAAAAACCTTTTTTGTCTGTAAATATCTTCTTCCTTTACTTCCCTCTATTAAATTATAATTAACCAATTTTTTTGTACAAGTTCTATAACAAATTAAAGAATTATTTGAAGATACATCAACATCAATTTCTGAGTAAATTAATGTTGCTACAGCATTTTTATTTTGTTTTCTGAGGGTTCTAAAAATTTAAAAAATTAGAAAATATTTTAGAGAATAAGAAGAAACCACTTAAATATCTCCGAAAATTTTTTTTGAAAAATGTGGAAACCAAAAAATTGTAAAAAAGATTTCTTTTTGCGAGAACTGGTTTTTAACTGGTTTTAAACGAAAAAATTAAATTTTATAAGCATAAGCATTATTAAAAATCGAGATTATTTTGATCCTGTTTCCTGACAAATGTGGATTGAGCGATCTTTTTCCAATAGTGAACGACAGATAATGTAGAAGTGTAAATTTTTTCGATTATGGGCAGCCCAGTTCATGACCCTAATTTATTCTGAAGTTAAAGTTATCGAAAAAAATCAAAAACAGAAAAATTTAAGACCATCTAATTCAATCCCTATCTTTAAATCTCCAAAAAAAGTAAATTTAAAAAACCTAAAATTTTCAATCCAACTTTCCAAACTAACAGAACAAAAAGTAGCACAATTATAAACAAACAAAAAATCTGTTTTGAGTAATTGACGGTCCTCAACTTGACGTAAAATGTCGTTTATAGATTTGCACTCATCCACAGACAAATACTGTAAAAAAATTTTAGTTAAGGAAAATTATTTTTAAATTAAAAATTAAACCTGCAACCTTTTGAAACGTTTAGACCATTTTCTAGGAAAAAACAAATTTAAAAAATAATATTGAACCCGACAGACTACATTTTTTCTCTCTATATTTTTCCTATATTTGTACAGAATGGTCAGACCTTTTCCCTACGACCATCCCAATCAGAGCTGTCCGAAAATGAAATTTTGCTCTCAACGAAACGAAAACGAAAAAAATAAATTCGCCAATGTACGAAACGAAAACGAAACGAAAAAATTATTTTAATTTTTACGAAACGAAAACGAAACGAAAATCATAAAAATCCACGAAACGAAACGAAACGAAACGAAAAAAATCAAAATTATTAATCAGTAAATTTTAATGTTAGATAAGAAGTTTTTTAAGGTTGTACATGTCTAAATGTATCAAATATTTGATCAGACTAGGGATTGGAAGGATTAAGAGGAGTTGTGATGACATTATCAAACGATTTAGGTCGATTACGCGGGATTTGGATGATTATCGTTGGATTTGGGCGATTTCCGATTCTTCCATCGGTTTTAGGCGCCGCAGGCAAAATTTTTGAAAATTTGGTAGTTCCTTAAAACAAAAATCTTTTTTTTTCAGCGCCGCAGGCAAAAATTTTGAAAATTTTGAAGATCCTTAAGCCAAAAATCGTCTTTTTTGCACCGCAGGAAAAAATTTTTCCACTACAAATCCTCGTATATCCGCCGAACTCCCAGATATTTCTCTTGATTTCCCGATATCCATCGAGATTCCCTGATGTCCTCTTTGATTTTCTGGTATATATCTATTTCCAATTACTACATTTTGATCGATAATTTAAAAATTTTAATTTATCGTTATTTGAATTAGAGGTGTAGAATGGAGAGATGGGGATTTTTGGGATTAACAGGGATTAGCTCCTTCGATTTCTCAGTGACTTGGGGTTATATCGACGGATATAAACGGATTGGTGGAAACAGGACTTAACATTTTTAAGGTTTCTAGTTAAAAAAAGTTTCACTTTGAGCGCCGCAGGCAAAATTTTCTTGACTTTCCAGTCCCCGGAGAGAAAAATTTTCAATTTTTGCCCTAAAAATACAGTAAAAAATGACTAAAAATATCAAATTATTTTCGTCATTTTCGTCTAAAAATTGAGTTTACGAAACGAAAATGAAACGAAAATATTTTTTTAACGAAATACGAAACGAAAAAAACGAAAAAAATATTTTCAAACGAAACACGAAACGAAACGAAAATCATCAAAAATCCACGAAAATCTACGAAACACGAAACGAAACGAAAATTTTCGGACAGCTCTGATCCCAATTGTCTTTCTATATTTGCCGACAATCACTCAAAAAGTTGATGACTGTAGGCAAATATAGAAAAAAAGCTGATGATCAAAAAGTTGAGAGGTTCTTTTTCCATGAAAAAATCCAAGCTTTTCGAGCCGTGCACCCCCCCCCCCCCAAAAAAAAACAAAGTAAAATTAAACAAAAACCAACTTTAACAATTCCTCCCCAACACTTTTTGGATTATTTCCATATGCCACAACTACATTAGGCGATAATAACCAAGAAATTTCTTCCAAACATTTATCAATTAAACGAGGTTCGTATAAAGTAGAAACGCTGCTGTCCTTTAAAAAAAAGAAAATTTCGTTTTTAATTAGAAAAATACCCCGACTCCTCCTTCAGTCAAAGAAAAATCAGAAATAATTAACAAAACTTCTACTTGTTCTAATTTATTTTGCATTTAAATAAGAAAAATATTTTATTATTTAATTTTGTTTAAAATCTAAAATAAATAAAACTTTTAATTTTTAGAAAAAAATATGAAGAAAAATTCCAATAAAAAAGAAAAATAATAAACTGAAGGTGACGATTTTTAAGATTTTCAGTTAATGGACATTTTGAATATATGCCAACTGTATTTGAAATAAATTTGTTTAATACAAATTAGAGAAAGAGAATAAATAAGAGAGAGAAATAAATAAAGAAAATAATCAAATAAAAGCTCTCAAATATTTTACCAAAACCACATTCAGCTAAATTGGCTAACTTCCGAAGAATTTGTTGGCAAAACATGGTTTTTTAGCCTTATTGGCAAAATGTGTATAAAATATAATTCTCTCTAATTTTTATAAATTAAATGGAAGAGAAGCAGAAAATGAAAAGTAAAGGTTCCCCTTTCTTTTTTTTGTTTTATAAAATCCATTCTCGTGCATTTATTTTATTCTAAAATTTTTAGGAAGATTTTAAAGAATAAATTAAAAATAAATCCAAGTTTCTAACTATTTTTTACCTTTAAAACCCTTCAAAAAATGAATAATTCTAATCATCAAATAACTTCAACAACAACTCCATTAAATAAAATTAACATTTTACAACAATTTCCACCTATGAAACAGGGTAAGGGAAGAGGATTTTCGAAGTTAAAATTGAAGTTTTCTGGAAGTTAATGACTTCCTTTTAAATACCCACCAAATTATTATTTTTCTGGCATTCTGTTTATAAAAATTTAAAAATGACATTTTATCCCATTAATTATTTTTTAAATTTCAAAATGGTAACTAAGCAAGAATTAGTCACAAAAACAAGTGAAAGAGAAGGAAAGTACATTTTTAAAAAATATTTTTCGAAATAATTCAATGAAAACAATTTTGGGAAGGGCTTACAAAACAATTACTAAATATACTCTCCCCTCCTTTTTTTAAAAAAATATTCATTTTAATTTAATATTTTATCATGTCAGAAGAAAAAAATCGAAAAATGCTTGAAGAATTACAACGGCAGAAGCGTCAGATGATGCAGAAAAATGCTAGGTAATTTAAATTTTATTGTAGGGAAATTTATAAAATGCCAGCCTAACTATGAATTCACTAAAAAACGACAAAATGCCCACTAGTCGAAAAACTTACAAAACGCCAAAAATAATTTTTAAATTCATTTTAGCTCAACAAATCGCCCAACAAATTTACAAACAACAGGCCCAATATCAAGTGGAAGCGAGAGGGATTTGTCAACACCGAGTGGAATGGGACCTTCAATTACTCCAACGTCTTTAGCTTCCAAAGTTGTGAGTTTTGAATTTTTTAAATTTCAAAAAATTTAAATTTTTAGAATTTGGCTGAGGGGACAATTATGTTTATTCCTGTAAATTCACAATTTGGAAATAGTATAATTCCGGTATTTCCGCGTATTGCACCTGAGACGTGAAGAGGAGAGGGACAAGAGAGAAAAGAAGAAAATTTAATAATTTAAAATCCAAACATTTTTTATAAAAATTTATGTAAATTTAAACAAAAAATTAAAAAGGCATTCCTGGATGTCTATTCTTTACATGAGATTTTAAATGGTCTGAACGGGCAAAACGCATCTCGTTTGTGCAGTAAGCACAACGGAAGGGTCTGTAGCCGGTATGGCGGCGGTAATGCCTGAAAATAAAAATTGAGAATATTTATTGAAACGGAAATTTTCAAATATTTTCGAAACCTCGTCAATTCATCACTTCTAGCAAATCTCCACCCACAATCCTGTAAATTAATTAATTTAATTGCAAATAATTTAAGTTGATTAAACCTTCCAGTTGCATTGGAATGGTTTTTCTCCACTGTGTGTGCGCATATGTGCTTTTAGATGAGAACTTCTTAAAAGAAAAAAAATTTTATTAGCTAATTTAGACTTAAAAATATTGCTTAAAAATTTTGAAAAAAATTTTCTGAAATTTTAGTAATTTTTTAAAAATTCCAAAAATTGGACATTTCGTCCCACTCTTAAATTTTTAGTTATTTTTAGCTCAAATAAAAATTGTAAAACTTGAATTACAATTTGTAAAATTGTAAAAAAAAAGTTTAATTAAAAACTTGAATAACAAACTTGCTATAAGTCTTTCCACACCCCAAATGTTCACATTTATGTAAACTTCTTTGATAATTATTTAAAGAATTATTTTCTTTTAAATTTTTCTTCTTTTTATTTTCTTTTATTTTCTCTTTTTTAATTATTAAATTCTTTTTTCTAGGAATTTTTTGAATTTTTTCTTTTAATGTATTAGACAAAGAACTGGTTGGGGTAGTTGCTGGGGTTGTTAATGACGGGGGTGGATTCTCTTTTTCTTTTTTTAAATTAAAATTAAATTCTTCTTCCTCTTCTTCCTTTTCTCTTTTTTCTTTTTTATTTAAATTTTTTATTTTATTTTTAATAATTAATTTATTATTATTATTCTCTTGCAAGGTTAAACAAGTGTGAAGGTTGTCATGTTCCACTTAATTAATTATTTTTTAAAAATATTTTTTTTGGTAAATTAATAAATTAAATAAGGTCATTGGATATGGTAATAATTCTTATAAAAATTTAAAAATTCTTACATTAAAATTTAAAAAAAATTTTTAATCCCAATTTTGCTGCTAAAATATACCCTCGTCGAGTGGGGATAATCGTAATTCATTTTACAATTTGTAAATTTATTTGTAAAAACTTTAATTGTAATTGTAAAATAAAGAAAAGAATAATTGTAAAACCGGAAAGTTTATTATTTCTCTTTCCGGAAAGTTTATTATTTATTATTTTTCCGGAAAGTTTCAGTTCCTCACCTTTATTACAACTAACAGTATCACCACTATTAATTCCTCTCCCTTCTTCCTTCACTTCTTCTTCAATTTCCATTTTTATCAAAAAATTATTTTTATTAATTTCAAAATCCTCATTTCTTCCATTTTCATCCTTTTCTTCAAATTCTTCAATTTTTCTCTTTTTTGAAGGTGTTGGGGGTTGTCCTAATTTAATTGGAGGGGGTGGGGGAGGTAAACATTCATTTAAATATTCTCTTTCTGGAAATACGGCACATGATGCTAATGTTGCTATTTGTGAATTTAATGAAGGGGAAGATGAGAAAAGTTGACTAAAAATTAAAAAAAAATTTAAAAATTCTTCACAGCGGGGCCTTATTAAAAAGGTTATGCAGTTGTCTTCTTCTAAGTTTATTTTTTCCGGAAATTATTATATTTTGTTTTCCGGTAAGTTTTTGGTATGTGTATTTATTTTTCCGGAAACTTAATTATATGTATTTTCCGGAATGTTTATTTATATATATGTTTTTCCGGAAAGCTTCGTATTTAGTTTCCGGAAATTATTTTATTTTTTTCCGGAAAGTTTTACAAATATCCACCTTAATATAACCGGAGAAAGTTGTTGTGTCTGTTCACAATTTTGGTGCTCTCTAATCGAATTATTTAACAATGCAAAATCTAACGGAGATTTATTTAAATTATTTTGATTTAATTGTTGATTAATTCCAAAAATACTAGGGGAATTTAAATTAGAGGAGGGAGGTGAAAATATTAAATTATGTAAATTATTTTGTTGATTTTGTAGCAAATAATTAGCTGCCAACAGTGAAATACTTGCTTTAAAAATTTAATTTTATTTGGAAAAAAAATATTTTTTAAATACCAGCAGATGGGTGAATTTCTGTTTGTGATGTATTAATAGAATGTGGAGTTTCTAATGAATTTGAATTATTATTTATGCTTAAATTAGAGGAGGTTGATGCTGCTGCTGTAAGAGATCGGTCCAAGTTGGTGAACGAAATCTGTGGGAAAATAATTATATTTCCGGAAAGTTTAATATTTTTCCGGATTTATTATTTTTATATTTTTCCGGAACAATTTATGTATATAATTCACCTTAATTAAATACTTTTCCGGAATTATTTTATTTTTCCGGAAGGTTTTATTTAATTATATTTCCCCTATATTAATATACTTCCGGAAAGTTTTATCCTCAATTTAATATTAATTCCGGAAGGTGTTATATTTTTCCGGAAAAGTTTATATAATTTTTCTGGCTTTAATATTAATTTAATTTCCCTAGAAGGAAAATTTATAAACACCTGTGAAGTTAGTTGACTATTAGCACAACCAACAACATATTCTAACAAATCCTGTCTAATTTCATTATTATCCAAAAATTGTCTGTTTGCTATAAAAATACTTTCACTGTCCATATTATTTGTTGTTGTTAATGATGTTGAAGGAGAAAATAAATTCATTTTGAAAAATTTATCTAACAATATGTTTCGTGTTTTGAATTTGTTTCTCTTATGGATACAAACAAGTAACCCATTCCCTCACGTCTAACAAAAATCCGGAAAATATGTATTGAAAGTTTAATATTTTCCGGAAATGTTTTATTTGTTTTCCGGAAGAGTTATATATTTATTTCTTCTCAGGTTTTATATTTTCCGGAAACATTTATATTATTTCTATTATCCGGAAAATTCTTTCTCTACTTTATAATAACTGTAATATATTTTCCGGATTAGACACAGAACGAAATAGTGCTACATGCTAAAGAGAATAATTACTCATAGAATATTTACAGATTATTTAAAATAATTTGCAAATAATTTGTGTCTCGCAATCAAAATGATTTTTCTGTCATTAATTTGATTATATATTTTCTTGCAGAAATATTAAAACAAGCAAAAATGATTATAAAATGTTGAACGTTTGAAGAGTTTATTTAAAAAATAATTATTTTTTTTTTTTGCAATTTTTTTCTGATGCGGTGATCGAGAAAGTGAAGCACATATATTTAAAACACACAGAATATTTTCTTATCACCAAATTAAAAGGTTTGAAGGAAAAAAGGTTAGTGAGAAATAAGAGAGAGAGAAAAGGAAAGAGAGACAAGTTCAACCGGATCAACCGGAAACGATTAAAAAGGCTTAAAAATTAGGGGGAAAATGGGGGGGGGGAGGGGGGAATGGAAGACTTGAATAAATAAAAATAAAAAAAACAAAGATGTTTTTTAAGTTCACGTAAAAACAATAAATTTAAAAAATGATGAAATACATAGGTAATTAATATAAAAATTAAAAAGTAAATAGTTTATAAAATTTTAAACTACAAAATTGGTAGAAGAGAGAAATTAATTGTGGGGTATTTAAATTTGTAATTGTAAAACCTGGAAAGTTTATTATTTGTCTTTCCGGAAAATATTTTTACAATTTGTAATTAATAATTGTAAAAACTTGAAAAAGTTTATATAAAAGGAAATATTAAACTTAACCAGAAAATACAACTTTCCGGAAAAACAAATAGTAACCTTTCCGGAAAGTTTCCCTTAATTTTATATTCACTTTTCCGGAAGGTTTTTACAATTATTTTTAACAAATTGTAAAAATATTTTTATTCTCATTATTTAACTAAAAACATTAAAATAATATTGACAGTCAATAAATTAACAGTTTCTAATTGATTAACCTTTCTACTTCTAATCAAATAAAATTAAATTTTTTATAGTAAATGTAAAAAAATAATTAAAGTAGAAAATCAATAAAATCTCAAGTTTACAATAGAGGTCGGACCGAGCGAGATCCCGAACAAAAATCTCCGTTATCAAAAATTGAGATTTTTCGGGATATCGATGTTGTTTCTCGTAACTCCCCAGTTCGATCTCTAGTTTGCAATTCAATATTTTTCCGTCAGTTTTATATTTATTTTTTCGGAAAGTCTTTACAATTATTAATTAAAAATTGAATTTGTAATTGTAAAAATAATTGTAAAACCGGAAAGTTTATTTATTTTTCCGGAAAGTTTTTGATTTATTTTCAGGGTTCTTCTCGTAATTTCTATATATCCGGAAAGTTTATACAATTATTAATTACAATTATATTTACAATTGTAAAAAAATATTATTTATTATTCATTATACATTGTATGTATTAACTAAAAATTGATTAACTATGTATTAACTATTAACTAAATAACTCGCATCTTTAAAAAAATTTAAAAAAATAATTAAAAAATATTTTTTTAATTAAAATATGAAAACAATATTTTAAATTAATTTTTAAAGAATGTTTTGTTTTTAAATTCTTTAAAAATAATTAAGTAAACAGGTTTACCTATTTTGAGTATAAAAGGGCTCTGATTAATAAAAAATGTTAAAAATTAGATTTTTTATAAAATTCGGTAAAACTTTGAGAAAAAATAAATATGTAAATTCTTTTCTTAAAGTTAATTTTTATGAATTTTCAAAAAAGAAATTTTTAATGAAAGTTTGGGAGAGATTAAACAAGACAAGGATAAAATTAAGAGTAATTCTCGGTTCGTTTCCAATATTTTTAATGAAAAATTACTGACTGACCTCTAAGAGAATGTGATGACTATTGGGGAAAAAGGTCATTTAAAAATTTAAAAAAATAACAAAAAAATTAACTTTTTCATTACAACAACTCCCTTATACGTCAATTAATTTATTTTTTTTTGTACATCGTCAAGTGTGGCGTAAATTAAAATAAAAAAATACTCTCCCCCCTCCCCTCCTCCCTTTAAATGATCTATATATTAAATTTAACACAAGAATGTGTAAATACCAATGTATTCTCTTAACTTTTTTTTAAATTAAATTTGGTGACGTTTAAAAAATATTTCTAACTTAAAAAACTTTAAAATTACTTAATTGAATCACATTAATCACGAGAAAAAAAATAAAGAAAATTCTTTTAATATTTCTTTAAATTAAAAAAATATATTTTTATCCAAAAATATAAACTATAAAAAATTGATAAATTTTATTAATTAAAATTTTGAGGTGTTTTAATTTTTATAAAAAAATTTTTAAGAAGAAAAAGCCGGGATAAGACTGTTAATATTTAAATATTTATTTTTATAATAGTCAGACCTCAAATGTACATATAATAATAACTTTCGTCCCCAAAAATTTAACGTTAGAATGTTCTACAACTGAGATCCGACTTCCTAGTACAAAGTAGGAATTGGGCATTTTAAGGGTCGAATTTACAAAAATTTTTCATCTCGGGGTTCGAGTAATCCCATCTTTATCCGCAACTTATTTTCGATTGATTAGAGAATTTTAAAATAGAAAATTTGGAAAATAACAATAATTTATTATCAAATAAAAAATTTTCTAGAATTAAAAACATTTCAAAATCAAAAAAAATTTGCGGACAAAGAAAAAGAATTTCTAAATTATTTTAATTTGGTGATTATTTAAGAAAAAATTTTTTTTAATTATTAAACTAAACTAAAATATAAATTTGGTTAAAAAAAGGGGTTATATTTTTGATATTAATTTTTAAAGTTTTTATATACTTGAATTAAACAAAATGGGCTTTAATAGATTTTGGGGTATCTGCATCATTCAAATGTTTTGTAGTATAGCGTAGAGCATTCATTAATTGATTTATCTTTAAAATAAAATTTTTAAAAATTATGGGAAAAACTTTAAAAAAATTTGCGGACAAGTTTTGCGGACTTTAAAAATATTATCATAAAATTAATATTTCAAAATTTATAATAAAATCTGAAAAAATCAAACACACATATTTACTGTTCACCTTTTTCAAATCTAAAAAATAATTTTTGTGGACAGACTTAATTCCCGGGCTACATAAACGTCGCTTTTAATTTCTTAAAATATCATATTTTCTTCTTAAACTCCACAAATCTTCTAGGGAAAAGTTACAGGTTTATAATTTTAAAATTAATTTATCCGCAAGTTTTGTCCTCAAAAATTAATTTACCAAACAAACCCCCCCCCCCTCCCCAAACCTGTTGTTCATTTCCATGTAATTTAATAACATCAACAACCCCCCGAATATCAATTGGTGATTGTCTAGTAAAAGCCCCATTCGAATCAATATGGTCATAAAGAACAACAGCCCCAACCATAACACGCATTAATAAATCTCGATCGTGATCAGAAAAACGTTCATAAAATTCTTTGTTTTGTAAATTGTGATGGAAAATCTAAAAAAAATTTTTAAGTTAGAAAAGTTGACCGTATCTGAAAGGAGTGCCTGGTTGAGTTTTTTTCCTTATTTCCTTAAACTGCCTAGGAATGGTCTATTTTCCTTTATATTTGATATTTATTCGTAAGGTAAAAATGTGTAAAAGGATTAATTTGTTCCATTTTTTTGCTGATTTTGTATAACTTTTCATACATTCTATGTTTATTTTTCAAAAAGCTTCTGGTTGTTTTACCTAAAATGGCTTCGAAAAATACAAATGTTGGTGATCTTAATCGTGACAGGGTAAAACACGGACCGGGCACGATATTGAACGAAAAACACTGGCTTGCAAACATACGGAATGACCAAAATACCAATCAAAACACGGACCAGACCGTGCTTTCTGTTCCGTATTTTGGAATTCCTTGTTTTGCCCTTCACACACGATCTTAAAGAAGTTAGGAAAAATAGGAAAGGAAAAAAGGCCATTCTAAAAAAAGAAGGAAAAAAGTCAACCAGGCACTCCTTTCAGATAGAGCCGAAAAGTTGGATCATTAAGCCAAAATTCCTATTTTTATAGTTAGTACAACTTTGGAAATCTTTCAAAAACCGAAAAAATCGCAGTCGAAAATCTAAGCAATGTTTAACAAAATTCTTTTGTTTGGGGTTAGAGTAGGAGGAAAATTCAGATTTCGGTCCAAACTTTTTTTAAATTTATTTAAATTTAAAAAATTTAAGGAATATGCAGGGAATTAAATTCTCTATCGAATGCAATCAAAAACTCAAAAAATTATTTTGCCAAAAATTTAACCAAAAAAAATTTTCAAAAAAATAACCAAACCTGTATAACAACAGCCAAAGTTTCAGTTGTATTTGAAGTAGGCAAATCTGGATGATTTTCAACAAATTCAGTTGTTGCTTTAGCCAAAGAATGAAGCATCGGGGTTGGGGAAGCGAGAAACATGCTGATTGTACCTGCCAATTCTAAAGAGCAATCTGCCTCAGAATCTCGTGCTGATTGTTCACTACGAGTTATAACACGTCTAAAAACAGGATTTAATTTTTGGAATTGTGCTTAAGTCCAATCATGGGGAAAATTGAAAAATCCTCAGAGAATGTTGATTAGAAAAAGGGAAGTGAATTTTTCGTTTACGACCTCCCAAAATTGAAAGAAAGTTTTGCAAAACGTTCAAAAAGCCAAATGTTAGGCGCACAATCCATTATAGCTCTAATGAAATTCTATCTCTGAATACACCCGTGGGTGAATTTAAAAATGAGATTGTTCTTGGAAGTAAAATCCCAACAGAAAAAACAAACTTGTAAAAACTAAAATCATTTTGTAAGGAAGGTGTATTCATTTTAATTGCGTCAAAATGAAAAACAAAATCAATCAAATGAGCAAATTGTTTGCACAAAGCCTGGGCAGATTCAATGTGTTCTGCTGGAGGTAGAGGGCCTGAACATAATTCCCATAACAAATTGGGGATTACCTAAAAAAATAAAATAAAGATTAAAAAATTAAATTTCTTTGTGAAATTGCTTGTAAGATAAACTAATAATTGAACAATCAAGGAGGAAGTTTTGTAGGCTTCGGGGAATCAAAAAAATTTTAGGAATCAAAAATTTTTTGGGTTTTTCAACGTGGAGGGGACAAATCTCAAATTCCCAGACTTTCGGCGACGGAGAACAACCCTACCAATAAGAAACGGCTCAAGATAGAGAAAATTATTGCGTTTCTCTTAGTCTCAAATTCGCAAAAATATTTTTAAAATTCCACACATAATTCAAGCCTAAACACCCCCAATAGAAGAACAAATTATCTACAAGAAAATCCAAAAAACCTGTTCAATTCGTTGAGCTAATTCAAAATAACATCTAATTCGACGAACATGTTCTTTAATTATTTTAAAAGCGTGTTCTTGAACTTTTAAATCCTCATATTCTTGGAGAGCTTTTGAACGCTAAAAAATTTTTATTTTAAAATTTAACTCTTTAAAAAACCTCAGCAGTTGCCCCAGCACCGTAACTAGATAAACATTCAATACAAACAAAACATTGTTCAAGAATTGATTGTAACTCTAAAAATAGAGGTCGCTCCTAGAAAATAAAAAATTTTTTAATATTGGATTTGTTAAAAAATAAAATTTTAAGGTTGCTTGATAGTTAGTAAGAATATTAAAAAAAATTATAAGGACAAAGGAATTCAAACCCCCAACTACCTCATACCAACAGAACCTAGCCTTATCTAACAATAACCAAAAAACACGTCAAATCCTTCCTCTAATTTTGTATGTCAAATAAAATTACACAAAAAAGCTTATTAATTTAACGTCCATAATTTTGGAGCTTATCCAATCAAAAATTTAAAATAAACCTGATCACTGGGTATACAATTCTCAAAATCTAGAAATACAGCAATATCTTCACAAACATAATTTTGTTGTTGACAAGCACAACTAGAGCCTGTTGGAGAATGGGAAAGAACATAACGAACAACATCACTACAACGATTGCCAACACCACGACGGGTCATTTTTTCAAATAATTTTTTAATTTATTTGGATTATACTGAAAATTAGAAAAAATAGAAATTCTCATAATATCAAGAATTAAAAATAGTATAATCCGAAATTAACAATAGAAAAAGAAAAAAAAGTTGAAATAAAAGACACATGCAAACTGGACATTTCGTCAAAAAAGAAAAAGTGCACACTTCGTCACTAAAACACAAACACTAAAATTTTTTAATTTTCCCTTGTTTTTTAAACCTTTAATTTTTTAAAATTTATTTTTATATTCACTCTATTGAACTATTTATCACAAAATTTTTTTTTGGATAAACTACCAAAAAATACAATTTTTTAGTTGACTAAAAATGTACACTTCGCCCAACAGTCATTAAAAATTGCCATAGATTTTTATGTCAATTTTATATCAAAGAATTGAAAATGTTAACAAGTATATTACACATTTTTACATCATTTTATATATAGTTAGCTTTATCCTTTGTTAAAATCAATAAAATAATTTTCTTTTATAGAAAGTCCTCTTTCTTCACTACATTTTCTTGCATGTGTTTGTACTCCCCATCTCGTCAATTCTCTTCACAAAAACATTTTTTTATTTTCAAGCCAAGCCACCAATCCTTTTCTCCATCATTCTTCCACAGCCTTCACATTAGTGCTACTAAACAAATAGTAGCCCTTAAAGAAAATATAGAAAGTAAAATAAGAGAGGTCGTCGTCCGTTGTTGTTGTCAGTCTTTCCCCCCTCCGTTCCACTCCTTTTTTCTCCTCTATAGCGAAAATTGTCGCCCAAACAACGCCAAACACAAAAATCGATATTGGGCGCTCAATTCTGTGTGAATAGAAGAAAAAGCATTTTTAGTAAAAATTCTCGAAAGCTACCTTTTTATTCTTCTCGTTTATTTTCTCCCCTTTAAAATATCCATCCAAACATATGTTGTGTATATTTACTAGTTTTGAAGAAGAAAATTAGTCCTAAAATTTTGTGTGGCTTTTTAAAATATTTTTAAAAAAGATTTTAAATACTTTAAATTTTTATCCCTTCTTGAAATCTTTCAAAAATGTTGTAAAATGATTGCCTACTTTTTTCCTTTAAATAAACTGAAAAGTAAAAGAAAACCTTTAAATACTATTAAAGTTTTAGCGAAAATTTGCTAAAACTTTAATAATACTTCGAAATCTCAACTAGTGTTAAATATTTCAAAATGTCAACTCATCGGAAAATCTATTGGCCTTTTATTTTTGTTAAAAACATAATGCCAATAAAAAATAATGCGAAAAGTCGACATTTTGAAATATTTAACACTTTAGTTGAGCTGATAACCACTCAAAATATCAATTAATCAATCACCTCCGTTTTCCTATTAAATTTTTACAGTAATAACACTAATCAACAACCCAAAAAACTTTCAATATTAACCTTTACGTATTATTCCCTATCAATCATCCAAATAATATTAATTTTTTATCAGTTTATTAAAAAAAAGAATTTTGCCTTGAACATTGAACGAGAAAAATTATTAAAAAAGAAAAATATAAAATCAAACAAATATTTTTATTTAATTAGAGAGTATTTTATTGACAAGATTAAGGAGAGAAAGAAAACTCTCGTTAGTGGAGACTCTTTAAATGCCTCCTCCCCTTGCAAGCCCGGTATAGGCGACTTTTCTCTTTGTCCCAATCAGATTTCAAAAGCTTATTTGTTGAGTCCTTTAACGAAAACTCTCGTTATAACCCACACATCCCCGTCTTCTCAAAGTCGCTACTAACGAAGGTCGTTAACTTTTAAACAAATTTTATATTTTAAATAATATTTCAAATTTTTTCTTTAAATTTCCTTTCCAACTTCTCTACTACTAATTCTCTACTTTCATTATTAAATTTCCCTCTCTCAAAAAAGTCAAGTGTTTAAACAGTCAATACATTTTTTGTTTAATCAATAGGATTTAATATAAAACCTGTCTTTTTTTATTGACAGCCGATTGGCAGTCATTTGACGAAATGAATAGATTGATTATATGAAAGAATTTTTTAAATTTTAAATTTTAATTCCCTTCATTTTTTTGCCTCTGTAAAAATAAATAAATAAATGAAAATAATCTGTCAATTACCCCCCCCCCCCCCCTGAAATCTTTCATATATCCCAACAGATTCTCTAAAGCCTTGGGTCTTTGCGGTCTTTAGAATAGTTTTATGTTTTTACTTGGAAAGGAGGTACCTTAACGAAGATATAAAATTTATCGATGGGTGCTTATTTATTGCTATTAATCTTATTCATCATCTTTCTCCTTTATTATTTTATTTTGCGGATAAAATATAATTTAAATTAATTTTTTAGATTTCCAAATGCCCAATCTTTCAGAATACCTCCAAATACTAAATCCGCAATTTTTAATTATTTCCGCAAAAATTGATCCTCAAAAAAATTTAATCCGCAAATATTTACTTTCTCAACAACCCTTTTGCATTACCTGAGTGGAGAGGAGGGGGGGAGATTGATTTACTCTTAAATATTTTTCTCTCTCAATATTGACAGCTTTAAATATTTTTATTTCTTTTTTACACAATTTTTAAATTTCATAAAATATATAAAAATTATTATTGCAAAAAACCCTGATTATTTAGACAAAAAAAGTTTTAATTAAAAATAATCAGAAATTAAAGTTTTTTCTGAAACTTTGTTTTCTGATTTTTAAAGGCTTGTATTTCCGTTCAAAATTAAGATAGAGAGCTGATTTTGGGGTCTTTCCGAATCAGCTTTTTAAGCTCTTTCAAATGATACAGAAATCATCCCGATTCGAACAAAAATTTATTTAACGGAATTTTCCATTCTCCTTTGCTTTTATTTATTTATTTATTGTCTGCATTTCTTAATTATAAAAGCTAATCGAATAACCTATCTAATAAAAAGTGCATATAATTCTTTTGATAAATCGCGCGCATCCGCTTTTTAATGCATGTGAATGTAAATGGATTTTTTATAGCTTCGTCTAATTAAGAAATAAATAAAAAGATTTATCGGGAATAAATAAAAAGTAGCCGCCATTTCCAGATCCGCACTCTCTTTATTATATTTTATGATTTTTAATTTTATTAATAAAATTGCGGACAGAAAATGCGGACAAATTACTAATGTAGATTAATATTTGTTTAAATATTAAGCAAATAAATAAACTTAAATTACAATGCACAAAATAAACTTATTTTACAATTTTCAATAAAAAATAAACTTAAATATAAACTTTATTACAAAACAAAAAAATAAACTTGCAACTTGTTTTACAATCTCAAATTTATTTTTACTTTATTTTGTAATTTTTTTGCGGAATAATCTTTTCAAAAATAATTTTTAATTTGCGGACAAAAATATTTAATTAAAATTTTAAATTTTTCTACCAAAATTTTCAACAAAAAAGTTGAGCAAATAAAACAAATATTTTTTACTGATAATCAATCTTTTAAGGCATTCATTTCTCCCCTCAATTATTAATTTTGACTGTCGAACAAACAAAACTAATAAACGCGACCTCGGTCCAACCAACCCCCCCCCTCCCCCCCCCCATCTATCACCCCCAACCCTTATCCAATTTCCTCTACTTTAATATACACATTATTTCCCCATCATTTTCGCATTTTCCCCCTTTCTTTATTTTATAAAATCAATACCTTAACAAATAAAAAATCTTTTATTTGCCAGCTGCTCTCACGTGAGCGCGTAAACATAAGAAAAATGTTAAAACTGAGTAAGCCACATATTTAGGAGCGGCGCATGAAAGTTTGACTGTAGAAATGTACAGGTTTTTCATTTAAAAATCTTTTTTTCTTGAAGGATATTTAATTTTAAATTAAATTAAAATTGATAAAAAACGAGTTTTGGGATACTTATTCTATAAATAAAATTGTAAACCGGAAAGTAATGTACAATCCGGAAAGAATAAATAAACTTAGGTAAATTACAAATTAGAAGAAAAAAGTTTTATAATTGTGGTGATAAACTTGTTTTTCCGGTAAATAAAAATAAACTTATTTTACAATTATTAAAAATAAACTTACTTTACAATTATTAAAATAAACTTAATTTACAAATTAAAAATAAACTTATTTTTTACAATTCTTACAATAAATCTCTCAACTATTTTTTATTTTTACAATCTCCTCATTGTTTTTACTATTAAAAATATTTTAAAATAATTTTGTTTATTAAATTACCTATTTTATCATTTTTATTTTCATCTTCACTATTTTACCTTCTCATTTTTTAGAAAATTTAATAAAATATTGGCGTCATATTTTTTTCTTTTATTTTCCCCTAAAAACATCTTTTATTGTCTTCATTTCCCTAATACGCCAAACAAAAAAAGCAGAATTTTACTGCATTTCAATGCCCGAGGCGCCATACAATTCAAACGGCTGTCACTTAATTATTGACCGATTATTTTAATAAAAATAAAATTGGAGGAATATTCGAAAATAATAATTAAAAAAATAAAAATAACGAATAAAGGGAAAAGAGGAAAGAAGGAGGATATGGTGGAATCGGATAGATCTAATGTTTGTATGTTCCACTTGAGAAGGGTTCAATTCCAGGTAGGAAAAAAATATGAAGCTATTAACTAAAATCATAATAACCGGAAAATACCGTATGTACTCTATTAATTACCCTCCCTCAAATAACTACCCCACCTCTAGTGACCCTCACCAGCGAAAGGTTGAAACTATAATTACTCCCTTAAAATAGTTATAATTACCCATCCTAAAATAACCTCTATTAATTACCCCGTCTCTATCAATTACCCTCTCCTGAGAGAGGTTGAGACATTAATTACTTAGGGTAATTAATCTACTTAGGGAGAGAGAGAGAGGTTGAGACACTTAGGGTAATCTACTTAGGGTAATTAATCTACAACCGGAAAAATGCATCCGGAATATTAATTTTATAAGCCTTTAAACCCTCTAAAAATATCTTTAACAATTTAAAAATTATTTTTCCTCCAGACATATGTAAAAGAAAAAGGATGTCAAATTAATGATGCCATTGAACCAAGTCTTGAACCGGCAATTTTGGGGCGGTCTACAATGATTTTGTAATTATTTATTTTTTTTAAAACGTGGAAATCTTTTTAAATTAAAAAATTTTTTTTTTAATTTTTATTTACTTTCCACATTTTTAATTTTAAAGACTGGACAAACAAACAAAAATAGGGCGA